CGCCATTTTGGGCGCGGTAGCGTGAGAAGATTCGACTTGGTCATGCGTGGATGTGTCATCTATGTTTTCTTGAGGTGATTGTTTGCTTTTGCTTTTGCTTTCCTCCGGTTTGGGCCCCTTGTCCTTTTTCTTGCCACCTATCTGCCCAAGGACTCGCCCGGCGCCCGCCGTTGTTGACTTGTTCTTTGGAGGTGGCGAGGGTTTGTCGCTTTCTTCGCGGCCTGTTGACTTCGACTTTTGTGGTTTGCTTGGACATAATGCAAGATCTGCTTCATCCGTTGATAGCTCCTGCGCCAATGGCTTCTTTGTAAAGGCACCAGGAGGGACATCCGATTCTGTTGAACTATCGGAATTTGTGTCTTCGACCCTCGGAGCTTTTAGCTTTCTGCCACCAATTCTCCCAAACCCGCTTGACTTGGCCTTCGGCTTCTCTGGTTGCATTGAGAGATCATAGCCAGTCGAACCCTCGGCTGGCAGTTCCTTTTTTGACGACTTAGAGCCTATGATGCCAAGACCCTTGGATCTTTTTGTCTGCTTTGGCGGTGCAGTTGGTCGAGGTGGTTCAGGGCTTGCAGTGGACTCGCGCGTTTTTCCCTTCCCGAGGGATGGTATGCTCTCGGGTTCGCTGCCTGCTAAGCTAGGAGCTCGTGGGCGTTTTCTAAAACGGGGAGGCGTTTGGCGAGTCTAGCTTTGTTAGCGACTTTGAATTTCCTCTCGAACTCGGACTCATTTACCTACCTCAAAATCATCGTCACTTTCAGTCGAAATTTCTTCCGCTGGCTTTGGCGGTGGTTTCTTCGTAGCTACTTTATGAGACGCAACAGGGCCCATGATAGCAGAATCCGAATCCCGAATTCGAGTCCACCAATCATCATTAATATTCTCCACTGTCTCCAAATCAAGCGGAGATTCAGTGGCCGAAAAGTCCTTGATTATAGTCTCTTTTATTGACTCATTAGGAGTCTGCTCCATACATTCTGAATTCCAAGCATTCTCATCGAAGGGAGCGACGCCTTTAATCATCTTTGACGCCTGTGAAAATACTGATTCCCTGCGACCGTGTCTCGCACCAGTCAGTGTTGGAAACACCGTGCTGAGGTCAATCCCAGAGGCCTCTATTTTATCACACAATTTACCCAGCGCCCAATCTTTCTCTCTCAGCTTGTCAATAAGTGATCGCATCCGCGATTCCGTGCTGGCTGCTTCCCTGAGAACTGGCAGAAAGACATGTTTTGTAAAAGCCGCTTGGGGTAGCTGGGATAAATCCATTTTCCATGTCAGAGGCTCCAGCGGCGAGGGCAGGTCTGTTTCTGTGGATAGATTGAGACCATTCCCATGCTTCTGCCCACGCAGGGAAAGTCTAGATCCTTTCTTTCCACTTAGTGCGTCGTCAATCTTTTGAAGTAAAACAAAATACTGGTCATCGTCCTGGTTAGGGTCGATGGTAGTGTCATATTTCGATGAGTTCACAAGGATCTGCTTGCGAGTAAGACATTCGGACCAGACATGCGCCAGATCTGTGAGGAGAAGTTCGTAGCCATTTGAGCCGGTGGTAAAGCTGATGTAGAGCGCAGGGCTCAAGCTCTGGCCTTCGAGCGGCAGTCTTTTCCAGAGTGGCCGCATTTCCAGAAACACAGTAGTAATCAAAAAGAAAAGGCAGCTGGAACAGTTTTCAAACTTTTGGACAGCTGTTCCTTTACAATTTATAGCGCTGCATATATGCAGCCTAGAGCTGATGCCTAAGTTTACTTTGCGCAGTACTCAAACTCGTCGTCGGGGTTGAACGGGAAGGTTTCCCGAACTCGGCTGTGTTTCCCATTTTCCCCAAGACTCTATCGAGACCAGGAGAAGGAACCGGTGGCCCAAGACCAATCCTGGCGCCGTCAGCATCACCACAACCTGCGAATATGTCCTCTACATCTCGCGATAAATCCGGATCAAAGCGGAGTCGATCTCGGTCTCCGCCTTGGAAGCGCCCTGAAAAGATCCGTCACGTCGATAGGACCCGCGCGAACGATGGCAATCGACAGCATTGGAGCATGAAAGAACAAGCACGACTCAACCAACTCCAGGAAGACGAACAAATGCGCCAGTGGGTTGCGCAAGAGGATACCTTTGTGCTTAGACAGGCGAAAAAAAAGGCTGAAATACGGGTAAAAGAAGGCCGAGCGAAGCCCATTGACTGGCTTACGGTCACCCTGCGCGTTATCGATCCGACCAGGAACCCTCTTGACGATGAAATTCCCGACTCCGAACTTGATCTAGTGGATCCTGAAGGTGTTTTTGAGGGCTTGTCTGTTTCCCAGCTGATGAGTCTTGAGCAAGATATCGACACATTTCTCAAGCTTGAAACCAATCCTGATAATCAAGAATACTGGAAGGCATGTTCTCCAAAAATACCGCACAGTATCAACAGACTAAGACTGACTTAATTATCTAGACCATGAACGTGATTTGCAGGGATCGACGACAGCGGGCCGAATCTACGGCGCCGGAGGATAGGGCAGTGAGCTCCGTTGCCGCAGACATTAATCGAATATTGAGCCCCAAGTCGTACGAGGAATTAGCCACCCTTGAGGTACAAATACGAAGAAAATTGAATTCGAAGGAGCCGATTGATACGGATTACTGGGAGCAACTATTGAAGAGTCTCACGGTTTGGAAAGCTCGAGCGAAGCTCAGACGAGTTTATCAAGCCGTAATTAAAGGAAGGGTCGAAGAATTACGGAAGCAGCAGCGGGAAGAAGCAGTGAATGTGCAAAACAAGCTGGCTCCTCTTGCGCCATATGAAGGAGCTGGTACCACAGGAATGTCTCCGGAAGAGGAGGAAACAATCCGGGAGCTTGATCCAGAACCGCTTTTGCAGCTCCAATCCCAAGATAAATCCCTTGAAATACTTGACGAGAAGTCGTTCCTTTCTCGAGTGGTACGCTACAAGTTTTGAAATTATGTTATTCACGGTGCTAACCCTAGGATAGGCATCTGACCGGAAGAAAATCCTGAAAATGGGCTACGCGCCATTACGCCAGCGATCAGCAGACAAGTCAGGACCTATTGTCTCTCATACTCAAGAATCGTCCACCATCTCTGCGGTTGCGCCTCGCTTTATGTCAGCCCCGAATGATGACTTTTCCCAAGCCACCAAGGCCCTCTATGAAAGAGAGGTTGCCAGGGGTATTAGCGAGAACGAAGAGATTTTCGCTGGCGAAGAAGTTGTAAACACAACGGTCAAGCCAGCTTGGGCTAATAAATATCGGCCCCGTAAACCGCGATATTTTAACCGCGTTCAGATGGGCTATGAATGGAATAAATACAATCAGACTCACTATGACTATGACGACCCGCCACCGAAGGTTGTTCAAGGATACAAGTTCAATATATTTTATCCCGACCTTATCGATAAAACTAAAGCTCCAACCTATAAAATAGAGCGTGAGCATGGAAGAAAACGTGGTCAATCGTTCGCGCCTGCTGGGGAGGAAGATACGTGCATCATTCGTTTCATTGCAGGTCCACCGTATGAGGATCTTGCCTTTAGAATCGTGGATAAAGAATGGGACTACAGCGCCAAGCGAGAAAGAGGCTTCAAAAGCACTTTCGAAAAGGTAAGCATCCCATTTTGCGCAATGTAGTTGGACAGTATTTTAACATAGGCTGTTTTCTACAGGGTATTTTACAGTTACACTTCCAGTTTAAAAAGGTACGTTCTGTTGAGGCTGTTAAATTAAGTCAAATCTCTAACAGTAATCATCATAGATTTACTACCGCAAATGAGGCCATTGTCCCAGTGAAAAGGATTTCGACCCAGCATTTCATTGGTTGTATGCAGTTGTGTTGTACACCAGTTGTGGCATCCCGGATCAGCCAATCCGTTACGATCCCTTTATGTCGGTGATGAATATCGGGCCGATTTCTTTTTTATTTTGGCAGCAATATATTTAAGCAGCAGGGACTTAGCCGCCATGCAGATTTGGGACACTGTACAACTCGCCTCAGGCTTATAAGTATTAATATTCAGTAACTCCAAGGCTTCTGAATATAGATCCAATGCTAATTCTAGCATCGCAAAGACTTCAAATGCGTGCCGAAACTTTAGGATCTTTTCGCGCCATTCCCTTCGAACGAGATCGGACAGTGAAATAAATGCCGGGTCGCCTCTCTTATGGACAAGCTGATCGGATGTTTTGGGTGCAAGCAAACCGGTGGCTATTTCTCGAATTCTGGGGTACGTATTACACTCAGGTGGTAATTTGATTCTCAAAGCATACATATGTTCTATTGGGATCTTCATCTTGAACTAGTGGCCAGAGATTTTTGGAATCTGTTACATGTGCCTCTCACACGCCTGATTCTTATTGGTTTTGTGGGGGATGATCTAGAAAATAATAAGGCTTCCAGAAGCTTTGTCTGTCCACTATTTAGTGGCCTCAGCCACCTGCTGCGCTACAGTTCTGCAGAATGTAACTAGTGACAGATTTCCAATCCTCATGCAGCTTCCCGTGCGCGCCCAATCCAGCATCACTATGCGTTGACCTAGGCAGTTTGACACATTTCTATTCCTTTCCCGGTTCTACCACGCTACTGTAGAGGCGGATCTTGGCTATCCCTGCATAATAATTGGCCTTACATACATATGGACTGGTTGCTGTTCCACAAGGACTCTACCTTCAGGCTAAACACCATGTTATACTGAATTGCAGTCTAACTTCTGGATACTTATTCTTTGTTTGCTCCTTTTCTATCATTCCCTCTCAACGGCTTGCGGGGAGCAAGCATGTATCCTTGTGCCCCGTCCCATGCTGTAAGTTGCTTCAACTACTTGCTTTTCTAATGCTCCATTTACTTGCGGAAGACTGCTGATTTTCTTCCTTAACTTAGTCTCACAAGCCCTGTTCTTAAATATCTTCTCCTCAATTTAGTCACACGTTCATAGAATCTGTTGACCCTGGTTACAATTTGAACAAAGTGACTTGCGTGGTTCAGCTACGCCAAAGAGGAAGATGGAAGAAGTTCCCATGTCTCATTCTGTTCATAGTGCACAGGCACATACAACTTGCACCCCTTTAAACATAACGCGCCTGAATGAGAAATTGTCCTTGCAGCAACCATCATTCTCTCTTGAACCTGTTTCATCTCCAGCTGGCCCCATTGATGAATTCTCTCTTTCGCATTTTGCCATAAACATGCTCAGCTCAAGGGACCTTTCAGAAAACTATAGTTCACATTCAGTGCAAGATTCTCTTTCCGATCCATACACTTGGGAATTCGACATGAATGAGCTTTCCGGCGATTCTGGGCTCTTCTATCACCAAGCTCCAGATGTTTTAGAAAACATACCCTCTTCACCATCCCGCTTCGGACATGCTGAATACGAACATGAAAGCTGGATTGATATCAACAGATCATTCCCTACTCCCGAGAACATTGACCACTTGGCAACATTTCAAGATTTCCAAACCGCGCATGAGCACCAAGAGTTGAATTCTCCTGTGTCGGTTCCCGACAAGGAAATCGCTCCATCTTACGATTTGCAAAGCTGCATTGGATCTTGTCCGTCATTTGAAGGCTCCACTTCACGGCCCGGGAGCGCCGTTTATTCATACTTTACCACCGATAATTCAATGGCGTCCAGCCCATTGGGGGATTTGCTGCCGTTGTTACAACCACGCTCTGTGCCTGACATAGGAATCGGGCTCTCCGAGGAAGATTCAGATACAGATGGTATTCCATCAGATGAGCCGTATGCAATACTGATCTGGAAAGCACTTATGTCTGCCCCCGGGCACGGCATGGTCCTCAAAGAAATCTACGAATGGTTCGAAAAGCACACCAACAAGGCCAAAGACCCAGATTCAAAAGGTTGGCAGAACAGTATTCGTCATAACCTCTCCATGAATGCTGTAAGTTGCGTGAGTCTCGTCAATCACAGTTTCATACTCTAAAAGTCCCCATAGGCATTCGAAGCGGTTCGAGAAATCTCCTCCCCTGGAGGATCGCCAAAGAAATCCGGAAATGTTTGGGTTCTCACTGAACGAGCGATAAAACACGGCGTGCAGTCAACAACAAGGTACAGGAAGCCAGGTATCCATAAGAAGACTACAAAGTCTGAACAACCGGCGCCGCAGCGGCAACGATCGGGAGCAAAAGGTGGACGCGCAGCCAAAAAAGCAGCGAAGTTTAGGCGAGCTCTCCAAGAAGCACAGAGAGCAGGAGAAAATCATTCTTCTTCTCGCCACATGCAGTCTGACAACGCTGAAGGCATCGCGGCCTATACGACGCACGGCGAACAGGAGCAACCCATATCTCCAGCGAATCTTGAAATGAATCTTACTCTAGGAGGTTACAATTTTAGCGATCTCTCGGGCTGCACTGACCTCCCGCCTGAATCTCCAATTTTCTATCACAACATACGCACTGGCGGAGGAGGGTTGATCCCCGATTGCTCTACCCTGGATAGTGAAACGATTGGCTTAGATTTCAATTCATTTATGTAGATTTGACTTTTGTGGATAAAGAGGAGCCGCTTTTTCCCCCTTCCCGCCATCGTTTCCCTAATTTGGAGTTGCTTTTTTCCTTGCCTTGCAAACGTCGCCTTCCTGCAGTCAGATGCATAGTATATCTATTTTTTAAGTTCTTTGCGGAGTACTGCGCATCTTCTTCGCATTTCAGCTCGTTTACTCTGGTGGGGGTGTCGGTGCACTTGGAGCATTATGTATTCCGGGAGTTGTCTGAACCCTTTGGGCGTTGGCATAACGGTCCATGTTGAAAGGCCCTTTTCGCATCCATGGATGACTCGACGACGCATACGGCCAGCTTTGAAAATACGTCCTCCTTGCATGTAATGATTGTATGATAGTGTTTAGTTCTTTGAAAATTTTTATTCTATGATCTGCGCTGGAGAGGTATGAGTTATCTCACTTTCAAGATTGGAAACGAGGCCAATCATGATAGATAGCTGGCAGAACTTGATATGGCTCAAATTTTGCAGGAAATCATCATCATTCGGGATTAGAAGATTCCAGTAATGTATCTACCCTACCCAGAACCTTTGAGAGAAGATGCCGGGTTCGTTCAGGCTTCAAGGGACTCTATATTCCTGGAAACATTATCATTCGAGATGAAGGTGCAATATAACCGTGTTGATTGGTTTCCGCCGCATTGCGCCAGCAATCTTCATGTAAGGTCCCACCCGGCCGTCCCTTGCCCGTGAAGATAATCCCTCAGTTGACCGCTGTCGTCATGATGTGCTTGGACGCATTTCCCGACAATCCCCGGCCGCCTCTTATGGGAAACCTGAAGCCAATACTTCATGCTTGACAGTCCGTGCAACTTGTCTCGGATCGAGAGGCTCGTAAACCACTTCTTTGGTCGAGGTCTCCTCAATTGCATGGTCCGTCGATGGTAAGTTGCGGAACGCAAGAACGAGATGCGGTGGCGAGCGACAAGCTATCCTCCTTGTCACTCGTAGGGCAGCGCCTGGGTTAACAGCACGATAGCGCAACAGTCGTGGAAAAACTTAGTGGACGCTAACTGCTGCACCTCGAAATGCACTCTGCGGCGGCTTGGAGGTATCCAAAGCTAAACTCGGCGGTTTCCTGTCAGACATCCCCAGCACGAACTATGGTTCTGACCTGACGGGTCGATGCAAGCTCGAATGGTGATGGCCACTTGTTTGACTGTCCTTGTGCTCGAGCCTCGAGAGTGTAAGCTGCAGCCCTCTCGGCCACGTCGCCGGTGGTTTATTGGTTCTGTCCTAGGCTAGGCAAGGGTCCTGTTGGTAACGATTCGATCCTAGACCGATAAGGAAATATCCTATGTTCTGTAGTTTTCTCCCTCAAGTGCGTGTGCTCTCCGCAGGCTAATCAAGTGGATGGATGTGCATCCTGCGCCAGTTTCATCGTCGTTGTCTGGACTGCGCCATCCATGCGTTTGAATGGGCCGGATCTGCCATCCGTCCACGAATATGTCCCGATCCATGATTCTCAGGGTCCTCGCCTGGTTTCAATGAAACAAACATGTCTCCGAAGTTGATCTATCCAAATCCTCAAAAGCCTCGCAAGATCGGCACCGATTAAAGTTATTGTTATTTACTCGGTTCGACGAAGACTTACATGTGGGATGCAAGCCTTGAATACACAAGAACCAAATGCGCGTGCCGCCCTGCATCCCCGAACGAACCATGGAAAGGTGTCTCCATGCAATAATGAAAGTATCTTCGATTGTTGCTCGCAAGAACGACGTACCGTATGTCCATACATACATTCGTGCATTGAATCCAGGAGGCTTCGTATTTTGAAACCGACCAGTACCAGTATCTTGAAGACCTATCTCCAAGTCTTCAGCCAGGTCACGACCGTATGGTCAACGCAAGTTCTCAGACGGGACGGATATTCGAACGGAGGTGCAGAATACAACCTCTCTGGCTTCAAGGATTCCCTCAGTACTCCGTCGACCAACTTGCGATCCGTGGCTGCATTTAGCGGCCCGATCCAGAACTTACTCCGTGTCGTACCGACCTTTCGAAGTTCTGCAGGATGGACATACAAGTTATCGGACGGAAACGCGGAATAGCTACCCCGTCCATCCGCAGCCTGTCTTTTCTAGACCGATTTAATCCGTTGCTGCAACGAGACAAAAACGGCTGGGCAGAGAGTGTGTCAATGACCCGGGTCTTCAAGGACGTTGGGGTCGGATGAGCAATGCGGCGTCCACGGCCTAGTCCAACGTTTGAACAATATCTAACAAGGATTCGACCAGGGGCAACCGCGCCTCATCCATACCAGGTTCAAGTCTAATCAAACATGCGTTTGAAACGTACCTTCCTCTTATCGTGAGCGAGAAGTTTTCGATCTCGTGAAGTCTATTTTTGAGGGTCCATGGTATGCATATGCCCTAAACATGTCGCTTCGAGATCTTTCGAGTTGGGCTAAGAATACCCCTGTGTTTGGGACTTTGCAATTGCCTCGATATCGTGGGACGCTCGGAGATGTGCCCTCTTTCCTCTACGCCGTGGCCAGGTCTCAGATGATGTGCCACTGGTCTCTTCGAACGACGGTTGTGGTCGATCGGTACATGCCCCCTCTTTCTTGAGCATCTTTGGCAAGCTGGAGCTCTTCAGAAATGGCTGCCACCCTGCAGAGATGATCGCATCCATGCAGGATTAGCGATGTGTGTAGGTCTCGACGCATTCCGGTGGGCCAGAGCCGTAGAAACCCGCTGCTTGCTTCCTCCCATAGTCCCCATTGTTCAGGGAATGAGAAGGTCCCTCCCTGCGATTTTCTTCTTGCACATACCTCCAAAGCACCAAGCAAAGGATGGCAGATACTCATTCTTCTGCTGGTTTTGTAGGGAACATAGTCATTAGCGTGGAGCCACTGTCCTCTACAATGGGCACAGGTCCTTCGTTACGGAACACAGATTAATATGAGAAGCCTTGGAAGGCTGTTGCTCGGCACTCAAAGATCCTTGAATGGAAGTCCAACTCTACTAGCCTTTCATGGCGCGAGCATCTAAATTTACCTGGATCATGCATCCGAAATAGCGAGTTTTTGTGGCACGATATTGCATGTTAATCGATGATAGGACTATTAGCCGCCATCAATTCGCTGTGCCATGAATAGCGCTGCAGTTTACCGGCCATGTTGCATACGTACAGAGCACCGAATGAAAAACTGCAGCGAGATCCAGAACCCAACATGACTGAGAAAGCGTCTTCTAGCTTGACAGGCATTTCTTCGGACAGCTGCCCCCCCTTTGTGTGGGCAAGCCATGCCAAGTCTCGTTATTGTGCATTCAAAGGGCAGTCTCATCCAAGATGCGCAAAACGTGAACCGACTCGGAATTCTCTACGGAGCATACCGAATGATGTAGGCCGGCCAGCGGGCATCTGTTTCTGATATTTCGTCAAAAATCTATATTTGTCAATCCATGCTTCACCGTTCCAAAAGACTTGAGGCTGTTTCGCCCAACCGAGTGCAAGTACAGAGTCAGGACTTCAAAAGGTAATTGAAGCTCTTAGTGATCGATAGGTTGGCCACGCTGAAACTTTATGTTCAAGGTATTGTAATTCTTTGGCACTGCTGGTTTAATGACAGCCAACAAAATGAAGCATCCCATAAATAAAATAGGGCCATTAACTATTCCCCCGTAACAGGATTTCATTGGAAAGCTCGTGCAAGCAGGTAAGATAAGCATGGTTGATTGCTTCGTTATCCCATGCCATGTATGTCCCAGAACTCCGGTGCAATCCAACGTCATACCAGACCCATCACCGTATCCGACAACATTTTCTCATCCCTTCATCGCTTCTTCGCCGAGGCAGCGGCCTTCTCTTGCGACTCCTTCAGAACCTTCTTGACGATCTTCTGCTCTTCAATCAAGAAAGCACGGACGATCCGGTCCTTGACGCAGTTTCCGCAACGGGAGCCACCATAGGCGCGGGTGACATTCTTCTTTGGGCGGGAGATCTGGGAGTATTCACGGGGACGAAGAGCGGGAATCTTTGGTCAAGAACCATCAGTATCGCATAACCACCATAGTTTCGCAATCCAAACCGCATTGTTTCCAAAATATTGCGCCCCCAAAATTATCCCCAAATCGAATTGTAAAACCAGCCAAAAGGGAGACTCACTCCTGGGAGCTTGATACCGCAATCACCGCATTTTGGTGCGGTACCCTTCTTCTTGATGTGGAGGTATCGAAGTTCACCACCCGGAGTCTTGATCACACGGACCTTGTTGGACCGCGTCTTGTACCTGGTAGCGCATTCGATTGTTAATTTCACTCTGAATTTCATGTCGTAAGCCTGGTGATCGTGAGAGGTGCACATACGGGTTCCTTCGTCGCTGGATAAAAAAAAACCTCGGTCAGCATATTCCCTCAATTGGTCCCCCGGAATGACACTTTGAACTCACGTATTGGAGTCTGGTATTTCCCATTTTGACTGTCCTCTAATCTCAGCGACTTGTGAGATTCGGTTCTGGAGGATGGCGGTGTCGTCGTTGTCGTCGTCGATAAGATTTCAGTGAGCAACCCCGATTTGTGTGGGTTGCGGGCTGGATGCACTAAAATTTTGGCGAGTTAGCGCTAACCCTAAAGTAGACTAGCCCATGCCAAGATCCGACGTCGCCACTTCAGGGAAATCTTTCAACGCGCATCGCCTTGTCGCTTTATTGAGAGGTCTCGATGGGATGTTTATCTCGACAGTTCACCTTTACCGTCAATTTGCCCTCTTTTTTTGACTTTAACCACCTTTTTGTTGTTTTGGCGTCCCTGTGCGCAATATTCCAGAGGCGCCCATGGTGAAACTGACGTGAGGTGTTCATATCATCGACGCGAAACACAGTCCTGGTTTTGCAGCTTGATTACCCATAATGGCTTCACTGCCTCCTCCCCCGCCCCCAGGATGGGGTGCCGGAGCTCCCCCTTCCATGCCACTTGCTCCTCCGCCCCCCGGATACCGACCACCAGCCGACCCAAGAGTCGCCAAGTTCGAGCAGAAGAAGAAGGAGTGGCTTCGAACACAGCGGAATCGGTTCGGGGAGAAGCGAAAGGCAGGATTTGTGGAAACCCAGAAGGCCGATATGCCGCCGGAGCATTTGCGAAAGATCGTGAAGGATATCGGAGATGTGTCCCAGAAAAAGTTCAGCACTGATAAAAGAAGCTACCTTGGAGCGTTGAAGTTTATGCCGCATGCTGTATTGAAGCTATTGGAGAATATGCCGATGCCATGGGAGTCTGCTAGAGAGGTCAAAGTGCTCTATCATGTGAATGGCTGCTTGACCCTTGTCAACGAAACTCCTCGAGTGATTGAGCCGGTCTTCCATGCGCAATGGGCGACTATGTGGGTCTGTATGCGACGGGAGAAGAGCGACCGAAGACATTTCAAGAGAATGCGATTTCCGCCGTTTGATGACGAGGAACCTCCCTTATCATGGTCGGAGAACATTGAAGATGTGGAGCCCCTAGAGCCCATTCAGATGGAGCTAGATGAAAGTGAAGATGGCCCGGTATATGAATGGTTCTATGACCATAGGCCTCTTCTTGATACACCTCATGTGAATGGACCTAGCTACAAAACGTGGAACCTGAATCTCCCCCAAATGGCGACCTTATATCGACTCAGTCGGCAGCTTCTGAGCGATGTGGTGGATAAGAACTATTTCCACATGTTCGATTTGAATAGTTTCCTAACAGCAAAGGCCCTCAACGTTGCTATTCCGGGTGGCCCAAGGTTCGAGCCGTTATACAAGGATATAGACCCTAACGACGAAGATTTCGGTGAATTTAACGCTATTGATCGCATCATCTTCCGAGCGCCAATTAGAACTGAATACAGGGTCGCTTTTCCCTATTTGTACAACTCATTACCGAGAAGCGTGAAGCTGTCGTGGTACTCTCATCCTCAAGTTGTATATGTTCGAACCGACGATCCGAATCTTCCAGCGTTTTACTTCGACCCCGTTATTAATCCTATTTCTTCTCGATCGGTCGCTCCAAAGAACATCACCGTTAGCCACGAAGATCAAATCTTCGGTCCGGGAAACGATGAAGATGATTTCGAGCTCCCTGGTGATATTGAGCCTTTCTTAGCTGACGAAGAGCTATATACAAGCGAAACAGCGTCAGCTATTAGTCTGTGGTGGGCTCCATATCCGTTTGATAGACGTTCGGGTAAAATGGTACGAGCACAAGATGTGCCTCTGGTGAAGCAGTGGTATCTTGAACATTGTCCCCAAGGTCAGCCCGTAAAGGTTCGGGTGTCTTACCAAAAGTTACTCAAGACATATGTTCTCAATGAGCTGCATAAGAAAAAGCCGAAAGCTCAGAACAAACAAAATCTATTGAGAGCCTTAAAGGGAACGAAGTTTTTCCAGCAGACCACCATTGATTGGGTGGAAGCTGGTCTTCAAGTTTGCCGTCAAGGTTTTAATATGCTAAATTTGCTAATCCACCGGAAGAACCTGACATACCTGCATTTGGATTACAATTTTAACCTCAAGCCCGTCAAAACCTTGACAACTAAAGAACGTAAAAAGTCTCGCTTTGGAAACGCGTTCCACTTAATGAGAGAAATCCTCCGACTTACCAAGCTGATCGTCGACGCCCAAGTTCAGTATCGCCTTGGTAATATTGATGCTTTCCAGCTTGCAGATGGAATACTCTATGCGTTCAACCATGTCGGCCAGCTTACCGGAATGTACAGATATAAGTACAAACTCATGCACCAGATCCGATCCTGCAAAGATCTGAAGCATCTAATTTATTACCGTTTCAACTCCGGCCCTGTAGGAAAGGGCCCTGGCTGTGGCTTCTGGGCGCCTGCATGGAGAGTGTGGCTTTTCTTCCTCCGTGGAATAATCCCTCTTCTGGAACGATGGCTTGGAAATTTGTTGTCTAGACAGTTTGAAGGCCGACATAGTAAGGGAGTGGCAAAGACCGTTACCAAACAGCGAGTTGAGTCTCATTTCGACTTGGAGCTTCGAGCGTCTGTGATGGCGGATCTAATGGACATGATGCCAGAGGGAATCAAGCAGAACAAAGTCAATACAGTCCTTCAGCACCTTTCAGAAGCGTGGAGATGCTGGAAGAGCAACATTCCGTGGAAAGTACCCGGTCTTCCAGCTCCAATCGAGAACATTATTTTGCGATACGTTAAGAGCAAGGCGGATTGGTGGATATCGGTCGCTCATTACAACCGTGAGCGAATTCGGCGCGGAGCAACCGTTGATAAAACAGTGGCTAAGAAAAACCTTGGTCGTTTAACTCGTCTATGGTTGAAAGCTGAGCAAGAGCGACAGCATAACTACCTGAAAGACGGCCCGTATGTATCTTCTGAGGAAGCTGTTGCTATCTACACTACCACCGTTCATTGGCTTGAATCCCGCAAATTTTCACCGATCCCGTTCCCTAGTGTATCCTACAAGCACGACACAAAGATTTTGATTTTGGCCTTGGAACGTTTACGTGAGGCATATTCGGTCAAAGGCCGTTTGAATCAAAGCCAGCGAGAAGAACTTGCTTTGATCGAACAAGCCTACGATTCCCCAGGCACAACTCTTGCGAGAATCAAGCGATTCCTTCTTACTCAGCGAGCGTTTAAAGAGGTTGGTATCGATATGAACGACAACTATAGTCATATCAACCCAGTTTATGACATCGAGCCTATCGAGAAGATCACCGATGCATATTTGGACCAGTATCTATGGTATCAAGCTGATCAACGCCACCTTTTCCCGTCCTGGATTAAACCTTCTGATTCCGAAGTGCCGCCGCTTCTCGTTTATAAATGGGCCCAAGGCATCAACAACCTTTCAAATGTGTGGGAGACCGCTGACGGCGAATGCAACGTCATGATTGAGACGGAGCTTTCGAAAGTGTATGAAAAGATTGATCTTACACTTCTCAACCGCTTACTCCGTCTCATTATGGACCATAACTTGGCAGATTATATCACGTCTAAAAACAACGTTCAGCTCAACTACAAGGATATGAACCACACTAACAGCTATGGTCTAATCCGCGGTCTCCAGTTCTCCGGCTTCGTCTTCCAATACTATGGCTTGGTGATCGATCTACTCCTGCTCGGGCTGCAGCGAGCCAGTGAGCTAGCCGGTCCACCCCAGAGCCCTAACGACTTCCTACAGTTCAGGGATCGAGCAACAGAAACCAGACATCCGATCCGTCTCTACACGAGATACATTGACAAAATCTGGGTATTTTTTAGATTCACCGCCGACGAGTCTCGTGATCTGATCCAACGGTTTTTGACCGAACAGCCCGACCCGAACTTTGAAAATGTTATCGGTTATAAGAATAAAAAGTGCTGGCCGAGAGATTCTAGGATGAGACTGATGAGGCATGATGTCAACCTTGGTCGTGCCGTGTTCTGGGATTTGAAGAATCGTCTTCCAAGGTCTATAACTACAATTGAATGGGATGACACGTTTGCGAGTGTCTACAGTCGGGACAACCCTAATCTTCTCTTCTCCATGTGCGGATTCGAAGTGCGTATCCTTCCAAAGACTCGAAACCAGAATGAGGAATTTTCGGTAAAAGACAGCGTCTGGTCCCTCACAGATAATTCCACGAAAGAGCGAACTGCGTATGCATTCCTTCAGGTCACGGAAGAAGATATCCAGAAATTCAATAATCGCATTCGACAGATTCTTATGTCCTCTGGGTCGACTACGTTCACCAAAATTGCGAACAAATGGAATACCAGCTTGATTGCGCTCTTCACATACTACCGTGAAGCTGCAGTCTCGACTGTTAACCTCCTAGATACCATTGTGAAGTGCGAGACCAAAATTCAAACTCGAGTGAAGATCGGCCTTAACTCCAAGATGCCTTCTCGTTTTCCTCCTGCGGTGTTCTATACACCTAAGGAATTAGGAGGGCTAGGCATGATATCCGGGTCGCACATCCTTATCCCTGCGAGTGACAAACGGTGGTCCAAACAGACCGACACTGGAGTCACTCACTACAGAGCGGGAATGTCACATGACGAAGAGACGCTTATTCCTAACATCTTCCGTTACATCATTCCGTGGGAAGCCGAGTTTATTGATTCACAACGTGTCTGGATGGAGTATTCACAGAAACGACAAGAGGCCAACCAGCAGAATCGACGACTGACTCTCGAGGATCTGGAAGACAGCTGGGATCGTGGTCTTCCACGTATTAACACTTTGTTCCAAAAGGATCGCAGTACGCTCAGTTTTGACAAAGGTTTCCGTACTCGTACGGAGTTCAAGACCTATCAGTTGATGAAGAGCAATCCTTTCTGGTGGACCAGTCAAAGGCATGACGGCAAACTGTGGAATCTCAACGCCTACCGTACCGACGTCATCCAAGCCTTGGGAGGCGTCGAAACAATCTTGGAGCACACGCTTTTCAAGGCAACCGCGTTCCCTTCCTGGGAGGGTCTCTTTTGGGAGAGAGCGTCTGGCTTCGAAGAGTCGATGAAATTCAAAAAGCTCACAAACGCCCAAAGATCCGGTTTGAACCAGATTCCCAATCGTCGCTTCACTCTTTGGTGGTCTCCTACCATCAATCGTGCCAATGTTTACGTTGGTTTCCAAGTGCAGCTGGATCTTACTGGTATCTTCTTGCATGGCAAGATCCCAACTTTGAAGATCTCCCTGATCCAGATCTTCCGAGCACATTTGTGGCAGAAAATCCACGAGTCGGTTGTCATGGATCTTTGCCAGGTATTCGACCAGGAACTCGAGCAACTTGGCATTGAAACGGTTCAAAAGGAAACTATTCACCCGCGTAAATCCTACAAGATGAACAGTTCTTGTGCCGATATCCTTTTATTCGCTACACATAAATGGAACGTCACACGCCCTTCACTTTTATTCGATACAAAGGATGTGATCGAGGCCACAACGACAAACAAATTCTGGTTGGATGTACAATTGAGATATGGCGATTACGATTCTCACGATATCGAAAGATATGTCCGTGCTAAGTATCTTGATTATACCACGGATAGCATGAGCATCTATCCCTCGGCAACTGGACTGATGATCGGTATCGACCTGGCATATAACCTGTATTCTGCGTATGGCCAGTACTTCCCTGGTTTGAAAGCTCTCGTCCAACAAGCCATGGCCAAAGTTATGAAGGCAAATCCAGCTTTGTACGTCCTAAGAGAACGTATCCGCAAGGGTCTGCAGCTTTATGCGTCGGAGAGCAACCAAGAGTTTCTAAACTCTCAAAATTATTCTGAACTCTTCAGTAACCAAATCCAGCTATTCATCGACGATACCAATGTCTATCGCGTCACTATCCACAAAACCTTTGAAGGCAACTTGACGACAAAGCCTATCAACGGTGCCATTTTCATCTTCAACCCGCGGACTGGCCAGCTCTTTTTGAAAATTATTCACACAAGCGTTTGGGCCGGACAAAAACGTCTGGGTCAGTTGGCTAAATGGAAAACCGCAGAAGAAGTGGCGGCGCTTATCCGATCTCTACCAGTTGAAGAACAGCCCAAGCAGTTGATTGTTACAAGAAAGGGTCTTCTTGATCCTCTTGAAGTGCATCTTCTTGACTTCCCAAACATTTCAATTCGAGCTTCCGAGTTACAACTGCCATTCCAGGCCGCCATGAAGATTGAAAAACTCGCAGATATGATTCTTCGGGCAACGGAGCCACAGATGGTACTGTTCAACTTGTATGACGAATGGCTAAAGACAATCTCGTCGTACACTGCCTTCTCCCGGTTGATTTTAATCCTCCGAGCACTGCATGTCAACATTGACAAGACCAAGATTCTCTTGCGTCCAGATAAGAGTGTAATTACCCAAGAGCACCATATCTGGCCTACCCTTTCGGATGAGGATTGGATCAAACTCGAAGTTCAGCTCCGTGATTTAATCTTGAACGACTACGGCAAGAAGAACAATGTTAACACCCAGAGTTTGACCAGCAGCGAAGTTCGGGATATTATTCTTGGTATGGAGATTAGTGCACCGTCATTACAGCGTCAGCAGGCCGCCGAAATGGAGAAGCAGCAACAGGATCAAAAGCAGCTCACCGCCGTGACTACCAAGACACAAAACGTACGCGGGGAAGAGATTATTGTTACGACCACGTCTCAATACGAGCAGCAGTCCTTCGCCTCGAAGACAGAGTGGCGTACACGTGCCATTGCGACATCGAATCTTCGGACACGGGCTAACAATATCTATATCTCGTCCGAGGACATTCAAGAGGATGGACATTTCACGTATATCATGCCAAAAAATATCCTCAAACGATTCATTATGATCTCGGACCTCCGGGTTCAGGTGGCTGCGTTCTTATACGGTCGCTCACCTCCCGATAACGCACAGATCAAGGAAATAATAACCATCGTCATGATACCACAAGTTGGGAACACTCGAGACGTTCAGCTGCCCCAGCAACTGCCAAAACACGAATATCTCAACGACCTTGAGCCGCTTGGAATTATCCACACCATGTCGGGCAACGAGCCATCGTATATGACCGCTATGGACGTTACGCAACACTCCCGTCTAATGAATGCGCATCCATCATGGGATAAGAAGACTGTGACTATGACAGTATCTTTTACTCCGGGCTCCGTTTCCTTGTCTGCATGGTCGTTGACTCCTCAAGGCTATAAATGGGGCGCTGAGAACAAGGATACGAGCTCAGACCAACCGCAGGGATTCTCGACCAGCTTTGGTGAGAAGTGTCAGCTACTGCTCAGCGATCGTATTCGTGGCTATTTCTTGGTTCCTGAGAACAATGTGTGGAATTACAGCTTCATGGGCAGCTCGTTCAGCAGCGTGGAGAAGAGACCTGTGTACGTCAAGGTTGACACTCCATTGCGATTCTACGATGATCAGCACAGGCCTTTACATTTCCAGAACTTTGCCGAGCTAGAGGATATCTGGGTAGATCGGACTGATAACTTCGCGTGATCTCCTCGTTTCATATTCTTACCGTTCTACTTTGGTTAGAAGAAATACTTCAAATATTGTATGGCGTTCTAGCAATGCTTTTCAAAAGGGGACCGTATTTTTCATTCAAAGTCGTTATATTTGGGAGATGATTTCATGTATTTTTAATACCACGGAGATTGAGACTGGCAATGATATGTATTCTAGGCAGGTTAAGAATAATGTATTAGTGACGAAGGGATTTACATCTCTATGATCATGTACCTGCGCTGCGGGTGGGCTTGTTGCCGTGGCCAGCCAGTAATTATTCATGATTCCTCATCGAATCAAACCTCCAGCCAAACGGGGGGCGCATTCTAAGGTTTGGATACCTCGCGGACTCGTTATCCTTCGTGGTGACGGAAAACCTTGTGACGGCAGATCATATCTGTACCCATACTCCATAATCCTACAACATCCTGCAATATTAACCAGCTCTCACGCCGGACAAAGTATAAAAGCAAAGATACAACCTAATCCCCCACGCTTCACCAGAGTTGTGAAAAAAGTTCCGATGCTCATTTCAGGTCAGGAACATCGACCGAGCGCCTCATTCTTGGACGGGTGTTTTATTAGTTGTTTAGTTCGCATTTCCCCGCGCATTTTGGGGGTTCTGTCTGTAGTGCGTGCACGGTTGGGGGGGGGAAAAAAAAAGGAATCCCTGCCCAGCCCCCCAGACATTAGGTATCGCTCGATCTTCAGGGCCAAACAGCGATGGCCTTCGACTTCCAATCCAGCCTTCACCGCCTCGACCCTGAACACACGTGGGGGATCACGCGCCTGATGGGTGGGTTTGTCAATCTTCACTGTTCGGGCCGAGAAGCAGACGCTATGCTCGCGGGAAGGGGTGTGTGCTAGCTGCCGAAGTTCCGGAAACGGCGGACGATATTATGGAGTAGGCGAAAGGTCGCGCGCCCCGCGGATTGGGCGGTATGGGAGCTTGATATCGAAGTATGCTCCACCGTACGTGGCCAGTGTGGGCGAAAGTGCGCCGTTTGATCAGGCGAGACAGGTAAGTAATGGGTCTTCGTTCTTTTTCTTTTTTTCTTTCTTTCTTTCTTTTTTGGCTTTTTTGCTTCTTCTTCTTCTTCTTCTTCTTCTCTCCTGGTGTTTTTCTTTTTTCTTTTTATTGTTCTGTGGTTCTCTTTGTTTTGCTTTTCTCGGTCTTTTTCTTTTTTTTCTTTTTCCTTTCTTTTTATATATATTCCGCGAAATTCGTTTCACTGAATCGCATATGCGTAGAAAGTCGAAGCGAACGCTCTGCGTCCCTTCGCCGGACCTCTAGTATCAGCTTTCTCAAACAACTTACCCGTTGTGCCCGCATTGATATACCATATCTCATGTTTTGATCCTTGAAGACCTGGGTAGTCTACCTCCCTTGCTGGATTACCTCTCGTGTTCTTCAGCCCTAGCGGGCAAGTCATTCACAGACAATGAGTCTTGTGAATATGTTGGGAAGAGCCTGCGAAAGTTCTTCGCGTATCTGCATTCAAGGAGTACCTTCGATGGAATCGTCGCTCCCTTCGACGGCGAGCGGGATCTCACTTCCATCTGGAACCCAAGCATGAAAGCCGTGGTGAGAAGCGTGGCTGTTGCGCCCATCAGGGGCTACCTGCATGGCTTTGGTATCCCTGACCCCGAAGGGCTCTGTCAAGTTGTCGAAAAGGACTTTGAACGGCAGGAATTCTTTGAAGACGAGGGCTGTTTTTCCCTCGGAGACTTGTGGCCCGGTGGGATCCTGGTTGGGGGGCTTTAGGGGGCTTAACGGTGGATATTAACATCGGTGTTATCGACTGGGAGTTCGCTGCTTTGGGAAGAGGAGCAAATGGGAACATGGCGCAGCTGCTGGCCCACTTGCACCTCTACCTGATTGCTTGGAAATTCTCTACGGGTCAAAAAGCTCGTGTTCCCGCGGGCATTGAGCGTCTGATGGAGACGCTTTGTCTTGAATATTACCACTACAACAGCCGGAAGGCCAGCCTCGACTACGGAAAGGAGGAGCTAGACAACGTGGATCACCCCGGGAGAGGCGATTCTAGGGAAATACCGGTTTGGCAGCAGGTATTCAGATCGGCTCTGATTCTTCATGGGCGCGAGATGATTAATAATGCCGTTGAGACTGGTTGGGGCGAATTCTACGAGGACGGGAGCAAAGAGGGTGAAAAGCGATTGGTCCAGCGCATGATAGGCACCGGCGTCCGGTGTATTCAGCTTGCCGGGGCGTCGATTAATGGCTTTATCCAAAAGGAGCATTTCGAGGATGTGTGCCGGAGCAGGGAGGCCGCGGTGATATCTGCATTGGTTCTGAAGCGGGATAGATTATTCACGAAGGATGATGGGGCCTGAGGCTGAAACCGATTAGACCAGATGTAATACTTTTTTCCTAACAATACTTTGTTTTTCGCCACCGGACAGCGGCCGGAGAGCATGAGATTTTTTTTATCCAAGGGGGGTTTGCCTGGCCGTCTCGTCTGCTCAGGAAAGAAAAGGGGCTATCTCAGGCAACTCCTAGGCAGAAGAGGGTGCTATCGGGGGCAGGCAGGGAGCTAGTCCGTAACGGGAAGGTAGATTTCGGAATAACAGATGTTCCGGAGCGGCTCCCGATAGGATTCATGCGGCTAAATCGATAGTCGCGGCGAAAAAAAAATAAATAAAAATAAAAATAAAAACAAAATTACAAAGAGCTCTCGAAATTGCAGAAAGAAAAAACGGGCGATGCACTGCAATGTGAGGGGAGTCGAACGGGCTCTCTTTGCTCGTTCTCGTATTTCAAAACCAGCCAGAGCTACCCTCCCACACCCAAACCCCCTCACCAGGACAAGACAATATCATTTCCAGCGAAATGGGATTGTCTTGCATTCTCATTTCATCACCGATCAGACAGCGAACTACAAGGTTCTCCCATTGCTGATCGGATAATTAACTATGCAGCGTGTGGATATTTGTTTTTCCAGCGTCGAGTCCGGCCGTGGGCCTCTCTGTTCGTCGCAGAAACCCGCATGGATCTTGCTCGCCGGCGTGTTTTGACCCTTTCGATGTGGCGCAAAAATACAAATAAAAATTCCAACGGCAAAGAGCCCCCCTTCAGGCTTCCTGGGGGGGGGGGGGTTGCCAGCAAAAAGGAATCTTGTGCGTGCTTAGCGTGGTTAACGTCTGGCCGGGGTCTTGATCCTCCACCATGTGGCGCCGAACTCAAAAATCTTAAGGTAACGGGGGTGGGCATAATTGAACTTACGGCCACGAGACTTTCATGCACAATGCAAGCCAATCGAAATCCGGCCTTGCGGTGCCTGAGAAGATCAGAAAGGGAGAGAGACAGGAACCAAAAACAAAAAAAAAAGAAAAGAAAAGAAAAGAAAAGAAAAGAAAAGAAAAAAGAGGAGGACAGGGAATGGGAGCCCGCCCACCTCCAAAACCCGCTTGTCAGACCCGGGGGCGAGGGTTTTGGCCCTTGAAATTTGATCGTCTACCCTCAAAAGGGAACGGAGCCAGTCGTCCGAGTCGTTTAAACTCAATCTCAGGAAAAAGCACCAAGCTAAGCTACGAAATACATAAAACTCACTAGCCGTGCGGGGGAAAGTGACCTGGCAATCATGATTCTTACCCGTTGATTGATCCCCAAAAGGGCCGCTTCCGCCCTGATAAGACTGGTGATAGGCAGGCCTGGAGAAACAAATCCCAAGCCCCAGTCTTCTCTTGGCGAGGCCCTTCGCAACCTTAACCGCTTGCTTGTCGAAACACTGGTCTGTCCTGCCAGTGTCATTATACAATAAAATGTGCTCTATTATGCTATGATGGTGGTGTCGAACTTTTTTTTTCCCTCTCTGAAGGTATGTGTATGTGTGTGTGGGTACATAACATCCTCTTCTCTTGTGCATGAGTTGCATGTCCCTCCATGCCGGGGTCCTGAGCAGAAATTAAAGACGCACTTTCGGAAAAAGATGATTGGATGGCTCATTTTCGGTCTCCCATATCCGACATGTCAGGGTTGATTTAACTTGATACAGGTCACGAACGCATCATTTATCTCTGATTTGATTTACATACTTGACTTTAATAACTTTTTTTTCTTTTGCTTGTTGTGCCCATGAGCAAACCAGATTGCGGAGGTAACTCTGTGACCCTGCATGGAGGGTCCTGGACGCCCATCAGCAGATCAAGCTTGGGGTTCGCGAACCCGTTCCCGCTAGGGGGAGGCGGAATCAGGCCGAATGCTTTCAATTTCGGGAGAAATGGAGTAAACTCCCAAAAAAATGAAAAATTTTCTTCTTATTCTTTCAGGGACAAGTCCCGACGGGCGGCTCAAAAAAATTCCCCCCAGAAGGGAAAAAAAAGAAAAAGAAAAGAAAAAAAGAAAAGAAAAGAAATGTTGAAAGGGAAAAATATTGCGATTGGGCACCGGCATGAGGTAATAACTATGTACCGTACCTGATCGTCGGCAAGGAGGAGAAATACCTGACAGAAGGGAACTGGGGATAGCGTGCACTGCCAGGGATATCGGCTGCAGGCCTTGTGTGGATTAGGGCTGCCGACTAGCAAGACGATGATGCCGAAAGAAAGCAGGACAGTCTGGGCACGATCCTTGTGCGTTCGGGGTATCACCGATTTGATTGATGGATGTCGCTTTCTTTTTTTGCTTTAAGACGAAGATTTCAAAAGAATGGTCGGGCCGGAAATGAAGAAAAAGGCCTCCATAGTGGCGACTCACAGCCTTGATAGTCTGCATTGACAGCTTCGTTTTACCTGTCGCGCTTTAAAAAAAATAAATAAATAAATGAAATACAATAAAGGAGGGCGGGAACAAAGGAACACTGAGAGAGGAGACAAGGAACAGCATTAGCGAAGAAGAAAAAAAAAAAAAAAAAAAAAAAAAGGTAAAAAGAGGGAAAATGAAAAAGTGATGATGTTGTTTTGGGAAGTGGTCAAAGTGTTCTTCGATGCCAGGTTTAGCTTCCGAAGAGCATCAAAGCTGACCAGGATAAGGATTGATCGGTGTCTTAAAGATGAAATGCCTGTCTTTGCTAAGGTCAACAAAGAGCCACAAACTGCTGACGGATCTGCCGTCGGGACTCGGAAAGGGGCATGAACTCTTTCTCCCGGGCCCTGGACAGGATGATTCCTTTAACGTCACATCCCGAGAAGGCTTTCAACCAAATCTGGAGACAGTCTGTAACTGCATTTCCCTTTTTTTATTTTATTTTATTTTTATTTTTTTTTTTTTTGGTCCCTTTCCGAATTTCTCTGAATTTTTCGGCATTTTTTCTTTACCTCCCCCCAAAGCTGGCGATGCCTGTCCGCGCCAGATGAGGTTATTGCAGGAAAAATGCCTGCCAGCTGGGCTGATGTAACTACCTTATCTCCTACCGACAGGCAGAGACGGCTTAGACCAAAGTCAAATTAAGCAATTTACTACCAACGCTCTCTGGGGGGGGCACTGAGAGTTTTCCAGGGGGAGGATCCGCCTCACACACTCTCTCTGCATCTATATGCACCTAGACATGCACTTCCCCATATCAAGAAACGGACGCAGATAGAATATCCTTTTCCAATCAGTCTATCAATCGCAAGCATCTCCCATCGCTGCAAGCAAGATCGACTAGTTGAAACGTAATAATGACATGGAAATATGACAAGCTCCCAGTATTGGGTTGCTGGAATTACCGGGATGGCCGTTGATGAAGTTGGAATTAAATATGATGACAAGAAGAGTGAAAATCTATTTCTGGATCAGAGGGAATCCTCTTTTCCTTGTCTCCCTTCCTGCAATTAGGGTTGGCATCGTTCAATAGTTTATGTTGTTAGTTGGCCTTTCTTTTTCTTTTCTTTTCTTTTCTTTTTTTTAGTTTTTTCTTTTTATTTTTTTATTTTTATTATTTATTTTTATTTATTTTTGTTTTTTGGGGGCTCCGCAAAAAGAAAAGATCCTTAAAAGAAAAGATCCTTGTGGGCCGACGCAGCAGAGAAAAAGACAACAAAAGTTACAAGATGGATGATGGACAAGGGCAAATTTGAAATGTTTACACACATATAGCTGAACCGACCACGCGACCTGGCCAGGGGAATCTGCTGTGGTTATTTTTAGGTGATCTCTGGCCTAGGAATTACCGAAATGAACAAGCTTACGAGATGGAGAATGGAGAATGGAGATGACGATGATGCTGAGCGTTGACGTTGTGGCGAGGAGTGTCGAAGCTAGCCAGGGGATCGGCCCTCCACGCTGCGATGCTCTCCACGTTGTCGAGCTCGTGTCAATCACACGGTCCACCCTGACACGTGAAGCATCATTAGCTCTTGGTTAGCTGGTTAATTACATAGTATAATGCCGCCGCCGCTGCTGTTATTGCGGTGTTCCTGCGGTTATTTCGCCAGGCGTTGGGCGATTTCAGCACAATTAGCCGGCTGCGAACAGGTGCAATTTCGCTATGTTTCATTGTCAGGACAGCAAGGCCGGAATGAGCCTATGGTCAGTATGTAGTTGTGTATGTATGTATGCAGGTACGGAGCTTGGAGATGGAGCCGCTTCCCTCGGAACCTCCACCTGGAGGGATGGATGAGGGAGGGAGCTCTGGCATGAGGACGCAGGCGTGTGTGCCGAGCATCGTCATCCGCTGGTTCTGGCAACATTCCAGAAATCACAAGCAAGCCGAAGCAGAAACGGCCCGCTCGCTATTAGTTGGCTAGCTGGCGGTGGAGTCGATGCAGTGCAGATGCTGTCTGTCGATCTGGCTGCGGAAGCCCATCTCGTGACGCTCTAACTTCTCCTCTTCTGTAACTTTGGCGCGCTGGCCAGCTAGCTCGTTACATTTCGACTAACCATGCGCGCTCTCTCCAAGACGATACAGGAGCAGTTCATTCTCTTCCCTGAATGGTTCTTTCTGCGAAATCTCAGCATGGCCTCTGACAACTGTGAAACACGGCGCCGGCCTGGGCCAATTTGCTGCTGTAACAAGACCTGCTTTTACCCCTCTCGCCCGCCACCACACCCACGCACCGCGCTGCTGGGATCAAACGCTCTGCTGTCTCTCTCTCTCTGCCTCGAGATTCCCAGTGAAGCTGCGATTCCGCGAAATTGGGTTGGAAAAATGAATGAAGTTGAAAAAAAAAAAAGTCGCAATGGGACATCCACGGCTTGTTTCTTCTGTGTTTACAGAGTACCTGGACATATATGTCCTCTCCCAACCCGAGCTGAGAGCTTCTCCTCAAGCCCTCGCATCCCGGCAGCAGGTCAATCGCTAATTAAACCTCGATTGTGCAGCTTTGAGCCACCTTGGCCCACTCCTGCCCTGGCCCAGTACAGTCATACGTACATACACAACCTGCATGCTCGGCTCTCCATTTGCCTCTTCAGCTTAGGATTGGAACAGAAAGCGCCGGGCTGCTTCACTAGAGCCCTCCATGAGCCCTCTCTCTGGCCTGCCTGCCGAGGGTCGTAGTCTTGTCCCCGTTTGCCGTGAGGCTACCTGCTGCTAACGGCACGAATTACTTCTTCTCTACATGTCCCTCCGGCTCTCCATCTCTCCCTTGACCCGCGAATCTGAGAAGTAACCTCACTGATCAGCCCTTTTAATACCGCCCGGTCGCTTCATGCACGGTATCCCAAACCGCGACCAGGCCTATTTTTTTTTCTCCTGCTCGTTCCTGTGGAGCCTCAAATCTGGGTTGAGAATGGATACCTGGGGGATCGTTATTTATTACATGCGTTAGGTCTACTTCCTACACGCACACCCCCGTACTCGTTATGCCTTACGATTCGTCCGTTGGGGCTCTGATGTAGGATTGTCGCCTAGAACTCGATGGAATCCGCCGTCAGGTTTTAGCTGCAAAACTAATCACGGCAGCGTCTCCGGGCAAAACGGTGTTTCTCTCCCACGCACACGCCTCGTGGCCTCACTAACACGCACCCGTCCTGCCACCCGGGCATTGACGAAGGGACGGCGTAAGGTCCTGGAAATTTCACCCTCGCCCCAAGCATCAATTTTATTTTGTTCACTTCTTTTTTATTTTTATTTTTTTTTATCTAATTGCCTTTGTCCTTTCCTTACCCTCTCTTTTCTTAATCTCTAATCTTATTGTGATGCAAGCGGGCGTGATCCGTAAAATGAACCTCTCTCATTACGTTTCTCTCCCAGCAATCAAGCACAACCTATCCGATCTGTCCAGCATCCACATCCCGGCCACATAATACTGCTATAATATTACTATTTACCATCTCCACCACGGTTCCTCTGCCCGAGCATATAATAATAACACACAACTATGCACAACTCGTGTTATTTTTCCCTTGTCATCAACAATCCTCGACCTCGTCACAGCAAATATACTAGGAGCTCTTGACCATATCTCCTGTTCCTTTCGTGCTGGCTTCAGTCCACCCGACCATATTACCCCATATTATATATTTTTTTTTCCCTTTCCTCCCTGTCTCTTTGCATCTCTTATCCTTCCTATTCTGTTTGTTTCTAACCTTTTATTTTATTATTTTTTTATTTGATTTTTTTGTTTCTCTAATTCTTAGGACCCTTCTCTCTCTTCTCCCCTTCCCCCCGCTTCCCCGCCTTTTTCTCTCTTTCCGGGGAGCTGCGCGTGTGTTGTGCATCCCCGCTGCTCGTCGCGTTGAGCAGCTCTTTTTAGTTCCATCCGTTTGATCCCGGCAACAGGGTGAGCGGCACCACAATTCCAGGATCGCAACGAGGGAGCTGAAGAACAAGCTCGATTGCGCAAGGTTTGAAGACGACGATCTTGTACGCGGAAATTTCTTTTGGAGAACTGCTTGCGCGCGTGCTGAGGCAGAGGGGACCAAGGAAATCAAGAGAAAAAAAAAAAAAAAAAAAAAAAAAAAAAAAGAGGAAAAAAAAGCAGGGCTCCAAAGACGTGCGGAAACAGCTCCGATACATCACCCTTTTTTTTTCTTATTCTTCTTTTCCACCGACTTTCTGGCGAATTATCCAGTAGCCTGCTAGAGCTGTCAAGCTCTAGCAGCGCTCGAGTGCAACCGCGACGCTGGCGGATCCGTATCGAGACTATCAGATTGACTATTCCACACACGAGCAGTCAAAAGCGCAGGAACAACAAAGTCAGCTGGTATACGAGGCAGGACAGCAGTCGACGCCGGCGCTGCACCATGGGGGACGCCACGAGGTTGCCTTCATCTCCAGTGGCCAGCATGCTCAGTTCCAGTCCCCGCAGCATCACCATCAGCATGCCCATCACCACCACCACCACCAGCAACAGCAACAGCCACAGCACCAGCATCCGCAGCAGCAATCGCAACCTCAGCCCCCGCCGCCGCCGCAGCAGCAGCCGCAACCGCACGGGCAACGCTCCGTTGTGATGGCGTCCCCAGGGCCCCATGGTGTCGTTCGGGAGCTTCAGCAACCCGTCATGCTCCCCCCGCAGATGGTACCACCCCAGCTTCCGCCTCACTACAGTTCGACGCCTCTTCAGGTTCCTTACGCCGGAAAGCGGCACGGAACAAAAAGGCAGCGAACAGACGATGGGCCAAGTGGCGAGAATGATGATACCACCGCAGGGCTTGGCCTGTCAATGCTTTCTGAAACCTCACATGCTGACGATTCGCAGTCAGCCGACATCCTCCTACCTGGGCCAACTGATCATTCTTCCCATCATCACCATCCTTCCGTCCAGCACGACTATCCCTCTCCTCCGCTACATCAGCGGCATCATCACCATCACCGCCTTCCCTCCCAGGCAACCATTTCTGGCACGCAGAGTGGCGACACAGACCTAACTTCTCCTGGCGGAGTGACCGGCACTCAGAGCGTGGTTGGCCAGCCGGGAATGCCCGATCCAGCACCTCGACCGAGGGGACCGAAATTAAAATTCACGCCCGAGGAAGATAGCCTACTTGTCGAGCTGAAGGAGAACAAGAACCTGACATGGAAGCAAATTGCCGATTTCTTCCCTGGTCGGACAAGCGGCACATTGCAAGTGCGTTACTGCACCAAACTGAAAGCAAAGGCGACCGTTTGGACAGACGAAGCGGTATGACTCGAATCAGTCGACACAAATTCGATTTGTGATACCAAAATTAAAGACACAAAATGCAGTTTGGCTGATTTTTTCCCCCTTTTCCTTTTCCTTCTTTTTAGGTGCAACGGCTGCGTAACGCAATCCAAGATTACGAAAATGATCGCTGGCGCGTCATTGCCACGAAGGTCGGAAGTGGATTCTCCCCTGCAGCATGTCGTGAAAAAGCTGCGGAACTGTAAGCGGACAAGATCCCTTTTTTGCAAACCCTTCTACCTACCTACCTACCTACCTACTCTTCCTCTTTTTCCTCCACTATCACCACCACTACTACCACCACCTCCTCCTCCTCCCCCCGGGCAGCCTTATTCGCTGGCACAGCACTCCGTCGACGTGGTTTCGGCCCCCTGTAGATGTGCGACTGATGTTGTACGCCTCTTTTATCACAATGAAAAGCCGCGATCTCGTACCGCTTCCTCCTCCGTGCACGACTACCACATCGACCGGCGACGTGCGAAGCTCCTTTCGCGTACATATTACCGATATACACCTGCCTCCGGCTTTTTTCCAATCCCCCTAGATATTCCTCTCACCTTTCTTTTTTTTTTTTTTTGGTGCGTGTGTGTGCTTTTGTTTTTCCGTGCTGCCTACTTTTGTTTTCATGGCAATCCGGAAAGCTCTTGACAAACAGTAGGCCAGCACTGCAGACTCTTTTTTTTTTCTTTCCTCTTTCTCCTGTTTTATCTTGAAAATATTCGGGATATAGAACTGAGGAATATACTTAATTGCAAGGGGGGCAGAAAAACAAAAAACTTTTTTGACAAAAAAGGGCAAAAAGAAAAGAGAAAGAAAAAGAAAAAGAAAAAGAAAAGCAGGAATGACAAGGCCAGGGGTGTTTAGACACCCTCATACAAGCTGAGAGTGCGAGTGAACAGTGGTTATCTGCCTCCCAAGAGTGTTGTACAGCAGATGCTGGCCACGTTTTGCCCGCCATATTCTGCGGGTCTCCGTGCGTTACTATTCTTCTTCTTCTCCTCCTCCTCTTCTTCATCTAATTCTTATTCTTTCTAATTTTCTATCTTTTCCTTATAATTTCTTTTTATTGACTCTTTTTTTGGCCTTTGTTTGTCTCTTGTTTGCTTTCCTTTTCCTTTTCTTCCCCATTTTCATTTGCATTATCATATGATGCCGGTGTATCTTGAAACAAGTGGCGGGCTGGTCATCTTCATTTTTTTCCCCCTTCATCCCATTTACATATGATACCCCATTTCCGCTTTTTTCAACTATTTCCATTCTCTATGTTGTGACTTCCATTTTATCTTTAGTCTACTTTGGATATCATGCAAGGGCAAATCATGTCTAATGGAACCCCATATTCTTTTATACATGGACCAAAAAAAGCTGTTTAGTATCTCATGCTTGTCTACCCAATCATTCACCTACTACCTTACTTTCCCCCCTGAGCTGTACTACTTGGTACAATACGTGTTTCGGCTTTGCATTACTGTTCCTTTCTTGTTTAGACTGGCATGGGTGAGGCATTCATTTCAGTGGAATGTTCCTTTTCTTCTTTTTTTTTTTTTTTTTTTTTTTTTATAAAAACCTCTCTGTTAAGTTCCTTCAAGGCTGCGACGGAAAGCCGTGGCATGAAGGACAGGTCATTTCTCTCTCAATCAAATGACACCTATACCCACTTCCGCGCGTCTTTGTGAATTCAGAAGACCCTTTGTTGCATGGTGTTTCACTGTTTGCTTTGACAGATTACTCTGGGTGTGGAGTACAATGGGAACAGGCAGGCGGGCAGGCGGGCGGGTGAAAGGGCAAGGCGGACGGATGGACGAACGGACGGACAGCCCTGTATCAAGGGATAGGGTTACGAGGGACGAGCAAATTTCAATGTAGTATACTGCCAACAAACGCCCATGCGTTCATCATGTGGTGTAATCTGACAAAGGCCATGTCTCCCTGATGTAGCACAACGCCCTTCTCTTTATTTTCTTTTCCGATTCTATGGCGGTCTTCTGCTCTGGGCTTTGTGTTCCTTTCGATTTTCCTTATTTTTTTTTTCCGATTTTGGAATTTTTTCCACTTGGCTGGTTTCATGCATTGAATTCAGGATACAGTCTACATTGTGCCTTAGCATAGGTTACTATAGTTCGTGAGCAACGAACCCGTTACACGGGTGAATGAACTATGTGTGTCAAGACAAGCGAGAACCCTTAATCTACACTCGTACGAGGCAATGAAATTGGATAGGAAAAATACACAGGCTACAGTCCAGTGCTTTGTATTCCCCCAGTGACATCCGAGCAATCCCAAAAATTCAAGGCCTCAAGCCTAGGCATACTCCTCTCATTCCCCAACGATGCATGTGCCGGTATCTCACTGAACGCCAGCTGTTGAAGACCCCCCTTTTCCACACCCCAAAACTTGCTGCTCTGTTCCCATCCAAAGTAGGGCTCACCCTAAAAACTGCCTAATCCGGCCAATCCCTGCACATCTGGTAGCTCCCGACCGCCCAACACCCACCGACCAATCATCTTTGCGGCCATCGGATTACCCGCTGACTAAGCCACAACCTCACCACTTCGGACAGATTCGGTCCTCGCCGTCAACAAGCAACATATTCCCACTTCACAACCTGCTCTCTTGAACTCAGAACCAAGAGGCCCAACCGCCACACGGACATCAACAACGTGCCATTGGGTCGCCGAAGAATAATACCAATGTTTGTCCAGCGAGCTGCTTTCGCCCTTGCCAGGCGTGCTCCCGTGAGAGCCTTTGCCAGACGCACTTTTTCGTCGTCGGTTGTTCGCAGTACGTGGAAACCTTTGCAATGGGGGAGACCCCTTTCACCGAATCATTTCCTTTGCCTTTTGTTCTGCAGTTTGGGGACTGGGAGCTTGATATTTTTGGTTCAGGGAGAGGAGTCAATTGAAACGATCTGCGATGTGATCAGCGAAGGTGGACAAAGCTTGGGATGAGTGGAACGGGCGGGACGGTTGCTATTTGGGGAGAAGATGGATTCGATTTGGCTACTTGTTTTGTTTTGGAAACGGTGCGGAATTTGCTAATATGAAATCCAATTGGATTAATAGGCTCGAAATGGGATCCTAAGCCGGGTGAACCCCAGGGAAAGATCTTGCCATACGATGGTCAGTGGTCAGCCCCATCCCTTTTTTGGTATCTAAATAACGATCCTTGGGGAGCCTATCCATAACTAATGTTTTCGTCCTTTCAATTTGCAGAAATCAAAACCGAAGCCGATCTTATTGGCCCAGGTGCCGAGCCTGGTACCATTGGTACCGACCTTGAGCAGTCTACCGGTTTGGAGAGATTAGAACTTTTGGGAAAGATGGAGGGCGTCGATATCTTCAACATGAAGCCATTGGATGCTTCCAGACTAGGTTCGTGACAGCTTTTTTGAGTCTTGCGCGACCCAGGATGCGACGATTGTCTTTATGTACGGTTTTTGGTCTTGAGGAATATCAGTCGCTAAACGGCCTTTACTCCCATAGGAACTCTCGATAACCCCATCCTCGTCAAGTCCGGTGGTCCCGAACAATACGTCGGCTGCACTGGTTATCCAGCCGATTCCCATAACGTCATCTGGCTCACGGTAATTTCACCTCATATTCACAGATCTTCTTTTTCCCGTGGATAGCGCTTATATATCCCTTCTACTAGGTCTCCCGTGATCGACCACTTGAGCGATGCTCTGAATGCGGTAACTGCATCAAGATGGACTACATCGGACCCAAGGAGGACGACCGTAAGTAATCCTTTCGGAAGCACACGTACACGCACACGCACCTAGATTTGATGTTCTTATTGCGCCTTGCAGCCCTCATACTGATTCTTCGTTATCTTGCAGACCACCATGCCGAGGTTTACGAGCCCAAGACTATGGCCGACTATGTCAAGCCTGAGTATTGGTATAGATGATTCAGTTGTGAGGCGGAACCTAGGCTTAACCTTCGCAGTATATAAGTCTATTATCACCTCCCCCCCACTCCTGTTCAAAGTCCTCTTGGCCCCCTTCCACACATCACAACATCTCTCCTAGTTGTTCGCATTTGTAGAATAATTGAACAATCTCTGTGTCAAAATACTGCTACAACACCTGTTCAGTTTCAAAGTCATAGGCGTGGGAATGTGTCTTTCAAGTGCCAGCATTTTGGAGCAGGTTTAAGAGCACAGTTTGTCTCCCATAAAGTATGCCAAACGCTGGTAGTTGGTTTTGAATGTGCTGTGGTCAAGGCCAACCCTTAGCTTTCAAGCACCTTGTAAATATGAAGGCACTCAGACTTGGGGTGTGCATAGCTCGTTGCTCAGTTACTTCAAAATATATTTGTCCTATCAATCATGAACAGAAGTGGGGGAGCCAAAGAAGTGGAATAAGTGGAGAAGTAAAATGTGAACAGGCTACTCCATATGTTGTAGCAAATGCGAAACAAGTCACTAGTCTCTATATGTTTTTTTATCCAGGATTAGGGTGCGCGTAACTACCAAGTATATCCATGATATTCTCAGAACTTTGTAACGCAAATGTACCCCGTACATCGCGGGGAGACTTGGATATAAAACATATACAACTGGGGTACAGAGACATTAAACTTCGCAAATGCTATGAGTACTTAAAAGGTACCGGACGAGGACTGTACAGTACATCCGGTCCCCAATTTCGAGCCAATTATGAACACTTCAGTAACCGGGGGATACCTTAGTCAGATACTGAGTACCTTTCTGCAAAATAATTTATCGGAAACGCCGTCCCAAGCCGCTGGGATAACTTAATCGCAACGACCTCCGATGACCGCCCGGCCACACTCTCTCTTCAAGGTTGCGTTTCAACCCTGGCTACACCCCTGGCCCAGGAACCGCACTGCGCTCGTAAACAGCTGGGATAGATCTGAAAATTCCCCAAAAATGCCTAAATACGAAGGTGTGATCAATCACCAAGCAAGTGTTTCAGGCAATCTATCCCAGGCGCGACATGTCGACCTTTTTTTTTTTTTTTTAGTCTCCCTCCCCTCTGCAGGGTTACAGCATCTATCATGGTCTTCTCATCCTAAAAGTCACCCCAGCCTCTATCCAATTTAGCCCTGAGCTTTTCGTGACTCACCAGTGCCGGCTGGAGATGCCGTACAGAGACAAAGAAAGAACTGTGTCACCTCAAAAATTCACAACAATTATCCTGGAGAAGGAAAGGTACTGGTGATGGTCCGTTTCCATTGTGGCACATACAGGAAAGCAACGAGAATCTAACAACCTCGGAAGTGGAGGCAAATAATACTCGGTCCATACCTCAGACAGTCTGAATGCTGGGTAGCTCCGTTTTTCGGCATGGAGTGAGACACAAACCGAGTGTATATTTGCCATGTGAAGATATAAGTCATACATAGCTCCAGAAAACGTTTCGCACAAGATGGTGGTTGGAATAGCGGGTTATAGCACTGTCGCGCTTATAAAGCCAGGAAAAGAACGATGGCTGCTAATTCCTCGGATGCATCTCTGCCGGCTAAAAGCTGTGATACTATTCAAATCTCGGAACGGACGCCGCAAAAATTTTCCGGTCGGATTGTAGAGCTGCCAAAGTTAATCCTCCTAAACCCTAGGAAGAACCCGGGTGTCGACTTCCATAGAGATATCAGTGATTGGACGCTCCTCGGATAGAAAGCTATGAGCGTATTGGGGCCTCCACGGAAAGGCTCGCATTATTGATCATCAAAATCATGCATAGAGGGTCTCGCAAGCCTAGGCCAGCAAGAGAACCTTTTTCCAGTGAGAGGCACACTAGAAAAATTAGATCCAAGACTCAAGAGTTCTTGCTATACAGAGATAATCCGGAGCAAAGCAGTGTGGGGTATGAAACATGCGGGGTCTATTGGTCAAAGCCTATCATGAAAACGAGCGCTACTCCATCGCAGGTAGATCACCAAGCGGAGGGGCTCAAACAGAGACTCGCCTGCCTTTTTGGACAGAATCCCAAGTATCAATTCGTCATCTGTGCCATGGATATCCGGGACAATCAATGACCAGAGAACAGATGTCACCAAACCAACTGGTTTTCAGATTTGGATGTAGATCAGCATGGATGCGACTCCTGTACACTGATGACACGCAGACCGCATTGATGAAGCACCGCCTCATTGCACCGTCGAGGTCGCGACGGTAACTGCGCAACCCACCCATAGGGTAGGTTTGAGGAGGGGTAGCATGCAGCCGCCGTACAAATGATACAGATGCTTGGTTTCGAATAGGGATGCCATACGTGGCACTAACGATATCAAAATTTGCGTCACAGCTGGGAATACCAGGCGTTAAAGCGTGCGCGCGAACAAGGAGGGTCAACTTTGCAAGCAACCCCGGGAAACGTAAATATTCAGGATTGAGCTGCCGGTCAAATTTCAAAGCTCAGAAAGTGTCAGGGAATACCATTCATTTCCGATCAAGATTGTGTTATGAGGCAGTGCCCAATAAGAAAAGGGAGTTCTCCTAAACCTATCAGGATCTTGAGGCATTATCTCACTCCCCAATCATTTTGGTTCCCGGGGCTGAACGGGCATTAACCATTGAGATTTTTCACACGCATACCTGTACCAGTGTAGTACGTGACGACCATCGAATCGCAAAGACTACGGTTAAGTCATTTGTAGGCTTTCCTCGGAATCGGTGGAAGTTGTCAGGCGCACTATTGGTAACCAACTGTGGAAGTTCCCATGCTCAGTAGTGAGACAGAACGGGTAAAATAGCTCCACATTCACGGAGAGGCTAAGAAGAAAAGAAATTTGGTGTAGTGTATATATCATGGCCCTGGGATCCATTAGGCCGTGGCATGAAATTGGGACCTAGAGAGCAATTTAACCACGATTATCGAAGACATTGTGTGACTCGAAGAGTTGATCTCTTGTAAACTGTGCTTCGAGACGTGAATCAGGAACCAATCCTTGCGACGTATCTCCACATCCCAGGTTCCAGACCGAGATCCAGATCATTTCGGAGACTGTCCACAAGTGTTTACCTTTAGGTTTCGGAGCGGAGCAAAAAATCCACGGAGTCACAGATACACCCTCGAAAATACCGCCAACATGCCTATATTTAGGACACCATGGGAATATCACCAGAAAGGCATAATTCCTGCGACAATGTAATGATACGGAGTTGATCTCTGCCATCATAATTAGGTACAGAGCTCCGGAGGCTTCGGACAGGGTCCCCTGCGGAATTGCCTCCTGCCAGACATTGGCTCATGCATATCATGTCGTAGAGTTTTAGAGGTACACAAAACCGTTGAGTCCCAAGTCTGGTAGCATCCACCAAAGGAAGGGACTCTTAAAGTCACACATCCGGTCGGACAGGCATGACCTCGGCAGGCTGTTGATCTCCACACGTGTCAATATACAAATGCTCTTACCGCTGGAACTCTCCACATATCATGGTGCTCAGGCCTCCGTTCTTGTAATTACCAGTCCCTCAAGAACGTTGCGTCTGGGATTAATGGGCGGTCCAACTAAGATCGTCGTGTTCACAGATCCGTACAACTCCGTCGGCGGTTGAAGGTCGATACCTTGTAACAAATATTAGGGTGGTGAACATTGTAATTTCTTACCAACTCTCGAGAGCATGTGTCGATATCGCCGACGAGGATGAATCTCGGCTAAACTATAAATAACATTGGGATCTATATCAGCAACAAATGCATTCAAGCAAAATCTTCTTGCGAATCGATCGCAAATGGCCCAAAGGTGATGAACCCACAATATCTTTTGGCTGCTGCTTTTCCAGATTCTTCATGCTTTTCAATCTGACACCAGAGCAGCTGGGACCGTCTTAGCCCGCTGGAGCATAGTACGGAGTACAGCACAACTAGTTAGCTGTCGATAGGATAGCTAGTGAATTCCCAGGGACGACAAACACAATACCATAGAAAACAATTCTCCAATTATACCCAGTAAACCATTGAATTGATGAGGAAGGGTGAGGCAGGTAATCCAGGACTGCCGCTGGGTTGAAGTAGAAATAAACTCGGGGTCTGGGGGCCGCTCGCTAACTAACAAAGTTAACTAGTCCCATTTTGTTCCAGAGACATGCCATGTCACACGTCCAAGTAGGTATATGTCATCGGCAACTCTTCAACGTCCGATGTAGCTAGCCGCGGTTCCTCTTGATGGGGAATGTAACTACATCGAATCCACCTACTACGTGTAAATGAAATTTTACTCAGCAATTGTAGTACAACATGTTATGTGCAGCATATGAAGATTTTTACTCCGTAGGTATGCACGGGAAACAACTACTCACGCTGGACAACGCGCTGTAGTCGTAAAACCGCATACAGCTCCGTACGGAATAAAAATATACGTGAATACACCCAAGCTATTGCGTAAGGTCCTGTATTGAAGGTCCGGGCTTCACAGGGCATATGATCCGGCATTCCGTCCTCCGTGCCGGTTGCATTGATACTACTGAGTACAACTGATTTCTATACATCAGGAAAGACTTGGATGCCGAATACTTTTCAACCGTGATCATGTCATTAATCCCGTTAAAACCACCCGAAGCTAAAACATAAGCAAAAAACCACATGAATACGAAAAAGAAAAGAGAAAAAAGAAATAAAAATAGAAAGGGGGAACAAAAAGGAATACAAGGCATACGTGGAGGAAAAAAAAAAAAAAAAGGAAAAAGGAGAGAAAACCAGTTTGTCGTCGACCCGTAGAACACTTGCGTAAAAAAAAGATCCCGTTTCGTATACCAACACAACTTTCCCACATAAAAAAGAAACCAAAGAACAACGCGAAAAATTGACAGGGCAACAATATATAAAACGCAAGGAGACCAAAATATCGCAGCGTAACGTTGCCGGAACTAGATTTCCACCATGGTATCTCGGCATAGTATCCATGAACAGCAAGAACAGTACCCAGCCATACTCCTAAGAACCTTCCATCCCGGTTGCTCCTCCGCGATATTTGGCGACCAAAAAAAAAAAATAAAAAAGGGGGAAAAGAGGGGAGAAAGCAGGAAAAAGGACCGATAATTACTGGAACAAATAGTTGAAACCGTCGTAGGAAATAGGAGAGGCTGGAATGGTCCAAGTCGAGGGATAAAATGTGGTCAGGAGACTTTCATCTGTCTTTTCCCTTACAAATTCTTGAAGTGTTCCTTTGCGTATTGCTCGCATGCCTACGATACATGTTAGCACAATGTGGATGAACCTAACAAGGTTAGCCTTGGATTTTAGGGAAAGTATACCTTAGCAGGCTTTCCAATCTTCTGGCCAATGACCTTCCACTTATTTGCTTCGTATTCTTTGATTGCCTCCCTCAGAGCGGCTGACTGCGCTAGTGTTAATTTCTAGATCCAACCAGGTCGAGGAATATGCAGAACTTACCTCATCCTCAGCGAATTCAGCATAGTGCATATCCTACCAATGATTAGACTCCAATGCTATTGCTCTTTGGACATCTGTGGACACGCGAGATAGCTACCTTGTACCAATGTTTCTTGACACTGCCCTCTGTCCTTGTAGGAAATGTCTAAAGATAAAATATCAGACATTAGAGCCCAATCTACCAAAAGCAAGAAAGGTGATCATCCAAGACTTTCGAGGGGTGTGGGACAAACCTTGGCAATTTCGCTCCAGGTGTTACCGGCATCTCGCATTGCCTTCAGTCGCTGTTCTTCTTCGGCAGTCCATGGAGTATTCGTGCGGCCTTTCTTCTTGCCTCCTGTCTCTGGTGCTGCAGCAGTGGTTGGTGGGTTCCCTTCACCTTCAACAGGGGCAGTTAGCTGTGGAGGCGCCATGGTTGACATGGGCGCGGACTGTTGGAATGACGCACGTCTTTTCCGGGGATTCACAGCAGGCACAGTTCCTGGCTGTTGCTGGGGAGGTGCTGGGGGTGCCTGCGTAGGGGGAGGAGCTGGCACCATGGGAGGCGCTTCAAAGTGGCCAGGACCAGGAAAAGGAGGTCCTGCCTGGTTTAAAGGATGTGTGGGAGGCGGATTGGCGGGCAGAGTAGTTTTGATTCTTTTCGAGGTGGGGGGGGAGCTATGAGCGAGTTAAAACGAAAAGTGTCAGAAGTAAGTCAACTGTTTCGGTTTTGAAAGTTCTCATCGAGAAACACATGGCAAGAGAGTCGCATATGGGATGAAACTCGGCTCGGGAGATCAACAGAAGCAAATACATCTTTGAGGGACAAATAAAATAAATAAATAAAAACGAAAAGAAAAAATGTACATGATGATCAGCAACATGCGTACGTGGTGGAGGGGGGTTAGGAGAATGAGGGGAAAGGGGGATGGGAGGACATGAAAAGACGGGTTTACTTACGACATGGCGGGAAGAGGGGATCTCGATGCAAAGACCGGCCAATTCATCTGTAAAGATACGAAAAGGAAGAGGTTAGCCAGGGATGAGCTGGTATTAACGTGGGTAATATGCGAAGGCGAAGTCCCATCGCGAGAGGGAGAGGCGTGACACACTAGGGAAAATGAATGGGGATCACGGCAAGCTTGACCTGCACGATCAAGCTGGCCGAGAATATTATATGTTTAATGGAGAAGGGGAGAAAGGAGTGGCCCAAGCGGGTACAAGAGGAAAAGGAAGTGAGAAGGCTGGGATGATAAGTACGATTGGTAAATAGACGGGTCGGATGTATAGCGAACTTCGCAGGCCGTATATTCGAGTCGAGGATACACAGGTTGCGAGAGAGGGAGTCACTGGATGTACCGTGTCTCCGCCGCGAAGGTTAGCTTGGTTCCCAGGTTGTTGCAGGCATGTACCGCTGGGGACATGAAGCAGTCACAACGAAGTAACTGGCACAGAATAAAACGAGGAGCACAGAGCTGGACAACCAGAGCAGTGACTTGGATGAATTAAATAAGAAAACGAGCAAGGAAGATGATGAATGGGAATGGGGGATAAGAGAGGCATGGAGGTGATAGAGTTGGACGGGGCAGCTTGGATGTTGTTGACGGAATGGGGGGCGGCCACCGTGCTTGAATTGCGGGGAAGTCCAGCGTAACTTTACCGCGACTTTACGGGAACCGAGTCGAGACTCTCGCCCTTTTACATGGTAGTGACCTCTGGGGGAAGCGATACCCGTAACCAATACCGCCTTGCCCGACCATTCCAGCAGAACGACCCAGCTGGAGTCCTCGCCGGCTATCCATGCAGGATCAGCCCTCGCTGCCCAATAGACAGCCACCTCAAGCTGGAGGAACACAGAGACATTCGTTTTTCGTGGTTTGCAAGCAGAACAGCTGACGGGCGTCATGTCCATACACGCCTTTCTCCGTGTATTTAATACGTAATGACCCTACTAGCGTGCCCATAACCTTACATACAGAAACACCGTAAACCCTGATCGGGTGCCGATGGAGCAACGATCTGCTCATGAACCATGCGACCCTCTCGACAAATGTGCAGGTCTCAGTCGGTTAAAGGACTATCCGAGTTCGCTCTCGAAGCAGGGACACAGGCGATTTATGCGGTATCATGTGTTTTTTTTTGCTTTCCCTTCTCCATTCTGAAGTTAGACTTTCAGGTTTCTGCAGCATCGTTGAATGCCTTGATGTTCTGACACCCACCAGTGCCCGGTCAACTTCCCGTACAATAGAGACAATGTCGGAACCGTCGTGATGCAGTGCCAAGATATCAAACAGGGAATAGTTCGCAGGGAGTTAGACAGAAGCCTAAAACTCGAAGTCTGTGCACACCAGATGGAGAGATCTTAGAGGTCAAGGGTCTGACTGTCTTGGACAGTCAGAAATGTAAGGGTTTCTCAAGGATCCCTACCCCAAGCTCTTCGGCAAGCACAGACAACCGTGACTTCGGCAAGAATGGGACGTACAGCGTACCTCACTACAACACTGACATTTTGGGACTTTTGGCAGAAATGTCATTGACTTTCAAATTCCCGTTTTAATTAATAAAAGCATGGTCGTCTACAGAGTAACCGGTGTGCATGCATGCATGCATGCATGCATGCATGTATGATAATACATACATACACATACACCCGTTCATGTTCTCAAGAGCATACTGAAGGCAGAACGATGAGTTGAGGGTGCTCTGCTGCACATACCTCTCCGACTGATCCTTGCAATCACCCGTAGCCCGGCCGTGATTCCTCCTTCAGCCGCCACCATTCGTATCTGTCCGTGTCGCTTCTGAAGCGCTGCCGGCGATCGAACGCTGGGCGGAAATCAAACATTGGCGTTCAATTTTTCTTCTTTCGAGCCGAAGCAGCGTATGCTCTCCAGAGCATGCACTGCTTAGACGTATCTGTACCTCGCCCCGGTACTACATGGTCAGCTCGCTCCGGGCCTTCCGAGGACCATCCGGTGAACAGTTGCTGGGATAATTTGGCAGAGCACAAATGTGTGGCAAAACACACTACGGAGTCGCTAATAGGTATAATATGTAATGCGGTCATCATGCATGACGACCTTCTGCTCCGATTTGCCCGACATAAACATGAGCAGAGATATCTGCCTTGTCCCAACGAGAAGTTTCGACAATGGCGAAAGACACTGTGAATCATCATATTATGGGGAAATTACAAGGTCGCTCTTAATAACCTATAAGGTTGGACATGTTGCAGACCAGCGTTCGAGGAATCGGCTCCTATGGCATTCTAGTGACACAGAATGCACAAAGAAGCTTCCGAGAGCACAAATCCGGATTCACTAGCTGATCAGCAAAACAGAGGTCATCCCAAGATATCAAAAAGAACAGTCAAAGGCCGCCGCACGCTCTCTCTTGCCAATCCCCGCCCGTTATGCAGGGTGTAGTCCCAGGTGAGTGTCGACACCGGCGTTCCCTCGCAAAATTCTCCGTACAGAAATTTATTAGGCATTACGTTATCAACAGGCCGGGTACGGCGCTAGACCGTATCTGGACGGCTGCCTCTCCATTGGGTTCGCGGTCGCCGACAAGCCCACCAATCAGCGGCCGCACTAACGGCTGGTCGACGGCATGGCGATACCCCTAGTAATTTAAAAACTGGCGCGCAGCTGCTTGCCCGATCCAGCCGTCGCAGTGCGGTTGCGGTCGAATTCGCAGCCGGTTTCTCCAGCTCCAACCTTGACGTGCCAATGTCTGCATGGGAGAGGAATGGCGCTCGAAACCCCCATAGTTACGGATGGCCTCTTTGGGGGAGGCCTTCAAGTGAATCGGGACACAGCCTCGCAAAGCCTCAGTCGCTAAGATTGATACGGCAGTGGGCACGGGGGCGATCAAACAACCCTGCGATTTGAAACTGCGACGCGAATCGGTGCCGAAAAGCTGGCTTCCATTCCGTCTTAGCCTTGGGGAGAGTTGCTTCAAATCGAGGACAAAGGAGGCAATTTATGTTTTGTCTTGGGCTTGCGCATTTTTCCACTTTCGGAGGGGGAGCGGGGGGAGTTTTGCTGAAGGAAGATAGGATTAGTTTAGTACGCGATACGAGATGTGGACGAGATAAGGTTACTTGCAGCTCAGGTACCCAATTCCAGATCACTCCATGTTTCGGCCTGACGCACGCTTGAGTTCCACGCGATGCTTCTTATTTTTAGAAGAGAACTGCTCCGCAAGGAGAATTTTCCTGAGGAACTTCTGAAGATGTACCCTGGCCTGTGCGGACGTCGGCACTTTCCCCTGTACGGGGTTGTCTGCGAACTATTTGATACTTTGCACAGAAGTACCGCTTTGGGGTCGCGGAGCCCCCCTGAGATGCATGCAACCCTCGCAGGTGGTCACCGTGCTCGTGTCATATTGCCAGTAAGTCAAAGCACTTGAAGCATCAGAAATCCGTCTCAGATGGCCAATTCGGGACGTGCAAGGCGTCCTCTCGCCCGTTGAAGCTAGCCTGCGTAAACCACATTAAACATTATCGGTAACGATTATATGAGATTCGCGACTATTCTTCCCGGAAGGGGGCTGTTGAAACCGGGAGTGGATTGCACCCACGCAGACAAAGGACGCCAGAGGTTTCGAGTTGCTGCTCGCGCAGCTCTTGATGGCCTAGGTCGGCACACAGTCCTGGTCACTGTTAAAGGTGGGAAAAGCTGGCGCTTCACGTGGGGTTCGTCATGTGAAACCTGGTGCACTGGTCGCGGTCCTGAAACGCCCACCCAGTGTTGGTTCTTGGATCGCTGCCAATTAGAGACCTCCCAAGGAGAACCATCACAACTTTCCGTGCCTGACAGCCCACGATCTTCGGATCTAGGATCAACGACCTGCATCCGGTGCTGGGAATCCATGTTCTGCATGGACAATAGAGGTTCTCTTTAACTGTTCCCTCCCGCGAGAAACCTTCCCAGCGGGATATTTACCCCTGGCGAGCGCGCCAGTGTTCCTGGTTGACACATCCTCGTCCCGACAGAATTCTTCGGCCAGCGGCTCCTCCCAGATAGGTCTCGGGAACATTTAGCAGGAGGAGGCCGAAAGAGGAAGAAGAAAGCGACCTTGATTCGGCCGTCTGATGAAACAATGCCCGCTTCTTCGCTCGTTGTCTTGCCCTGACACAAATCACTCGTGGGAGAGATGCTTCTTTGCCCCCCCTCTCTCAGCTACCAATTCGTGTAGAGAGGGTCAAGTGTGGCAGCGTCTATGGGGTTGGACTCTAAAGCATAAACAAACTGGTTGAAATGTCCTGGGTCCATGGATCGCCAACCATTCTGGGTCAGTGGCGGCCGGTGCTGACACTTTCTCCGTTTTGCCCTGTATGAAGGCATCAAGGGTTTAAAACTCAATGGGCTAATGGCGGCCTTGATGTAGAATTGATGCGTCAATTCGTCCAGTGATCGCCGAGTTAGGAAACGCTCACTAAGAAATATGACCTTCAGCCTCTATGCCTCCTAAACCTTTTCGGGTGGAGTTGAGACTGTCACTTGTTACAAGATTCGGGTTTCGATCAGTCGAGACAAACTAACTGTCCCGCTTCTGTCGAGAAGGACATGGGTTCAGAAACAGCTCCGGCTCCAGCCATCACATCCCAAGCTTCATGCAGAAGTGTGGCAAGGGTGGAGAACTGCTTGGTCAAGCGAACGCGCTGAGAGGACGTCCTATAGATAACGCTCAAGTTTTCTCCTTCTTTTCGATGTTTTCTGTTTTGTTCGACACATCCAGTCGATACTCAACAAGCACAAAAGACTCCGTGTCTTCCTCAGTCTCTTTTACCTTCTTTGCCCCTGGTTGGGCCTTTTAATAATCATCCTTTCGCCTGTGAGATCTTGACGATCTACTGCTTCCCTCGTTATATTAATATATACATCCTGAACGATCCGTTCCTCGTTCCCTATATATCTATAGAGCGAACATTTGTCTATATTCTGATTATAAAGCAGCCATGCATCCAATCACAGCAGCTGATATACTCAAGACATCTCGCTTTCGGTCTCCAAAACCATCCGAAGATACTGGCCGGAGTAACCATGGCGTTCAAAAGCACCAAAGGTCCGCATCTGCGGGGGCAGGGAGAGCGTGGACTGAGGAGGAGGTACTACAGAGTTTACCCGTCCACAGCGTTTAGCTCAGATGCTAACAGTCATCTAGGAAGTGTACCTTGTCCGATCCCGCATGCACAAAATGCCATATAAACACATTGCTTTGCACCTCCGGAAAACAGAGTTAGCGTGCCGACTTCATTATCACCAAATGCTCTACGGGAGCAACCGTCGGCGACGCAGCGAATCTATATCATCTATCGTGAGCTCATGCACAACCACGTATGCACCCGAGGAACAGCCGCAGGACAAGGAACCACTCGTTCCGTCACCACCAAGAACTCCACCAACAGAATCTTGCTCTGGTCCTTCCTCGGCGGCCGCTTCACCTCAATGCTCACGATTGCACGTCCCGATTCTCCCCAAGCCAGTCACCCAAATGAACTCTACCCATACGGCCAACTACCCATACGACAAAAAACTTCGTCTGGACACGTCCTTCGCAGACAACAGCCAATACAACCAGCTCCAGGTCGACCTCGGACGCCTCCGAAGCCTATACGACGCATACCGCCACTCATTCTGGTCCCTCATCGCATCTGAATACTCCAAAGATCCAGAGCTCTCCGGTCCAAGGCTCGAAGAGGCTTTCTTTCACTCCGCCCTTGCCCCCAGTCCAGACCGCCTTCTACCCATGCCTACTCCACGGTGCAGCCCCAAAAGTATGACCCCGACTATCCACGAAGAGCTCCCTGAGGCAGCACAGCTTCCCCCAGCGAATCCGGCTGGCTTTCGCGCCATTAATGAGTCCGGCCAGAAGAGAAGGTCTTCCAGCACTTCTTCAAATGCAAGTCAGCGCATCGAGAAGTGTGCTGTTGCTTCGTTGTTAACGGTTGAAAAAGAAGTCTGGGCGCCAAAGGAAATTGTTTCCAGATAAATGCGGCACTCATCTTTGAGTGGTTAAGCTGTTTTCTTCTGTATCTGTGTTCAAACGCTTTTCTGTTTTCCGCTTTTCCATGTTGAATTTACGATATCCCTGTAGTTCTTTCATTTGGATTTCCGCTTCTTTCTCCTGTTTTACAATTTTCTGCTTTACCTGGGATAGGCTCACTGGCGTCTTCTGTACATTTGTGGTATGGCGGTGTTCTGGGATACTTCTCATGACTGTCCTTGTTTGTCCTTTTCTTTACGATAACGATTTACACTGGCCCCCTCTTTCATCACGCTCATTTTGAGGGATCTCACACACTCGCTATGATATGATTTTTCTTTTTTTCTCTTTTCCTTTTCCTTTGTAAAGTTGAATGTTGTCTCTGTATCCCAAAACCAGAATGTAGCGAACCGGTTGATAGAAAACTCAGGGATTCCCAATCAAAAATTGAAGGAAAAAAGAAGGGTGTCCCTTTAACTTTTTCCAAGAGTATTCAGTTCTGTAGGGAATATGCTGTGTCAAAATTCGGCATTACGGGTTGGCGTTCGGGTGATGGGACAGCTTGGTTTGCGTCAGAAAGGACAAGGATGGCTTGTTGACCCGGAATGGTGGGTAGGATCCTGGTGGAATGGGTTTCTTCAGGAGAAATTGGTGGGGGGTTCTTACATCTTTCACTGCAACGCCTCAAAGGGTGTATGCCTCCTCTGATAACCAGTAGAGCCATCAGGAAAATACATACTCCTAGGGCTAGACAGACCCCCTACATGTTGGACTCAGCGCACTGGTCCTTCGCTCGCCGGCCACTTCCAGAGAGATACTCACAAGGATAGAGAGCAGATACGTACGGGGCACATCATGAAACAGATTACTCCTCCAATCCCACCAAGCGTAGAACCAACTACGAGGCCAGTTCTGGATTATCAAACAAAAGACGTGCTGATATATCCCCGACCGGAGTGGTACCAGACTTTACGGGATGCTATTCGCTCTCCCAGCATGGCCAATCGGCGAAAGAAATACAAAACAACACTTCTCTACTTCCACAAGTTTTCTAGAAATGCGGAAGCGGTCTTCAAACATGCGATGTTAAAAAAAAGACAATGCATATTAAGATCTGCGCATGAAGATGTTACGAGAGCATATGGCAATAGGCTAGGGTAAGATGTCAAAAAGTGGTTCCTGATTCACCATCTTTTCCCACCATTACTCCTTGGGGAATCGGGAGGCAAAAGAAATAGTGGATATCACCAACATGGCAGCGCTGGCGTGTGCATCTCGAGAGCGGAGCAACGATAAGAACGAGTTAGAGACCAGAACTCGGATGTGGCGAATCTGAGAGACGGGATAACTGGGGGTCCCAATGGGGAGCGGCACATTTTCATGCACCAGAAAAGAGGGTGAACGGAGTGCCTGGTGTGCATTTCATGCCGGAGAATACATGGTATGAGATCGGGCGACATGGAGATACGCACGTGTATCTCACTAGGTGTTGCGGGTCAGACAGCCTGCTCCCGTTGCGGCTCCAACAACAACGACGGGGAGATATCCAATGCTGGAAATCCCGGGGAAGTGTTGGGAAGACCGTGCCTCCAGAATCATGCATCTCCGAGAAGGCCCAGAGAAAGACTCTGACAATAAGCCAGAGATCAACCAAACCCTTTAATAAACTTGTTAGGCAATCAAGCTCCAGGGAACAAGGTAAGATGGTCACCAGGCGAGCCTCTCCAGCTGCCCCTAAAGGCTGCGCCGTTTCTATCCCATCAAAGGGGCCCAACAGCATGTTAACGCGAAGAATTGTCTAACAGGTATCCCCGAGCCCAACCTTTCGGCTAAGATTCGAACCTACTCGCACAATGCCCTTGAATGTGAGAACAATAGATTTATATCTAGCAATCACCGTGGCCACTGCGATCCCTCTTGCTTTTCTGCTATCGCTCAAATGGCCGACCGGAAAGCCAAGGGTATATTAAGAAACCTGAGCAGGCTATTTCAAGCTTAGAAGATTCAGCAAATTCTCAATATTGGCCTATTGTGGCACATCTCCGATAGATGAAAAGAGCCGGGCGATGCTGGCGATAATTTTTGGTAAATGAGAAAACGGAAAAATATGCCACATCGCATATGTATGCCGGGCTGAAGAAGCCGAGATTAACTGCAGATATTGATTCCACCATCCATTTGTCCAATCTGCTTAATATGGCAGTTCCCAGAAATAGGTCTCAAGAAGCTGAAAGTGCTTCACACGAGAGGACCTTGTGTCTATTCTCAGCATGGACTCCGAAGTGGTTGGCCTGGCGAAGTGTCCAAAACTTGGCAGTGACGGCTAAATTTTCGACAGCTCTGATCAAAAATAAATAACTATTTTGGCCGCAGAAGGGTATACCAAAAGGGTTGGTCCGATAGGCCTCGATGGCGGAGCAATATCACGGCGGAGTCATGTTTCTATTTTCATGATGTCGCGTTTCATCGCTTCCTCATGGCCCAAAGTTCGCAACTAATCTGCTCATGAGCTCATGCAAGAGGACGTCCACAGATTCATTGCCTGGAAGAGAAAAGCGAAGCGCGGGGAAACAGGTCCAGTCACATTCTCAAGTCCTTGCATTTTTGCACTCGCTGATTCATGCAATCGCTCGGGTGCAACAAGTACTCTGTGCGAGTGTGAGAGAAGGAGAAGGGGCGAAGGAGAGAATAATATTGACCGGTCAGGCTTTGTTTTTCTTTTTTTTGTTTTTTTTTTTTTTTTTAATTTATTTTTCAGCCACTTACCCTTCTTTTGCATTGCCTCATGCAAAGAACTGATCATCATCTACGTTCTTATTCTTTCTCGTACTGGATTTTGTGAGCATGAACATTTTCACTGTGTTCTTTGTCACTTTTTAGCCGCTTGCTGATTCGGCCATATGAAAGGCCTCGAATATTTTCTTATTCCTCGGCCCCCCCTGGCGGTGCATTGGTGCGGTTCAGAATTCCTTCTAGAATCCCTTTCGTCCCTTTTTTTTTCAATGTTCCGTGTTAAGCATACGCACTGCTACTCTCGTGTTCACGCACTAAGGTATTTGTCACGAGCTTGCTGAGACCCTGGGCATGCACATGCAGGTTCGGTGAACTGATACAAATTAGGCGAGGGAGTCATGGATGAGAAAGCTGAGAGTGCTCATCTGCCTGGCGAGATCTAGAATGTCCTTCGTAGTCCCCGAGACTTGGTGGGGTCATCGAAGAGACGCACATGCGTTTTGGAAAACATCAGCTCTGGCGAAAGGTCGATTCCTCAGCCGTACGAGGCCAGGAGCTGAACTGGTTTCCGGAAGGCAAATACACAAGGTCGGCACTAAACTGCCGTGCACATCGACCCTCCGTAACAAGGAAATAGGCTAAAAACCGTTAACTCCACCACCGCTCGAGAATCAGATCCTCAATCCCGTAAGTGTGGAGCGGCGCAGGGCACTGTATGTGAAGCAATATGATTTGATGAAATTATCAGCCTCTATGTATCCTTTTCTTTTCTTTTCTTTTAATTTTTTGTGTGGTTGAGATAGGCGTCCTGTCGTATCCTTCCAGGAGAATGCCAAAGACACCGGAACTCGTGAAGAGGTTGCGATGTCCTGGAGGTCGTCGTTCTCACTCTCTCGCGTATGCTACTTAGTGCCGGTCAAGCAACGACATTCATGCAAATCTGGACGGGGACAGCATCCGTCCCATTGGCCTGTAGAATTCACGAATTTTCTCAGCCTTTCCCCAGGCATGCATACATGTGCGCATGTGTGTGTGAATGACGAAGAAATGCAATTATGTGTGTGGTGCAGACCCCAAAAATCACGCTGCATCGCCTGCTCCGAATCACGTGATCATTGCGACGACCAAGTATCGTCGCTCTCTAACCGCCAGTACGCCTTCACCCCCTCTCTGCCTCTCCACAAAAACCCCCTTTTTGATCGTGTTGCTGTTCCTGATGTGGCTGGATGGCGGCAGAGGACGTGACGACGAGGAGGACGGTGAGCGAATCGACTAATCGCAGACCAGTTTACACCGAATGTTTCCGAGGAAGCGGGGTGAGTCTGGATGCGCGATCGCAAAATGGCAGAGGCACAGAAGACCTTCTTTGGGGGAATGGTGGGAAGCATGCCTGGCGCAAGCAGGACCCGCTCTCATTTGCGCGTATCGGGTTTATCGCCCCCAGGCATGGAGAAGATTCAATGGGCTTCCCGCTTTCCTTGGGAAGAGATTGGTTATCTGTACAATGAGGTCCGCGGGACTGGAAGTAAAAGGAGGGCTCGGAAGGAAGAGAGGTGGGGAGAAGGCACGGAAAGTCCGAGTACTTTTCGGTGTCTGGACTTGGACCCTCTTGACCCTCTTTGATAGTGAGGGCGAGAGGCGCACACTGGTCCTGTTGATCGACTTACCCGAAGACCCTGCTTTCCTTCCTTCCTGCGCCTACAGTTCTGCCAGAACTGGCCCACAAGTGGAACCTAGAAGTGGCCTGTTCCTCCCAGCCCGGTGGCCCTCCCTGGGCCTTCCGGGGAAAGATTGCACATCTGGGACACTTGCGCACGGTCTGGGGCGATGGATTCCCCTGATTGCTACTCCGTACTGTGTTTCTGTTTTCTTCCCAGTTTATATGACCACGTTGATGCCTGGCGAGGGTAATAGCAGTAGATTTTCCCCGAATTGCTCCCGGCGTCTCAAAAGCGGGTCACCCGCAGTATAGCCTAAGTTTTCGAGAAAGTCCATTTTCCTCGCTTCGCGGTCCTTTTAAGGCCGTCGATCCGGACCTGCCTAGCTAGCTGACCTTCTAAATGACTGGCTGATTTGTAACGGGCGGCCGCAATGGCACATCCGGCTTCCGTATCTTCACTCTGTACTACGACATAGCAGAGTTGCAAGGATCTGCGTATTTGGCTGGAAATGAGCTCTTTTTATTTTTATTTCTCATTTTATTGTAGTTCCCTTGAATCCTTAACAATGCTGTGTCTCTGGCTGTGCTTTGATGGCGGCCTCATTGGCCAGAATGATGCCATCATTTCGTGACGGAAGGTTCCATGGCGAAGGCGGGTTTTTCCTTGTTCCCCCCCATCAACCGAGAAAGTCTCTAGGCCTTACAATACCATACAGCAACCGTCGACCTCCCTTGCATTATCCACCCCCCCATGGAGCTGATGGCGACGACGCATGGTCCATGGACATGGATTTTAATCTTGGAATGTTGTAGAGAACAGTGACTGCAGACATTCAAATCAGTCTGCAAGAGCTTCCTGCACCCGGGGCATGGGCGACCTCCTTGTTAGTTTTTCGTTTTTGGGCGGGAGAACTAGGATCCTTCACGCCGAGATTCCTCAAGTTACGTGTGCGCGCGAGTGTGTGCGCGCAGTCCATTTTCCACGTTGAGTAAACAGCAAGCCGCACTAAGGGCACTGGGGCCTTGGCATTGCTTGTTGGATCACGCAGCATGTCGACAAACGGAACGACGGACTTCTCCGTTGGCGGTCAACCTTCACCTTCAACTTTCAAGGACAAGGGGTTCCTCATCCTGTTGAGCAAGGGGCTTCAGCAATCTGATGCCTACAGTTTGCAGTTCGAATGAATAGAAACCTTGTTGCAGCCTGGGCTCTTCGCGTCATGGCTGTCAAAGCGATTCCGGATAAATTTATTCTTCCGACAGTCGTGGCTTCGTGTGCATACAGGATTGGCCGTGTATGAAGGAAAGACCCTCTTTCCGGCCCATTTTTGCGTGAAATATAATGCCATTATTCTCGCTTGAAGAGAGGGAAAAAAAACACAAAAGAGAGAAAAGGAGACAAAGCCTAAACGAAGCACCTCTCTCTGAACCATAGTTTTCATTCGCGGGAACAATTCATCTAAACACCTTGAAGACAAATGAAAGATGGAAAGTAAATTGCATGCATGTCATGTCACGTCCAGGGGCGGATGGGATGAATGGCAGAATGGAGAGGATTTGTCTTTCTCTCCAACTTCAAAAATAAATTGTGCCGCATGATTTGCATATTTTGTGACCGTCATTTTTCTCTTTTTTTGGATCTGATCGATCCTCCGAATAAGTGGCAGATTCTGCAGACCCGCATGCAGGTGTCCCGTTGTTGGGAGGAGACAGCTAGTCTCCGCTCCGCCTCCTCGAGAGTGATATGTATAGAAACCGTGCCGGGGGGAGGGGGCAGCAAACAATCCTAATCCAGGGTGATGAGGATAATAGCATGAACTTCCCTTTTGCACGGGCCGCACGGTGCAGCATCTCGCTCTGGTTGTATGCTCATAGAGGAGGGTGAGAGCACAGAAGGCGGATCCAAACATACATCCTAGTCCATGCTATCGATGGACAAAACAACGCGAGCTGATTTGCTTCCACGTGCCTGGATTCAAGCGACTGACCGACTAATAGTTGAACTTGTTCGGGCAATTGCGCTCGCCGTCTTTCTCGACTTTCTCTCAGCCCAACAACCTCCCCTGCTAGACAGGCTGCTCTCCAGGATTAAGTCATGCTGCTCCTCTCTCGCGACTCACGAGGTTCGCCGGAGTTAACGATTGATCGGGCGACCTTGATTTCTAATGGGGTTGACTAACCCTTAGGCACAGCTTGCTACATAATCTCTGGAGGACGTTCCGGGCATCGTACCCGTCAACCAAGCAAGCCACTCCATTACCTCACCAATACATAAAATTTATAATATGCATGTCTGTATGTACCAATCTGCTTTGCAGCCGGGGGAAGGCAGCGAGAAAAAAAAAAGGAAATCACAATGTAATGACCAAGGGGTCAAGTTTTGGTTCCGGTGGTCTCCCAGATCGTTGGTTGACCACTCACGATGGCAATACTTCCGGCCCCCCTGTCAACTAGGCCCCAGGCGAAGAACAAAAAGAGGCGCCAAAGCAACCATTTCTTTTTTAGCCTCAACATGGGGACAGTTTTACTCGAATCCCGGACTGCACTGGAATTATCCACCCAAATATTTTTTATTTTTTTTTATTTTTCTCATCTCCTCTAAGGATGCCATAGCCTCTGGATCCCTGGCCCGGGTTGCTGGGGGATGGAGGCCAAGAAGACGCTGCAAGCTAATAATTATGTATTGCTTTTCCCCTTCTCTCGTTTTTTTGGGGGCCGTTTGATTTTAACGTCCCTCTGTGGACCGATGCACCCTGGACAATCATGTTTTGTAGCCAGGGCGCTTAATGAACTGCTGTGCTAAAAGTACGCTAGTCCAAATCCCAAAAAGCCTTTGGCTGCTTTTTTTCCCTTTTTTCCACCCTCCCGTGGCTCTTCTTCTTCCGGATCGACAGAAAAAGAGAAACGTCGCTGTTCGCATCGTGCTATCATAGTGGCACAGTCCAAGCTTCTCTCAATGTGGGCCCCCCCTCTCCGGTGGGTTGCTGTGCTTGGAACGGAGAGACAAGGGATGAGCGGGCGGGGGTCGATTGTTAGAAACAAAAAAATTAAAACGTACAAGCCTTCTTCAGCACCGCAAATATGGACGGGCGGCGGCGGCGGCGGTGGTGCTGGCCTCCGCATACTAGACCTTCCTGACCAATTCTTCCGAAGCTTTTGAAGCAGGTCCAATGCAGGGTATCTCTGTTTTATTCCCCGTCCGCAGCATTTAAGGCCCGTTCATTGATCGAAGCTCATTCCTGCTATACTTAAAACTGGTCGTGACGGCTATTGTTCCGCCCACCTGTTCCGTCACCACATTTATAAATCTCCTTGGATCCGCTCCTTTTTTCTTCAGAGAAAACTTGAAGAACTATTCAGCTCAAATAAAGACTGAGACTTTTATCTTCTTTCTATTATTGCCTCTTGCCCTAGTGCTATATCTCCCACTCCAGCCTTCTCTCTATCTCCTTTATAATATTGCTTCCTTGTCCTGATATCGAGCTTCGCACACTGAGTCTACCATCTGAGTCCACAAGCCTCTGTCGAGGACGCTTCGTGCCTTAGAAATCAGCTTGTGTATTTCCATGGCGCCTGAAGACCTGTCAGCAACCTGGTCTGAGTCTCCCTATCACGGCCAAATGAACAACATCATGGACCAGCAATGGGTCTCCCCAAGTGTCGTACGTACTGTTGTTGCAGACCGAGTCGGCATCCGAAAGCTTTCCAGCTAACTGACCTCCCACCTAGACATATGAGAGCGTTGCTCATAGCTACACCAGCGCCCATCCGAATCCTGCTTTATTAACACCTATCAGCACCTCCAACAGCGTCTACCTTGATCCAAGGCAAAGTCCTCCACAGCATGCGCAGTCGCACGAGTTTCAATATCACAGCATGAACTCCACTGGTGTCTCCCACGGACTGGGAATCAGTAGTTTAGGCTATATGCAACCCGGAATGACACTGTACGATCAAACTCCAAACGCACTTTCTGGACAGTATGACCCCCACGCACAACTGCGACGACACGCCGAGAGAGCAGCCAGCGACCACGCCTCGAGATCGGGAGGAAGACCACTCTCTTCTAGATCGACCCCTGTCGCAATCGCACCCAACCCAGCCGGGATAAGACAGATGGAGCAGGAACGAAGACTGGGCCAAGAACTCGAGTCGCAGCGCCAACCACGACGGGCACGGCGACCCAGAAGACGATCATCCATCCTCGACGAGGAAACCAACCTCACTCTCCAGCTCCGGGAGCAAAACGTACCCTGGAACGAGGTTGTCAAGCGGGTCAATGCTGCTTTTGGTGGAAACCACAACGCGTCACGTCTTCAGATGCGGATAACACGCCTCAAACAACGCATGAGAGAGTGGTCTGAGGACGATGTGAGTACGTGACATCCATCCCTTCCCCCTTCCACTGTGTCAAAGAGGATTTTACCGGTTTATCTGACATCAATATTTAGATTCAAGCGCTTCGGAATGCTCATTCATATTGGGAGAGAGATAAATTTGAAATCATCGCATACAAGGTTAGACAGCCCCCCATGTACGGCTTGTGGGAATTAAGATCTAAGTTTATAACTTATACTTTTTAGATGCAAGAATACAGGACCACCAGAGGTTGGACGGCATCACAGTGTCAGCAAAAATGGCAAGAATTACAGCTTGAGCCGTGCGAGAGTCCCAGGAGAAGTCAAAGTCCCGAAGATGAAGACGAGCCTCCTGATTACCCCAACAAAAGGCGACGATAGCCTTTTTGCTTCATATTTTACCTTCTGACTCTTGCTTACTGCCTCAGAGATTTCGCGCCCTGGTTTTCAGCATCTTTGATACCCCCTTGTGTGTTTTCATTCTTGGCTATTCGGGTCTCTTCTTCCTTTTCTTTTTTCTTTTTTTTCTTTTGCACGGTGTTATGAGAAACGGTATTGTATAGAGGAGTGAGAATCTTGCATATTGGGTTTTCCTTCCCCGACTTGGCTAGCAATCCTTTTTTTTTTTTTTAAACTTTTTTCCCTTTTTTCCTTTCTTTTTTGTCTTTTGGTTGATTGCATATTCCGAGCCCCATAGGGCTATAGTGGCCGCGCCACTTCGTCGTTACACGGCCGTTTTTACTTGTATCCTTTTTGCTCAAGGGTTTCTTTTTGCAAGGCGAGTTTCGAATATCAGCCAGCATTCGCTAAATTACATTGGTTATTTACTATATAGCATTTAGGAGCGGTAACTTTTCTGCAATCTGAATTAACCACACTACTTTTTGTCACGATCACCCTGGGCAACTCCTACTCCTCTCGAAAGGATAATTACTTACCTACCCACGTACCTCACTTACGTCGTGGAGCGTAGTAGGGTGGTTTTCCCAACATGATTCATTCCATCGCGCATCTGCGTCGAACTCACATGACCGACGATCTCCATCCGTTCCTGCGTCGAGCTGGCATAACTAGCAGCTTAGTTGCATGCAGTGCGCAGCCACGAAACGCAGAAGATCCTACTATTTCTGACTGACAGACTGAAAAAAGAGGCGTAGCGGTTTTTTTTGTTCCGCCGCAAATTTTAAAAATAGATTTAAGAGTGGGCACGCGGAGTCAAAGTTATCGGAGACTCTTAAATTTTATGTTTCAAGTTCTGCCCTACGTCAATCAACAACGGTCGGGGGTCGATCTGCATGTAAAGGTTATCCATCTCCGGAGAACTTTGTCATGGATGCCAAGATCGCATTGTAAACAATAGGAATTAGCCAAATGTCATGCAACCCAGCTGGGAGAAATCAGCCTAGTTCACAATATAATGAAATGAACCCGACAATTTTCCAACCTTCATATTAAGCTCATTGTGCTAGGAAGAGCCTGGTAGTTACACCTGCGCATTCCAACATGTATTTCATAGTTTCGAACTAGTCCGCAGTCCAGGGGTGGATCATTGACAAGGGAGCTTCTCCTAAACCTAACCAGTCAAGGTTAACCTTACTAGCGATTCCGTATTTTCTCCCTTGGCCCCCTGGCCGAGTCACTGGGAGCTTTTATCCCATGTGCGTACTCCGTACATATGGAGGAAAGACAACCTTGCTCAAAACTAACTCTCACTCGGATACAGCAAGATACGGGATCAAACTACGGAGTATCTTCCGGCAGGTAAACCAAGTCACGATAATTCTGCGTCTCAAGCATGATAAAAGGAATCAGTCCCCATTCATGTCCGCCAATATGTGCCGTACCTACGGGGTCATAACCTCACTACCGTCAACTAACCAATAGACACGTTGCTATGGAGAACCCCGTACATGACATTGGACGATTAAACCCATCGCAATTCAAACCCTGGGAAACGTCGCAGTCTTAAAATGGCTCGAAACAAATCCTTGGCGACCCGGCGGTGCAGTAAAAAGCTTAGCTCGCCTAGTTTGGTCATGCAAGCTGCAAGGGCAAGCTTCCTGAAACGATATGGCAATGCGCGCTCTAAACTTGACACTACACGCGCACACAGCCTTCGGGTAAGGGGGGAAAAAGAATATTTTGCGGAGATACAGGGCAGCTGCTGAAACAGGCGTTTCTGGTATATTTATATCCAGAACCAGTCTTTCGGGGAAATGCTTCCATGTGCACACCGGCGCCTCGAGCACTCAGGCTCTCTGATTTCAAGATCTACGCGGGGGCGAGGCGGAGGAGGCGGAGCCGGGGACTTTACTCGAATGGGACATGTAACTATTTCTTGGCATTTGAAGCGAAGTTACATTTTACGTGGGGGATTTCGGGTGGGTGTGGTTAACTATGAGTTATCATAATATGTGAGTTTATGGAGCCCCGTGGGATTATCATACAGCGTGTGATTTAAGGTTAATCTGGCTGTTGGAAGCTTTTTCATGGATACTAATAATTCCCGACTGTTCTGAATCCCGCATTTACTGAGTAGCATTTAGGCACAGGATCTTCACTTCATAAATATGTGTCCTGAATAATGCCCTTTTTATCCAATAAATGCATAATGTAGTTATGTTCTTTTCACTGCATTGAAGACCAGCTTCTTCGCGGTCCGAGCGGTGGCTCATCGTATGATCCCAGAGGTTCAAAATAGTAGCTACCGCAGAAGATGAAACGCGAGTAGACGGTAAGCCGGCGAACGGCCTCCATGGCTTGTTCATCACGGTCATCGCCTCTTGGAAGTCTCATCGAATATTTGAACATTGCACCTAAAACCCTCCCCCCTCTCCTATCCATCGGCATTGTCATCGCCATCGTCTTCTTCATTCTCATCGTCGAGGACGGGAAACGTCAAAAGTGCGGCAACGCCGCCCAAACCGTCTAATCTTTTCCCACTTTCGTGGTCAGAACTTAGCACTCGGACCTCCCCCCCTTCAACGTCTCTCACGCGATCAACTAGAGAAACCCATCTCTTTCTTTCGTGCACGTCTTGCGCCCGAAAGAGCCTGTTTGAAATTAATAGAATACCACCGCCTCGGCCAACCGCACCTTGCTCAACTGCTGATTCTACTTCTTTAGCCCCGTACGTGGCTTTGTTTGTGTCCATCCTCAAATGATTGAAAAATGTGTCCATAATTGCTGTCTCACGGGCATACTTCGTATTAGAGAGACGCGCCTGCACCGACGGAGACTTGAGGACTTCGGCCAGCGAATGCACGTGGCCAGATGACGAATGCACTACAATCATGCTTTCTAGAAGAGGCTTCAATTCCGGCTTGCCTAATGACACGGATTGAATGTGCTTTTGGAAGCTGACGGCAGTAAAACCAGGGGAAGCTAACAGTATAGGCCTCGTTGACGTGCCATTACTTGTCGTTGACGACGTTATCGAGCCTGCAGAGGTGTCCAGGAGGCGAAGAAGGGTTTCGAGGGTTACTTGGAAAAATTTAGCCAGGGCCTGGGGCCGAATACGTCAGTAAATTTCGAGATGTGGACAAAGACGGCGGCATATTTTTTTTGGGCTTGCCTTGTCGTGGTCACTCCCTCCTTGTCTTTTTCTAGGTATTGTCATCTCAACCTTCTGCTTGAGGACGGTCTGAAACTGGCCGATAAAGCAGATATTTGCCAAGCCTTCCTGCATTACTACTGCTACAGCCTCCGCCCTTCTTTTGTAGCCCTCATCCACGGCATCCTTTAGCATCTCGATAGCGACACTGTCCCATCCCCCCACTTCACCTGACTCTGTGCGTTTTTCAAGGGTAAAATTCCGTTGGAGCTCTAGATCCAGCGTATGATGTTGACCAATCTTTGTATATGGGTTCTCTGAGGCGATCTGTCCTGATACATGAAGCTGGGAACTTTGGGGGTCAAAATCCAGGCTCTTAACCCGAATTTGCAACGTCAGATGGACTCGTGACGACGAAGTTGTCCCGGTTGTGGCGGTGGTCGTAACGCGACGGATAGCGCTGGCTTTCAGCAGGTCATGGGGCCGGATTAGATTGTACGCATGCCACTGTGGACGGATACGTTAACCAGGAGGGCACAGCATAAACTAAGAGACTAATACCACGCATATACCATATCCTCTGGCTCCTCAGGGAAGAGCGTAACTGAGCCTGAGCCATCCTGCTCGATATTCTGTTTGATCAGCCTCATTGTTAACCCCAATCCCAAACCCCACCTTGATGCGATTTGGGAGTTATACAGGCCTGAGCGTCAGGGAGTTTGGGGCTTGGTCTGATAATTATGAAACAGCTTGCCGAGTGGCCTTGAGATTAAAAAAAAAACTAAGACACTTCCCCACCGATGGCTTGGAACAGTAGATCATATGGGTGTATCTCCTCCACTGTGCTCCTCAAAGTTGCGGTGACAGCCACGTTCAACTGCCTATTTTTAGGCTTTCCCCTCCCGACCACGAACGCCCCAAGCGTGTCACGGAATTGGGTTTCGCCGAATAGCTTGTTAGTAACTAAGCCAGCTACCTGCGTGTATGTACAAGGATGCACGCCAGCTCACATGATTTTTATGTATTTCGGAACAAGTGATATTCCTCAACCGTGCAACATCACTTCATATCACCCAGGACCAATGGAAAGGGTAGCATAAACTTATCAATAGCAAGCAGCCAGGGAATAAAAAAGTGATTGCCGGAGGAGTGCGCAACAACATCTCCGAGATTCATGTGCTCTTGATAGCACTGTCCATCCTTCGTTCATTCCCAGAGAAACCCCTTACTCAAGAGGCCAGGGAGCAACAGGCCTCAATGGTCCAAACGAGTGGTGTTGCACACTCTGTACGGGGTCAAAATGTCCTCGAGTCCCATGAACTGTGTTTGGTTCATTCCCATGCCTGTTATCACCAATTCTTGACTGAACCTGGCGCTGTGGAGGAATGTTTTCTTTGTTCTCATCAGAGCCCTCCTCTATCAGTAGTGGAGAAGCAGGCTGTTGTTCGTGAACATGTGCTCTTCCTTGCGCGACAATAAAGCTGTTGAGTTCATCAGATGACGGATCTTCCCAGATTTGACCTTGAACTAAGAAAGGTCCATCATGCGGTTCATTTGAGTCTGAATCGTCGTCAAAAACAATATCCGGATCGAAGCTAGATGGAAGTCTTCTGTTCTCCATGGCCATTCTCCTCACGAAGCTATTGTTGCGAATTATAGGAGTGATCTCTTCGAAGTCATAGGAAATTTCTCCATAGTCATCTTCATCGGAGCTTGCGAGAGGGTCAGTCGTCAGGGAATCAGAATCGTCCTCGCCGAGAAATCCCAAATCGATTTGACTAAGCAAAAGGCCTTGATATCCACCTAAGCGATTATGGCTTCTGTCTCTGGGAGTGAAATCATTGCCATGCGCATCCATGGACGCTGTCAAGGCTTCGCCGTCCGATTCGTTCCAAAGAGACTCTGTATCGTATGCAGTATCTCCATTGGACTCGATGTCACCGAAGTTAGAGTCATCCGTGCATTCTAGATTCTCGCAATTTAGAAGTGAATGATTAGGCTGTCCATTTATACTCGACTCAGAAGCAGAGTCGTCGCTATCGGAGGTGCTTCCCAAGGTTTGGTAATATTCGCTGGGATCAACCTGGGAGATAAAGTCAGGATAGTCTCCGCACTGGGAGTTGATTTCCATGGACTGGTTATCCTCAGGGACGTCATTCTGAAAAATAAAGCTGCAATCGTCTTCATTATTGGAATCACCGCCCAAAGGCTGGATGTTCTCAGTGACACCAATTTGGGACACAAAGTCTTGGTCATTTTCTCCAGTGTTTCCACGAATAGCGCCGTTAATCATGGATTCCATAGGATTATCAGGCCAGTCTCTATTATTGCCATGGTTCGACTGGCTGTTTTGCATCAGATCTATGTTTTAGTCACCTGGACAGGATGATACACATACTAGTTCAGGTGCCTTCCTGCACCCTGTGCTGGCGCCATGACTGCTGGATAGTGAAGTTCAGTTGAATTCAGAACAAAGCTAGTTCAATCAAAGCTTTGAACTGAAATGCCTCTTCTATCACAAGAATAGACCGTTGAGGAACAACTTTTGATTCTTCACCCTCAAATTTCAAACATAAGATGAATTTGTTTGGAAGCCAGACTTCCAAACGAAGCTTTGCAAAATCAGAGCTGAGATATGAAAGGTATATCACAAACTACTGTGATTACTCAGGCAAACACCTTCTCCCAGGAGAGGGAGAAGAGTAGGATGTTTCTTCGTGATGCTCACTTTGTGGAAGAGAAAGTCATAAACAGATGCAAGTGAGATTTGCTTTGGCCTGTTGGGAAATACCGCGTTGTTGTCATGCTTCGCTAGCGTGGTTTGATATACTATATGAAGTACTGACTGGCCTGCACGTGAACATGTTTTGATACTGTCATGATTTACTGTATTCCCTGGGACTCTCTGTGAGATTTTTTCTAGAAACCAGGCCAGGCAAGGGAGCGAAGAAAGGAATATCTGGAACATGGGATGGCCACTGCCTTTGATATCTCTTAGGGAGAGGTGATTTAAGAAACAAATGTACAGGTGTCATATCGATAAGGATGATTACATCCTAAAAATTAATTGGATCCCCGTCTTTGTGGGTAGTCGGGTCCCAGCAGACATTCTGATATTCGTTGGTCTCCATGGCTTTCATATCCTGTTCGGAAAGCTCAAAGTCGAAAACGTTGGCGTTCTCTACGATTCGAGATTCTGTGACAGATTTTGGGAGTGGGATCAAGCCCTACCATGCGATGGAGAAATTCATTAGCCGTCAATGTGGATAAAGCAAGGAAGGATGAAATGGTACCTTTTGCAGACTCCATCGGACCAGGATTTGAGCGGGGGTCTTGTTATGCTTCTTGGCCAATTCATGCAGAATTGGTTCGTCCATCTTCTGCGCACGTACAAGAGGGCTGTATGCTTCAACAACGACATTACGCTTCCGAAGCCATTCGACAATGTCTCGCCTGGAAAGCCAAGGGTGGATCTCATATTGTCCGACATCTATCTTTCCTCCAATAGACTTGTTGTATTCTTCCAGTTCATCAAGATGATGGACACCATAGTTTGAGACACCAATTGAGCGAACTTTGCCCGCCTTTTGGGCCTCAACCAGGGCACGCCATGAACCTTCACGGGCGTCTCGCCCTCCATAGGGGGCATGGAGGAGGATACTAATGGCTGGTCAGATACTACCACCCTGACAGAGAGACATGTTGCAATTTGGACCTACAGGTCATAATAATCCACTTTCGCAGCCTTCAAGCTCTCCTCAATGGACTGCTTCGTCTTCTCATATCCCAAAGATCTCCATGGGACTTTGGTAGTAAAAAAAACATCTTCCCGCTTCAAGCCAGACGCTCTAATCGCTTCGCCACACTCTGCTTCGTTACAGTACGCCTTGGCAGAATCGATCTGTTCTCCGAGTTAATGTCACCGGTAGGATTATATCAAACTATGGCCAAGCATGTGCAAGATTTTTATAACGATGGGGGGAATATACGTGTCTATATCCTGTCTCCAACGCCTTCAATGTCACTTTTTCAGTGACCTCTGGAGGTCTGTTTTGTCAACAGTCAATGTCGAGCTTGGAACTTGTTTTCCTGTTAAGGGAGACGAACGTTTGATACACCTTACGATCAAACAACGGTTAGCATAGTGATTCTCCAATGACACTTTATGGCAAATCCTGCAATTCAGCTTGGAATTTGGAATGATTCGAGAAGAGCGAATGCTGATCCAGATTGATAAAACTGGTAACTTTATATCCGAAATAAAACTTGTCTAGAGCCAAAATGCCAGGGAACTCGAGAAAGGAGATATTAACCTATTGATGATGATGCTACTTACCCCAAATCCAAGCACCGGGATCTCGTATCCCGAGTTCATTTTATACGTTGACTGCAACGTGAGTTTGGAAGCCATGGTTACGAATTGGCGGTGTGTAAGAGATCTCTGTATGTGGTGAGTGATAAATGATATTGGTGCTATCCTAGATGAAAGAATGATCATGGTTTTGAAGCTCTCTCCTCGGGTGCTGGCACCTTTTATATAGCCATAGAAAGTACGGTTTTACCCCTCCTTAGGTTCTCTCTTCCAGTTGCACCCAATTAAGTGGAGAACGAAATCTTGCTGATGCGTGAAGTTTATGTGCGTGGTGACATGGGGTCCAAGCATTCCCGGTGGCTGGACCTTCGGCGATGAATGCTGCAGCGAGGCCAGGCAGGATGAATAATGCATCAATTGAATGTAAGTAACAGCGGCTGACTCAAACTAGAATATCCTTTCCTATTCTCCTCTTGCTTTATGCTCTATACCCCGGAATTTGATATCAGAACATTTCCTTGGCCTTCGGTTTTTTGCGGGGTTGAGAGCCTTGGTTAAGTCTTGCTCCATCACACTCCATAGTGCTGGCTTGAACAACCGAATTGCTATCCTTGAAACCTGATAATCCAGACACCTTTTTATCCACACGTACAAATAGACATGGCTGAACAAGTAAAATTTTTTGGATTTCTTGATGAGGTTCATGCAGGAAAAGCATAAAACATGATGCTACAAGCAGAGGTGAGACAGGGAGATTCATTGGCGAATAAAGAAAAATGAAAATAGACGTATCAGTCGTCCATGGAGAGCCACTGTCACATACCGAACAGGAGGACATGCCGCCGGATCATGGAAATAGCCGAACTGGAGTAGGACGCTCATCAAAATATTAAAATAGATGTCACACCGTACTCCATTCAAATGGGGCAACGCCTCTGAGCGATGGCGGTATGTCTAAAGAGTATTCCCCGCTCCCTGGATCATGGTGCCCAATTTGCGCCACAAGCTTTGGATCATGATGGAGTCATTAAAATTTCGACCAAGACCGTCCCTATCAACACAAGCTCTGTCGCAATCAAGCACCCTCTCTCAGCCCCGGGTCACCATTTACTCATCATCTTCCTCCTCCTCCTCAAGGGTCGTTTTGGCGATGCGGTCCAAATCTCTCTGGCCGGTCTGTGTGATTCTGCGACCACCCTTCTCCTCATCAACCTCAACGACACCGATCTTCTCGAGAGCCTGGACAATCTTGCGGTCAACGGCACCGCTGGCGTTGACGTGGTGGGATGGGCAGGAACCGCGGTTTTTGGTTCCTCCGTGAACCTTTCGTAGACGGCCAACACCGACGGTCTTGCGGAGGTAGATGTGTCGGGCAACTGAAGCAGCGCGGACATAGAACCTAAAAAATCGAAGTAAGCACCATGTGCAGTCTTAAACTAATTCGGCAAACCGGTCATATAGATCGGCTAGAAGTCTCGGGCTCATACCAATCATCGGACTGAGGAGGGAGTTCTCTGGCAGTGGAGGTCTTGACGGTGTCAACCCATCCTATAAATTTGAACCATATCAGCATCACGCGATTTTCTCTCACGGGGGATGAGTGAGGTAAGTCTATTGGGAAAAGATCAAGGAGGCGTGGGAAATAGAAGGTTGACGCACCTGGGATTGGCAATTTGCCTTGTCTCTTCAAGAAAGCGGAGTACGCATTGATGAACTTCTGCGCCTATAGGGACCAACAGTATCAGTATCGTTCCAACGCAAGTCTGATATAAAAAATCCACGAGTTTTCTGAGGATATGGCGCTGGCGGCTGGCTCGTCTTCCCAAAGCTTTTGCCAGATTCATATTTCGTCTTCGCCCGGCTATCGCACATTCGAAATATGCTCTATCGTTGATCCCTAATCGGACATTTTCCCAGACCCAAACCCCAGCCTTTCTTAAAACCCTTCCCAGAACGCTCTAACCTCGTCTCTTCTCACTCGAAAAACAAACGTCCGTCGCCTCGGAGCCACCCATGCCACAGCCATTCCTCATATAATGAACATTCAACACTTACATCCACATCGCGAACGGTGACGCCTCCCATGGCTGCAAAGGTGTAATCAGCAAAAGCCTCGAATCGAAAATCAAGAGGAGAGCACGGAGGCTTCTGTGGGAGCTAAGAAGGGTGCGTTTGTCGGGTGGTCTGTCGTCGCGCGTCGTTGTCGGGCTCGAATCCCCTCGAAATTTCAATTCATTTGACCTGCTGAGGTTGTGTAGCGCGCTAAGCGTAGTGTGGTGTGGAGCCTCTCCCACGATAGCTCGCTTATCCTGTTTTGTCCTAGTGCTACCCTAGACGCTAGTCCTGATATAGATTAGTCCCATTTCTGGCATGGCATCGCAAGCCAGCGTTCTAAAAAAGCAGTCAAGTTTTCCTATTAGTTAGTTGAAAATATTTGTTTCGCCTATTACTATTATTACCATGTTTATCATCACTATTATATGTTAAACATCAAAAATATACTCTTAATTATAATGTTCGCGAGCAAGAAGTTTGATCCCTGAGACAGACAAACGCCTTTGCTTCTCAGCAACCCCAAGAACGAATGCATTCTAAAGGCTCAACGCTTCCTCCCCACGGAGACCTGCGCAATATCGTACAAATAGGGTATCGATAAAATGTGGATGGCGTATCCCGGGTGGTCTGCACCGTTTGAACTCCTCGAGAGCTTCTTCAACAGTGTAACCTTTACGTTCGATGAGATATGATGTAAGAAAAAATCCTGTTCGATTAAAGCCGTAATGACAGTGAACACCAATCAGAGGACGAGGTGCATCGGGGTCGCTCTGGTTCTTGACTTGGGAGGAAATCTCTTCCTCAAGGCGATCAACAAGGGCGACAAAGTCATGAACTTCGTCAACTGTCGGAGGAATCTTGGACACTGTCGGAAGCTTGTGGTATTGGATGCCACCATTATCGAGCTGACTTGGGTTATATACGGGACTTTCATGACTAATGTCAATGATCGCGAATATTCTCCCTTTCCACTTTTGTACGAAGGGAATAGGCGAATGTTCTTGGTCGAGCTCACGTAATGTCTTCAACGCAAAGAACGTATCGCCAATCGGCTTTGAGACTGGCTCCACTGCTTTCCATTTGGCAAGATTTTTCACGTCCCATTTCCCAGAGGTGGTGAGATGCTGTAACTGCCACCCGATGCCTAGACGAGAGTCGATGTCGTTCGCCAGGAAGCCTTGTATCAAACCAGATAGAGCACGATACGTAGCACGGTCATAAAGAAGAGCATGGGATGCCGGAGCGGGGAATATAAACGACCTAACAACCGCCTTCTCTGAATGGCGTTCGCCGTGGAACTCGATATCAATCTCGGAGGTAGCGGATAACGAGGGACGCACTGTTCCATTTGTCGAACCCTTCGGGAGATGACCCTGGATCAGTCCTGTGCCGTTTTCTATTTCATCACAGGCAGATTTGTGGGTGTCTGGGTGTTTGCTAAAGTATTCAAGGATTCTCGACACTTCTATTGGTTTCGTGATCGGGTCTGATTCCCCAGCGACAAGCAGGAGTGGAACTTGGATGCCCTTCCACATCTCTTCCCCAGGTATTCCGCTAACAGTCTTCCCGCTGGCATCGTATTCTGGAAGCGTGCCCCATGCCATCCTCCTCCATATCGGGGTTCGGCTTTGCTCATTAAATCGCAGCTGAAGTTTTCTTGTCCCGATATCTGCCTCACTTCCCGTAAACCTCAGCACACTTGGACTATTAAGGCCACCTCGCCTATCCCATTTTCGCCACGCATTGAATATGGATTCCGGGATATGCAATAATCTCCGAAAGTGTGAGGTAGTGGCTTTGGAAGGTGGGGTTGCCTGTGGACACAGGGCGATGAATCCAATGATATGTTCTTTCAGTTGGGGTGCGATTGGAGATATTGAGGAAGCAATCAGAGTCGCAATGGAGCATCCTAGACTGTGTCCTATGAATATGACCTGTTGATTTCTGGCGGTATCCAGATGCCGCTCAATTGCGGTTGCAAGAAGGGTGGCAAGCGCCTCCACAGAATAAGCCGACCAAGACTTTGGCGAGAACGTAGACAGCCCGCACCCAGGAAAATCAATACCAAAACAAGGACCGACATTCGTAAGTGTTGTCAGAATAGGGTGGAACTGGGCAAGAGAGCCTCCCAGCCCATGTACAAACACGAGGAGTGGTAAAGGGTATGGTTTCGTGGGAAGCTTTTCAATGTGAGGATGAGGGCAGAAAAACGTCCTGATGGACGGATATGTCGCGATAGAAGTTGTGTAAGAGACATTGGATGAATGCTTCTTTAACAAACCGGGATCGTGGTCCTTGTCATCTAATTATATCTAATTAGTTCGAGCAAACAATGCAGGAAATTACTGGATCCTACCATCGCATACTATAGTATCAAAGGGACTGAGGCCACGCTCATCATCCTCGAAGGTATCATCTTCGCTAGATGATTCCGTACTCTCACGAGCCCTCTTCGTCGAATACGGTGGCCGATTGTCGCCGTTTCGAAATGACTTCTTCCTGGACCGTCCGTAAATCTGTCTGTAAATCACACCAGAACCTAGCGCGATAAGGGCAATTGACGATACCCAAGACAGGAGGGCGAGGGAGGCTCTATCATCCAAGCTCCCCTTGCCAGATATGACGCTATAAAATTTTGAAAATGTGCATTGACCAATGAGATCGACAATCGAATCCCAGGAGAGATACGCTTTCTCTCTTGTAGAGCAAACAGCATGGTAGATCGTGGACGATAAAAACGGGCAAATTGAGAGAATGGAGTTCATTTCCATGAGTCATTCAGCGCAGCGCTTGCGATAGAAGTCTCACAGAATACTTTTGGCAAAATTGCTTTTGATTCCGGGAAATAGGGGTGATATTAATGTATTCAACTTCATCAAAGGTCCTAGTACCTTTTCATGAGGTTTCAGTATTTAAATGCGCGGATTGCAGGGTTAGAAAAAAATCTGTTACATCTGAGGTTGAGCAGCAGTAATTAGAAAGCGGAGCCTCAGCGTTGTGGTGTAGAACCAATTAAGCAGTCCATCAAGGTAGCAAGGCATTTCAAACAGTTGTACGGAGTACAAAGGGGACTTCTTTGTAAGAGTGCGGCACGGTCTTTGCAAACTTGGTGAAAACCCACCGATGTGCCTGTTTCCGCTGCGTGGTGACTGATGTTGAAAAGTGTTTTGGCACTCCTGCGTCATCTCGCAGGGCTTAGCGCCACTCCCGACACCCTTTTTAGGTTTCTGGAGCCTCTTCCCGAATCACATGACAAACCTGGCGATCCCGAGTGCCGGCAGCTTACCTATGCCACTCCGAGTGGGCGCGCTGCCACCAGTTTGTGCCTGTGAGAGTACTTTATTATCAGCACGGTTTACGGAGCTAGAAACGACAAGTTTGCACCATCTGTAAAACCCAAAGGGCCAGGGAGGCCTTATCCCGGAATCTCGATCAGCAACTCGCCATAGGTAGGAACCCGTCGTGGCACGAAGTATCCTCACAAGGATGTTATCATCTACTGATGTTTACCTGGGGCAGCTTGAAAAAAACCTCGTTGCGCATAGAGACCCTGAATTGCTAACGGACTAACTACGTACCACACGCACCCTAGAACGCATGGATACTTGATATGCTAACATGCTTGGAGCCGTTGCTCTAAAACTGGTCAGTCATAGCACCATTTGATGCATCTCCGACTAATTTAGCATACTTCGCCAGCACCCCCCGGGTAACACGTGGTTTTGGCGGTTTCCACCCCTTCAAACGCTGTGCGATTTCTTCGTCAGAAACATCCATTGTGAGTTCGTTGGTATCCGCGTTGATTGTGATCGTATCACCATCCTGCACAACAGCAATCGGACCGCCCACTGCAGCTTCTGGGACAATGTGTCCAACAATAAATCCATGACTGGCACCTGAATATCTGCCATCTGTAATCAGCGCTACGTTTGTGAGTTTAGCTCCCATCAAGGCAGCACTAGCTTTGAGTTGTTCCGGCATTCCGGGACCACCCTTTGGTCCCTCATATCGAACGACGAGGACGAGGTTATCTCCGCGTGGAATCTCGCCACGGCTTAGAGCGGCGTCCAACTCGTGCTCTTTGTTAAATACGCGAGCCTTTCCCGTAAATTTAGTACCTTCTTTTCCGGTAATTTTAGCGACAGCACCGCCAGGGGCAAGGTTTCCCCTGAGCACCTGGAGATGGCCGGTTGACTTGATCGGGTTGTCAAGTGGGTGAATGATAGCTTGGTCTTGTGGGAGGGAGGGGAAAGATGCAATGTTCTCCGCCAATGTCTTTCCAGTCACCGTGGGAATACCGCCATCTAAAAGGCCTGCGGCGACAAGCAATTTCTGGACGGATGGAATGCCTCCAATTTCGTATAGATCTGCCATGTAATATTTTCCGCTTGGGGCGAGGTTCGCGATAAAAGGAATTTTGTCACTAACACGCTGGATGTCATCTAGCATTAAGTGAACACCAGCCGATCTAGCCATGGCAATGAAATGAACAACGCCGTTAGTGCTTCCACCGAGAGCCATTGTCATGACCAGGGCATTCTCAAAGGACCGTTTTGTCAATAAGTCGCGCGGTCTGATGTTCCTCTCCATGCACAATTTAATTGCATCAGCCGCTTTTACACATTCTCGCATCTTCGCTGGTGATGTTGCGGGGGTAGAAGATGAACCAGGCAGAGTCAGACCCATCGACTCAATTGCTGTGGCCATTGTGTTCGCAGTATACATGCCTGCGCAAGCCCCAGCGCTCGGACAAGCATGTCTTTCAATGTCTTCCATGATCTCATCCTTAGTTTTGCTCCTGTCCCCCCCATCGTCCGGCTGGACTAAAGTATTATACGCATAAGCACCCGCGGCCTCATAGCAGGTCGAAACGTTAATGGGTCGTCGCAATAGTTTCGAATATCCGCCTTGAATTGTACCACCGTATATCATCAGGGAGGGGCGGTTGTGTCTTCCCATGGCCATAATACACCCAGGCATGTTCTTGTCACAACCAGGTATGGCAATGCAACCGTCATGGTATTGTGCGCAAGTCACAGTTTCGATGCTGTCGGCAATGATCTCACGAGACTGCAGAGAAAAGCGCATGCCTGAAATGAAAATGGTATGTCATGGTTAATGTCATTTTCTTTGGCAGTGCTGAAGTATGAATTGAATCACAGACCTTCATGACCCATTGTGATTGCGTCAGAGACACCAATGGTATTGTATTGCCATCCCAGCATGCCCTGATCTATAACAGCCTTTTTCACAGTCTTTCCTAAATCCAACAAGTGCATGTTGCAGGGATTTCCTTCCCACCATACTGATGCAATGCCAACATGAGGACTCGTTTTCATGGCATCCCTATCAGGTACCCCAGCAGCATATAACATTGCCTATGGTGCTCATCGCGCGTTAGCAAAACACCAACATAACGTGATTTCTAAACATAAGCTTTATAAAATATCTTCTCACCTGGGCACCTGGGTAATCATGACCTTTTGTAATGAACTGAGAATATTTGTTCAAGGCCGGTTTTCCGTCCCGCATCGCATCATCAGGAAGACAGGGGAAGTCGATATATTTCGCCTCCTCGTTTGGTCCATCTTGCGCAATAGGAGCTTGAGAAGCCATGTTTCAATCAGCCTGTACACCTTCGGTGAGCTGTCAATGGATCTGGTAGAAAAATCTTGGGTAATATAGATATTGGTAGCTCTGAGTACCTCGCCAGTCGAGTGTGTTTGGTCTAATAGACTTATCACAGAATCCAGTCAGAAGATGCCCCGAAGCTTCCAGCAGCGCCAAGTAATATTCAACTCAGCGACTTTCTCTCTACTCCGATTTGATTGCAACAAATCGCTGACCGGAACCTCTGTTTACATATCACGGACTGCTAGTGAATGTCCCTCACGGGATTAAGTTCGGCCCCGCGCTCGCTTCGGCTCAGAAGCGGCCTTAGTCACCACGAATAAGGACGTCGTCATTGGGTGTCACGGCAAGTCATTTTCCCCGGCTTGCCGATGGGGCCAAGCTCTCGAACGAAACGGCGTTTTCTTTGCATGTTTGAGGAGCTAGACGAGAGGATTGAAGCGGCAGACTACTTCAGATGAATTAATAGTTGAATTCCCGACCAGGGAGTCAAGGGTTTCGCGTATAGGACAAGGTCTGCACGTAACACCGACCCTGCAGCAAGAATATCCACAACACTGGTCGAGGGTCTGGACGTCAGAAAGCTCTCCTGACCCCGGCCGGAATCTGGCTTTTTTGTACATTGACTTGTCGGCGATGGGAAAACACCTTCCTACCTGGCACTGTTTCTTGTGCGAGATTTTGAACATTGCCAGTTAGCAGCAACCGTCGCATTCCAGGGGCGGAATTACCGACTCGCCGAGATTCAATGACGTCGACGAATGACGCAAGGATCAACCATTGTTGCTCCAGCAAGGCAGAAGAATTAACTCCAGTTGGCTGCCTGGTGTTTAAAAAAGGCGAAAGGTTATCTTTGCCTCCGGGGGATCCTCGAGAATTCGCGAGAAACAGCTGAAGTGATTCGAAGACAGCCAGTTAATTCCTAATTATTCTACTCAAAGGCATACAACCAGCATGGCAGACCATTCGACCCTAATTGGAACCTCCCAGGTCCTGGGAATCACGGCTTCTGGAGTCCTAGCCGGTAGGCAACCTCAATATATACCTCCACAGGCCGTTGTCAAAGGGCAAGAAGCTCAGTTCAACTGACAAAACCCCAGGGGGCATCCTCAACTTTTCCGTTGCACTCGTTCCAACCCTCATTCTGCCGGGGGCTACCAGCAAACGTACTTTCGACTCTTCCTTCCAGCCAGGCACACCAGTCTCCCACATCGCCTCGCAATGGCACCATGCATATGGCATCGGTAAATCGATCGTCCCGCTCGCCTCCTTGATCACCGCCTCAGTATACACCTACTTGTCGTACCACTTCCGGCAAGGCACACTCACTCGTCAGGGAAACGTCGTCGCTGCAAACTACTACTTGCTCGCCGCCCTGTTTACCATTGCTCCCGTCCCATTCACTCTCCTAATCATGAAACCCACCAACAACAAGTTAATCGCCAAGGCAAAATCTGCAGAAACCGAGGGCCTGGTTGCGCAGAAGGAGAAGGATGTTCAGGGTGAACTGAGGGCTTCTAGAGATGAGGCTGAGGTCCAGAGCTGGTTGAAGACTTGGTCCCGCTTGAATGTTGTGAGAGGATTGTTCCCTCTTGTGGGAACAATTTGTGCTGCTATGGCCATCATTTCATAAGTTCTTTATCGGCAGTCATGCTTCCTGCTTTTCGATGCATTGGAGCAAAGGGGTGTAAGGGATAACACATAATGAACCTTATCTTATTGTTAAGATGTTATGGAGCACCGTGAATAAATTAAACAATTGACTATGGTGAACTTGGGGCACCGATTAGCCTAATTGATCGGCCATCAAAGTGCATGTCTATTATAAAAAGGCAGATTGTAAATTCGAACACAGAGAATAGCCTCCTTATCCTTGTGACGATTATTGCTGTCCGGGAGTAATAGGGGCAGGGCGATGCATTAAATACACCGGAACTGGCAACGGAGCATTGTGTTGCAAATGCCTGTGGAAGTCTAAGGTAGGAAAGCCAAAATTCGCCTTTGAATCATTAAGTTGGGGAAGAGCTTTGGGTCCAAGAAACCGCCGTGTTCTTCAAGATAGACTCGCTCGATGTCCTCTCACACAGTCGAAAAGACCCCCAAAAACATGAGAGAGGCTATTTTATGAGAATTTGCTTTCACGATCTGTTTCACCACCGACACTCGTGTCGTCCGTTTCGTCTCTTTCGATCGTCGCCCACATATTACTACTTTCGGCCGTGGACTCATCTGTGTGCTGAGCATTGGGGTCTGTTTTTTGGGCCGTCACAAACCCGACATTCTTCCCGCTACTTGAATGTAGTCGGGTTTCTTCAAGGACATCACCATTCCAAGGCTTGCATTGCTTGACAATCTCTCCACAGCGGAGACACATCCAACCTTCCCCTTCTTCGGCTTCGAGCTTTTGCGCAATACAAGCAAAACAATATATGCACCCACATGGTATTGCTTCGTAAGGGTTTGTGATATCTGTTTGGGCCGACCCGATTATACCACCAGATGCGCCGCCCACAGCCATTACGTCAGATTCCGACGATGCCGTAGGATTCTGCTCTTGATAACAGATTGCGCATGTTCTTTCCGGTAAAAAGCCTAGTGGTCCGTGGTTTTTGGCATCCTCGTCCCCTTCGTCCTTTACACGAAGGGAAGAGACTGTCTTTTTCCATGCCCTCGAAAGCCAACGCCGCCAGCGGCCAATACCAACAAGAGGTAATAGAAATAGAAGGAACTCAGTGAAGGCATGCCAAACAAGTTGACGATTAAGGTATTCAAATGATACCTCGCGGCTAACTTGCATCGATGGTGGAGTTAACCGCATTCTCAAAAGACGGTCAACCAATGTTCGGTATCGTCCATTGATAAGAAAAACAAGAAAGGATACCAATGCTGCCATTGAATGAACGGTCGAAGCGGCGTTTGAAAGTTTCGCGAGTGATTTGACCGTGGGAGATGGCTGAACACTGTTAGAATACCAAGCTTCGCCCCGTACACAAGCCATTCATACCTCATCGTAACCTCCTTCTTGATCTATCATCCAAGCATCCCATTTGTCCCAAGCATAACGACCTCCTACAGTTAACAGTCCGTAGAGTACTTTCTGCCACTTTGTTGGCGGTTTATATACTGGTCCTTTACTTCGGCTATCGGTGTATTTCAGGTTCTGGAGCGCGGCACCATACGAAGCGTTATGATCCCATATCGACAACTTGAATAAGATTGCGCGGAGGGCGAGCTCGATTTCGTGGGACCAATCTTCCCGCATGTGACGCTTAAACATAGAATCCCGTCAGCTTTCAGAACCATCAAAAGAGCAATTCTCCAATATCACCATGAAAGCAGATTTTCCTAACCCCAAAGTATTTCAGCCCTTCTCCAACTTGGCCCTTCAGCAGCCCCAGTAGCTCCTCATCCAACAACTCTGCGTCAACCTGGCCCACTCTGAATGCTGGCCGCGTTCCTTCCCTGCCCTTGATGGTATCCCATAACGCGAATCCACTATTAGTCGCTCTATGCAACGGATATGGAAGATTCCTAATGGCTGGAGGAAGTCGGGTGCGTGGATCGACGCTATTATTCCGGGCTTCAGCGTCGCGCTGTTGTCGGCGTTCCAGGACGCGAGCTTGAGCTGCAGCAAAATTCGCAGAAGTCATCGTGGCATCATCTTGTGCTCCCAGCTTAATTTGTAATCCGAGGCTTTTCTGGTTCACACTCCAGATATATATTTGTATCCAGGTCCTTTTCGCAAAATGTTCACACATGAAGCAGCTCCAGCAGCCGCGTTAACTAAGGGTTGAACGAGCGAAGCCGAGGTCCAGGCCCAGACCGGCACCCAAGTCACGTGATGGGAGCTCAGCTTCCGTTAACCACTGAAGAACAATGTGCGACGTTTTCTGCGCCAGGTGCTTCGTTGAAATGGACTCAGCTGATATATTTCATAATAGTTAAACCAACAGATTTGCCTCTCTTTAGCTTAGATTTAAGTTCAAATTCCAAGCTACCTCCGCTTCTTCCCAAGCATACAATGCTCTAACACAGTTTCTCATGCAAAAGAGAATGGCTGGACAGGGTTCCTTATGAGCACCGCGGGTAGCAGGCTTTTTCGCTCCTCTGCCCAATATCAAGCATATACCATCTCCGGAGATGAATACAAAGCATCTCAGAAAAGACGATGGGGCTGAGGATCGCCGCGTCCATCTGACTGTGAATAGGGTGTGTTGGAAGAATCTATCCTATTCAACAGGACTGAGATTGCTATCGTCGCTATGTGGTGAGTCCTTTGAGATTGGCAGATTCACTTGGCTTCTGCGATTTCACGCATAGGAGGCCGAAAGATATATACGTACATTCGCGAAAAGCCGAGTACCACATATTCGATGCCCTCATCCGTCTCCCACTAACATATCACAATGCCTTTTACTGCCCTCGGCGTCGCATTTCCGTTGTAGGAGTACGGTGTCGAATTCTTGTGACTGATTCCGATCCCGAGAATACGAGGGGCGGTTTGTTTCTGCAGGTATCTGCAGGCGAACATTATCTAGAGAATGAAAAATTGGTGCACAGCAGAGTACATCTGTGATCTTTGTGGAAGTAATAGAGATATCTCGACATTGGCAGTATATCAGCCTGTCCTGTGCGACCTATTTAAATGTCTTGATTGTCCTGCATCGACATTCGGTCATGTGAGATAGTCGTTATATCATAGAGTACCTTAGCAGCTGAAGGTCTTGTTTGGGATGCACACTCCATTTCTGCTCTTAAATTCTCGATCTCGATCAAGCATTGGGCCTACAAGCTGAAGTTTCAAGTTTCTGGCAGTTACCGCGTCTACTGTACTCTCTGCAGCTGGCCCGTGCGCGGTAGTTTACTTCACGCTTAGCGTCATTGGCCTCTGGCAGACGAACTGTTTTGTTGCTGGTGGGGTTGGCTTCCTTCCAAATAATTATCATACGCGCAGAAGATGTACCCTTGATTCTTCCTCTCTACCTTTCCATCTTGTAGCTCTCTAGCTCCTCGGTGGCCTGCCATGCCTCCTATACTTGAAGTTCCTGGGGAAGCAAATCCTTTGTCACGCCAGACCATTTTAAACGCTCTCTTGGCTGCATCGTCCAACACCCAGGTCCAGGTGCAAGCTGGTACACAGCAGCTTCAGAACTGGGAGAAGGAGGATGACTATTACATTTTCTTGCAGGTATGTCCTCAATCCTTGACCCGGCATCTCAACTTGAAGCTAATTCGTGATTTGACAGGACGTTTTTACTGATTACTCCGTCCCCGAACAAGCTCGTTACCTCTCAGTCATTCAACTCAAGAATGGCGTCGATAAATACTGGCGGAAAACGTCACCTAAGTATGGGATATACACTGGCTAGAATGGTCGGATGTGGATGTTAATTGCTTTATCTCACAGCGCGCTTAAACCCGACGTTAAACAGCGGATTAAAAGTAGAGCTCTTGATGCCGGGCTGGTAGAGCCAGCACCGCTTCTTGCTCTCCACAATGCTCTCATGATTGCAAAGATCCTGCGCTATGAGTTCCCTACGGAATGGCTAGTTACCCATGAGTAGTTTTGGAAACTGAGGAGTTGCTGACGGATTTTCGTCGTAGGCCCGATGCTATCACCAAAATTACCCAGCTACTTCATTCATCTGTCGAGCCAGGCGCCAATTCAATACAACTGTCACGGTCACTTCTTATACTCCTACAAGTTGTTAAAGAACTGTCGACGGGCAAAGTGTTACGGATCAGAAAGGGTTTCCAGCTTTTGGCCCCGGAGTTATTTCGCACACTTGCGAATATTTATGTGCAAAGAGTGGAAAGACTATCTCGCCTATTGAATGGAGATACTACAGATGGCGCTGGTGCGTTAGAAGCCGTCGAACAAACTTTGATCGCTTTGAAAATCATCCGTCGCTTGATTATCTCAGGGTATGAGAATCCTAACAGGAATACCGATGTCCAACAATTCTGGGCACTCACTCTAACACACTTTGCGAATTTTGTCAACATTTCGAAACAACAACCGGCCAACCTAGATACCCATTTTACGGCACTGATAGGGAAACATGCCATTCAGTTATCGAAACTTCATCTAGCGATGGCTAAAGACCACCCAGCTGGGTTCGCATTGCTTCCCCAATCCATTGACATGGTTAAATTTTATTGGGACCTGGTAACAGAGCTCGGGAAGTCATATGGTTCAAGTGACCTTTCTCAGCTGAGGATTGGGACTGGTGGTGACGCCGACAGTGAAGAGAAGACACTCTTGGAGAAACTTGGGCTTAAGGGACTTCTTTTGCTCAGAGCTTGCGCAAAGCTTGCCTTTCATCCAGTTCAGACCTTTAAATACCAGCATCCTGAAGATAAAGAGGAGCGAAACTCAGCGGTTCAGCTAATCAAGAGCCAATTATTTGTAGAAGGTTTTGCTGTTCAGGTTATGGAGCTACTGGTTACCCGCTTTTTCGTATTTCGAGCAGGTGACCTGCGAGAATGGGAAGAAGAGCCTGAGGAATGGGAGAAACGTGAGGAGGAAATAACCCATGCGTGGGAATTCTCTATCCGCTCTTGTGCTGAGAAATTATTCCTCGATCTCATAGTTCACTTCAAGGATTCATTGGTCCCTAAGCTTTTAAATGTGTTTTACTCTTACGCAAGTAAGTGTCCCACGCCCTTGAAATACCATTCTCTAACACCCATACAGCTCCACAGAATCACGACATATTGCTGAAAGATTCCCTTTACTCTGCAATTGGGCTGGCGGCTGCATGTTTGGAGAAGACATTGGATTTCAATGCCTTTTTAATATCTACACTTATCCCTGAAGTTCAAATCCAGCAACCAGGGTATTATATCCTCCGGCGGAGAACTGCCATTTTACTTGGCCAATGGGTGCCGGTAAAACCTAGCGAGTTGGATAGAGATTCTATCTATCGGATTTTCCAGCACCTTCTCAATAAAGATGACCCTACAAACGACCAAGTAGTAAGAATCACTGCTGGTCGGCAACTAAAAGCGGTCCTGGACCCATACGAGTTCACCGCTGAAGGCTTCCTGCCATTCGCACCTCCAATACTACAGTCCTTGATGAACTTAATCCAAGAAGTTTCGTTGCCAGAGACGAAAATGGCCTTGCTTGAGACTGTTAGAGTAGCCGTAGTGAAACTTGAAGACCACGTATGTCCTGATATAAATGTTCTAATCCTTTTGACATGAGCTAATTGCTTTATCTAGATATCCCCATATGCGGATCAAATTGTTACTCTTCTGCCATCTCTGTGGGACCAGTCTGGAGAGGAACATTTGATGAAGCAAGCAATATTGACCCTCCTGTCTTCCATCATCCACTCCATGAAACAAGAATCCGTTAGATATCATCCATTAGTTCTCCCGCTCATCCAGAAATCAATCGAGCCCGGATCGGTATGTAATCATGATCTAACATCTTTGCATGGTCGAGTTGCTTACCAACTAATTGTTTAGGAATCCCTCGTATACCTACTGGAGGAATCCCTTGACTTGTGGTATGCTGTGTTAGCGCAAACTCCAAGCCCCGCTGGTTCACAGATCCTCTCTCTTTTTCCATCCCTTTTCCCTGTTTTCGAAATCGGAACCGAAAGCGTTCGACAGGCTCTCGAAATCACGGAGTCTTACATACTGTTAGCTCCGCGTGAATTCCTAGATGGACAAGTCCGCTTCCGCCTTCTTACAGCGTTAGAATCTTTTCTAGGGCCGAATGTGCGCCCACGTATCGGCTTGGTCCCTTATCTTGCGTCAGCACTGGTACGGATTGGAGAGACTTCTCCCGAGGCAAAAGAACAAACCTATACGCTGATTGCGGAGTCGTTTGTTAGCAGTTCTTTCTTGCGGACTCTTCTTGCCGGTCTGAATGATGCGCACGAGGCGAGCTTCTCCACCGGCCCGAACAAAAAGTACTCACCCATTGATGGTGTTGCGGAAACTGATCACTTCTCCGTGCTTGCAAGGCTTGCATTGGCCAATCCAGGGGTCTTCATGTCAGCTGTCAGAGCCGCAACATACCCTGTCCCTGAAGAACAAACACTTAAATGGATACTAGAAGAGTGGTTCTTCCACTTTGATGGCATCGGCGATATAGCGACTAAAAAGCTCCATACCCTAGCATTAACCCATCTCCTCTCTATAAACGGACCTTCATCCCCGCCGCCAGCTTATCTTCTCAATAATCTTCAATCCTATCTTAGCATTTGGACCGATGTGATCACCGAGCTAGCCGATGACGGAGATAATATGGATGGTCAGGCAGGTGACTACCTGGTGAATTTCAACAGTAGCAGCACGTATAATCCCGAAGGAAAGTACCAGGAAAACGAACCTCCTGAGACCACCCGTCGTCGTGTATGGACTCTTGCCGATCCCATCCACCAGATCAATATACGTGATTATGTTACCGAGCATCTCCGTGCTCTCGTCGAAGTGTGCGGGGGCATCGATCGATTCCGTGAAGAGTGGCTAGTCAACGTGGATAAGGAAGTGGTGAATGAGTTCGCAAAATTGGGTGTTTTCTAGCATGCCCGCTGCATAACTTTCCTCATGGTTCGCTTTTCGAGTTGGCATCGGATGGTGGCGTCAAGACAGTGGCGTTTTAGATCGAGGTGATTCGGCTTGGATGGAATGCTTCTTCGTTCAGCGCCATGATTAGATGTGTAGATCTTCCATGTAGACACTCTCCGTGGGTTATGCAAACATCTCAAGCATTTGAATTCTCCTATTGTTCTTCGTTTGGAGTGACGAATAGCTCCAGTCGAATTTGTCCTAGTGGAACCCAAACACCGACGACCTAGGCCGATGACAGGTAGTCAGCATCTGTTATTTTGGATGTTAGGGATAGTCAGCATCACAGTACTTTTCCGAGGGAATTCCTAAACTGCTGCCAACCCGCTGAGCCATACCAAAGCGACAGGCGAGACTGTTGACGCTCTTGAGCTGGACTTGGCGAGCCGGACTATGGCAAATGTACTCACTACGCGCACTTTGGCTAGTTCTGTACACCCTTGTATGCGCAGGACATACTTTGTCCTCCGTAGAGTAACTAGCGGTTAATCCTATTTTGGCAATTCAATAGGTAGAAGATTATCATATCTGGTTTAGCTTCACTTAATGCAATGTGCGTTGGAGTATAGAGATATCGATTGAATTGCCAGGCTATACGGAGTACAAGGGTGTAACTATGGGACGCTGGAGGTTCAATTAACTATGTAGTTAGTTAACGAGCCAAGGTCCAGCAGGTGTTGGTCCAGTGATCCGACCCGGCTTGGCGCCTCCGGCATTCATGACCTGCAGAATATGGCATCACTATTGAAACAATAGAGGCCCGGGAGATATAGTGCGGCTTATTTTCTACTCCAGCAATCCCTGGAAGAGGCATCATTCAACATTCAGTCTACCGCTTGATGATTAGGCATCGATGGGAGCGGAAAGCTCTGGACCTCCCGGGGTGGGCTGCGGAACTCCCGCGGGGCTGCTCCCTATGTCCCATGACGCTGCAGATGCCTCGCAGCCAATTTCTGCCTGGGCTACGGAATATCAGCTTTGGATTTTCCATGCGAAGTTCTCAAATCAGAGCCGTTTCCAAATTAGCTGTGAAGCTGTGGCGCTCCATCGTTTAATTTACGACCAATGCCTTTCCTCCTTAGGTTATCAAGATGCCGGTAGTGAGCCTCCATCCTCTTGGTCCGAATATCCCTTGATCCATTGCAGAGCTTTCTCTCATCTCATTTCTATACCCAGGGGATAACCCTTGCTAGTCAGTAGCTAGAACAACCAAGTCGAGTGTTTTTGTAGTTCCCAGAGTTTCGATATGTCCATGCTTCGCAGGTCTCTAAGCCTTTGATAAAGGGGACCTGGGTCCAACTTGCGTTGGAAGGATGCATTCTCTCGGTTAATTTGGCCGCTCCGGGGAACAATCCAGAACTACTCCGTAGTCTCTTGGAAATCTCATATGTTGCCTTTCAATTTGAGTTGATGGGCCCGGAGTCTAGATATTCATTAGCTCATTAGGGTTCAAGACGGAAGCCGAAAAGCTCCTGAATGGCAACCTAGGAGCATATAAAAGCGACCGCTTTCTCACAGTCCGAACCGACAGAAAGAGAACAACCCAAAAACTGCCACTTCCCTTTTTTTTTTTCTTTTTTTTTTTAAAAAAATTCTTCCTTACACCCCTTGAAATGAAGTCGTCCTAAGTTCTCCCTCTACTTGCCTCTCTGGTCCTCTAGCCTCAGCCGGTGGCTTCTCAAGGTCCTGTCACGTCACTGGCGTTAACGAAGGACATCAGTTGCATGCAAGTTGTTATGGCCCTAAAGGCTTGCAGGAGGCATTTCTAGAACTAAATTGGTGCTTCGCGAATGACAATGGGGTCCTGGCCGCCCGAAATAACAATCGTGCACCCTCTACACTGCTGCCTTGCCTGCAATTGAACTAAGCATGGCAACTTAATACACAGTGGCAGCTACAAGAACAGCTGCAGGGACTGCTTTATATATTCATAACACTACATGGAATGCAAGTGCACATCAAGGGATGGTTTGAGGAAGATAGCTCGCATTGATTTAGATAAGCAGCTATTTGCCCTATTTGCGGACCACCTTTCACTATTGTTTAGCGATTAATGATCCATAGATCCTACGATCTCAAATTACAACGGATATCTCGATTGCTTTGGCCGTAGGGGACCTTGTCCTCGATGTTGATCAATAGCAACTTGCGCCTCACCTACGCTCGATAGTAGTGGAAAGGAAGTTAAATAGATATCGAGTTGGAGATCTCTCTGATAGTCCATTGAGTCGCACTTAAAGGACTACTACCCAACTCTGAGGCTTTCGGGGTCTAGTAACCCTAAAGTTTCCCGTTTACGTTCTCCTACTTGGTCTACATTCCTTATATGTCAATCCAATGAATGTACCATATATACATACCTTTGCGCATATAACAGGACATACTATCTTATCTTATATTTCCTTTTATTTTTAGCTGATATTAGGATTCAACCGGGCTAACACAAGCTCTTCCCTGCCTTTCTTTTTTCGAAAATTCACTTCACACGCATAAAAAAACGTGGGGCTTTTTTTACTTTCTAAGCCAGGACGATGTCACTTCTCTGCCCTGAATCGGGACTTCAAGTGACCTTTTACAATTGCACCTTTGCTCCCACCAAAGTCTTTGTTCATCTTTGGTAGCAAAACAGACCTGCCAGGCTTTCAGGCATCATGTGGCAGCCCAACAACCGAGTGATATTTATCGGCATTGTCAATAGAATCAAATAGTGACATGCAATTAACAAACGATCTCAAAATGTACCAAGTACCCAGGAGACATTCTGGATTTCTGAACTTCTGAGGGCCTAAATCCAGATAGCTTCAATCAGTGTTCGTCGTGAATCTTGTATTAGGACAGTGAGAATGGAGACAGCCCTTGTTTGAGGGTAACAGCCACAAGCAATGGTGATGTTGTCAATCCGCAGGCCCAATGTAGCTAGCAGCTGCTCTGAAAAATGTGGAAAAACGGGCTTGATATTTCCGCGTTGCGTGAAAACTGCTCAAAGAACGAATATATAGAAATTGCTGAAGTTCCTCGCCTCAGGGGGTGGCACTTCAATAACCGAAATAGACTTCCGAGACTTCTGACTTTATCCCGACCTCTGCTCACTCCCGTGACACGGTTCTCCCGTCGATGGCGGCCGGGGAAGGAAAACTCAGCAAGATTACAGATGACAAACTCTGCATCTACCACGGAATCTGTGTTCATTCTAGCCTCAAGTGCCATCTGGAGTCGCCGAAAAAAAAAAATAATGGCTGCGTTGAGCTTGGTGTTCGCAGCGGCGAAAAACCCTAACTAAATCGAACCCCAAACCCCAGCTTCTGGCAATGCTTTTCGATTCACTATCTTCTTATCTCCATTTCTAGCTATTATTTTTTAGACCATTGATCTCTTTAGTCGCTCTGCATCTGCTTCTCGAGGGCCAGACAATAAATAAATAAGAGGCGGCCATTCTCCGTCAGGATCAATTAAAAAAGAGAAGCCCATCGCCGCCAGCGACCCTCACCGCATATCATGGCTAACAACACGGTCCCCCTCATCGTGGACAACAAGGACGTCGTCACATCAACAGCATTCGATGTGAATAGCCCAGGCACAGGCAAGGCTATCTACCAATGCAGCAGCGCCACCGTAGACGATGCGACTCGCGCAGTAGACTCCGCTCACACTGCATTCAAGAGCTGGTCCAAGACAAAGCCAGCTGTCCGCCAGGACATCATGCTCAAGGCCGCTGAGATCTATCTTCGACGCAAAGATGAATTGATCGGCTACTGTGCCGAAGAGACCGGTGCTTCGGGCCCTTTTCCGGAGATTACGTTTGGAATCGGCTACCAGATGTTCAAGGACGTGGCCGGAAGAGCTGCCAACATCGAAGGCGTTGTTCCACAGCTGTTGGAGGATGGACAGAGTGCGATAGTTTACAGAGTGCCTTATGGTGTGATTCTAAGCATTGTACCCTGGTAAGGGTTCTTTCTAGGAAAGCTTAGTGCTGCTGTTGGTGCCGTGATGTTAACAAAAATGTCCAGGAATGCTCCTTTCCCACTGGGTTTGCGCGCCATTCTCCTCCCACTGATGGCTGGTAACACAGTAGTTCTGAAAGCCTCGGAGCTGTCTCCAAAGACGTTTTGGGGCATTGCAGATGTACTCCGCGAGGCTGGCTTGCCAGCCGGATGTCTCAATGTAGTCTATCATCGCCCTGCCGATGCTGCTGAGATCACAACGGCTTTGATCGCTCATCCAGCTGTCCGCAAGGTTAATTTCACAGGAAGCACAGTCGTAGGCAGCATTATCGCTTCGACTGCCGGAAAATACATCAAACCAGTTCTGCTGGAACTCGGTGGCAAAGCAAGCTCCATTGTGCTCGACGACGCAGATCTCGACAAGGCTGCCACGCAGTGCATCCTCGGAGCCTTCTTAAACGTACGTCAGGCACTTGAATGCTACCTTCTCGAGCTGATTTGTGCATTTCCACGCCACTAACTCTTAGATAATAGTCTGGTCAAGTCTGCATGTCCACTGAACGTATCATTGTTCAACAAGCCGTTGCAGTGAAATTCCGTTCCGCCCTCGTAGAGACCATGAAAAACATGTACCACGACGACGCCCCGTCGCCAATTCTAATCAATGCGACTCCGGTGGCAAAGAATAAGAAGCTCATTTCCGATGCAGTATCTCAGGGAGCAGGTATCGTCCACGGAGACCTTCACCGAGAGGAGTCCTCAGCCACAAGAATGAAGCCTGTTATCATTGAGAACGTCACTCCAGACATGGATATACATGCGACTGAATCTTTCGGCCCTACCGTTTCGCTGTTTGTCGTTGAGACAGAGGAGGAAGCGATCGCGCTGGCCAACGACACAGAATATGGTCTTACCTCGGCAGTATTCACGACCAACTTAGGGAGAGGATTGCGTGTGGCTAAACAGATCGAATCGGGGTAAGCTTTTTCCCTTTTTCTTCAGAGGAAAGCGATCTTCTTCTCAAGGGGTTGCGTTTGGGTATTAGAGCACGTGCTGACTCTCTTCTCTCTTGTCCTTGCAGAGCGGTTCATATCAATTCACTTACCATACACGACGAGCCCGCTCTTCCACATGGCGGTATGAAGAAGAGTGGCTTTGGTCGTTTCGGCGGCATCAGTGGCCTCAACGAGTTCTTGACCACAAAGTCTGTGACATGGATGGATATTTAGACAGAACTTCGAATGATCTTCAGGTACTCCGTACCAAGCCACAGCTACCAAGTTTAAGCGGTCGGAAGACAGAAATGGCGCAGAAAAAAGTGGCTCCATGCTCGTTTCGGGAGTTCGAAGCTGTTACTGGTGATTGTCGATTCGTTCGGGAACAGCTCAGTGACTCCGTATTACTACTCCGTACCGGACATTAACATGTATGAATGGATGAATGATAATCTGCAAATCTTTAATCTTATTCTTGTATAACAGCCTTGTCTTGTGACCAACGACAAGCTGCTTGCTGAAGATAGCTAGCAGGTTTTACTCCATACATGTACTCCGTACCTCATCCTGAAACAAGATTGTCTGCGCCTCAGGGCGGGAGAAAAAAAAAAATCAAACAAAAAAGAAAAACAGGGAGGGGGTTGAGCACAATGACTTCCGTTTGTCTCACCAAGAGCGTCAAGACACCATTTTTCCAGAAAAATGTCTTTGAGCTTTGAGCATGAGCCATTTCAACTCGAGCGTTTGACCGTTTCGATCCTTGAATTTGAGCCTCGTGACAGTGTGTAGGTTCGCATGCATGCATGCAGACATGCAGCTTGGGCATCTGTGCTCTGGACGCGGTCAACGGGGCACATTGATATCAAATTCTTGGGTATCCCGGGATGGGGCCCTGTCGTCGGAGACATGGCTCATTGGGCCTCCGATCTCTCCTTTCCGTCACAGCAGAGCACGCATGAAGCGGACCCTCAAAGACAGGCTGAAGGAGTGGGGATTTTAGCCGATGTTATCGTTCCACACAAAAAGATAAATAGTCATATCTTATAGGTAGGCTTCCGGTACGGGTGAGACTAGCTCTGTATAAGTTACGGAGTCACGAACGACACTCCATACGAAGAGCTGGGTTTTGAGAAAATATTTTAAGATTTTTTTTTTTTTCCGCCAAAAAGGTTGGCCCTATGAAAGCGTTTGTTGAAAGGGAAAAAATTCTCCAGCAAATCCACAATTCAGCTCAGTAGTGGTGGACGGAGTATGGTGATCCGCAGACGTTTTCTCCCTTAAAGTGGACAACCCGACAAGCGCGAAAGAAAAAGTTCCTTGAAACTTGAAAACTAATCGTACCCCCGGTCCGGCATTTCTGGCCATGGAGGACAAACCTGCAAAAATGTCGCGAAGTGGTTCTTTGTTCGAATTGGGCCCCAATTTACCTGTTGGTGGGCAAGCGAGGGTGTATAGTTGCCTACGGAAGAGACAGGGGATTCGGGGAGAAAAAGAGAAGCGGGGAGGGTCCGTTTGAAGGCCAGAACGCACAAGTGGTAACGATGGCTAGTCGCATGGAGGCACACCTGTCTGAAGGAGAGTCCATCGGACGTCCGGAGTGCTACTTAGTAGGACTGTATTATTGCAGCGCGTCGACAGCCGCACCATCGTTTGCCGGCCCCTGGGCGAGGCCTGTTTGCGAAGATGCGTGCCTCGTCGATTGGTGGCGAGACAAACGACGGCGTGTCGCGCCGGATGGCGACCCGTTTACTCACACAAGAGGGAGACAATAGTTCGCCAGGGTGGGAAAAAATTATGCGATGGAAAGAAATAAAATTCCGAAATGACACAATCGACTTAGGGATCGAGCTGGCGGGTGTCAGTTGGTCTCGCATTCTTGGTCGACGCGGTCCAGAGGAAAAAAAAAAAAAAGAAAAATGGTACTCAACACAAGTCCATGGTGCCCTCTATCATCCCATCGCACGCCTTCGACGCGGCGAATTTTGGAACTCCAAGAGAGCGGAAGTTCGGCTTGGCGCCGGCTGCCTGCAAAAACAGCCAACCGCCAGGGCAGCCGCTGATTGGCCGCAGCGAGCTCGGTTGGCCAATCTTACAAGCGCAAGAGCCTAATTTAGTTTATCTGTGTGATGCAAAGTTACATTGCGAAGTGGTCAGGCGCATGTAACTCGACGCGCGACAGGGCCTGGGAGGCCACAGACTGTTGGAAATTTCCAATGGCAAGGAACATGGGATGGGACTCTCCGCTACCCCGATGGGGGTGTTGCGTTGAATCTGCGAACGGGTGAGAGAGCTGTTTGCCAGCTGTCGCCGTCATGACAGTGTCGTGTTGCGACAAGAGGGGGAAAGCCTTGGTTGGTGCGGTGAGCGAGCTGGTATTACTTACCACCATCGCCAGCAGCTAGTTACAGTATCGATAAGGCCGTTTGCTTTTGGCGTCGCCACGACGGCGGTTGCTGCAGCCTGTGTGGTGGTGTAAGGCGGTGCATGTGGTGGTGGTGTGTGGGCGGCCCGGTGAGCTGCAAGGTTCCCCCCGTTATTTCTCCATCTTTTGACAATACCGTATTGACCCCACCGCCAAACACGTGGGAGCGGCTTTGATTGGCTAGCTGGTTTCCATCTCATCTCGCATCGACTCTTGGCGGTGTTGCGCTAGTCCGCTTCGGGCCAGGCGAGTGAGTCTTGTTCCTGGGCCAAAGTTGCCCAAAGCGGAAAGGTGTTATCGCGCCCGCCATAAGAGACAAGCGGCGTGAGGCTCAACCCCTTCGCTCCCCCTCGTCAGCCTAATTTCGGCTGCCCTTTTTCTCCCCGGCACCGCGCTCTCTCTCTCTCTCTCTCTCTCTTTTTCGTTTTTCCTTTTCTTCTCCTCCATTCCCTCCTTCATCTCGTCTTTCATTCAGCTTCCAGCAAACACCCCCCAACCCCAGTCACTCTTTTGACCCCCCTCCCCAGCTCGAGGATATCTGTCCTTCGCTCTTTATCTGAACTTTGTACAACCACACCCTATATACACTTAATAACTTCACGCGAAGAGTCGGGATATAACACCGCCTTTCCCAGATTTCACAATGAAGTTCACTGCTATCGTCCTCTCCGCCCTCGTGGCCGTTGCCTCTGCCATCAGGCAACCAGACTACAGCCAGCCCCCAAAGGGCAATGCCATCTCTAAGCCTAGCTTGGACGAGCAGGTCGTCGCTGGTGAGGAATACACCATCACCTGGGACGCAGACAGCCCAGGACCTATCTCCATCCAGCTGCTCCGTGGGCCCAGCGAGAACGTCAAGCCCATCGCTGTCATCACCGCTTCCACCGAAAACACCGGCTCCTTCAAATGGACTCCCTCCATCACTCTCGAGAACGACGTGACCCACTACGGCCTCCTCATCGTCGATCAGTCCACCGGTCAGTACCAATGGTCCACCCAGTTCGGCATCAAGAACGACCAGCATGAGCAGCCCGCCCCGTCCGTCACTCGCACCCTCATCGAGCCTCCTCCCGTCGTCACTCTCACCACCACGATCTGCGACGAGACCACCGCTCCGTACCCCACCGGCACTGCCCCAGGCACCGTTTCCTCCCCTGCGCCAACTGCTCCCACCAGCTACCGCGCCACCCCCACTCCATCTCCATCCTCTCCACCATTCGAGGGTGCTGCTGGCCGCAACGCCTTCAGCTTCGGAGGCGCAATCCTCGCCGTTGCTGCCGTCCTGGCTTTCTAAATTCCCCTCCCGGCTTCGCGCTCCCTTGCGAATAATAACCTCGCCTTGAGAGCGACATCTTCATGATACACATGTTCTGCTTCTTTCTAATACAAACTCTTTATTTTTTTTGTTACATCTGAGCCGTTTGTGCTGCGACGGTGATTTATTCTCGCTAGGGAACCCATGGGGAAATGGAAAGCCTTTACTGCTCAATCGCATCATCTTTTACTCCCTTTTTTCGTGAAAATGGAAAGCGACGGTTAATTCTTACTGATTGGGACGGGTCTTTCATGTGTGAGGAATTGTATGCAAGTACAAGTACATATTGTTGGTTTTTGATTTGATAGGGGAAGAGCCTTTATTTTTTTCTTATTTTCAACCTTCGTGTATCTACTTCCATCATGAACGGCTGCTGGAACAACGGGAAAAATTCCAATGATTAACTTAGCTTTCCGCCACTCACTTTTCCTTGTTTTTTTTTTTTTCAATTCTTCCCTCATCTGCAAGTGTGAAACAAATCCATCTGCATCTCTCCGTGTCATTATTCTCGGTCCAATGGATTCGGTCCTCTTCAGCTGACTTCCCACAGCTCCTGCTAACTACTGCTGACGATCGAAATAAGCCTTATTTAATCTCCTCTCCGATCGTCATATAACTTTCCCCACACGTGTTGTGAGACTGACCTCATCGCGCGTCGCCGATCACCGCGGAACACACACTCTCACCACGCGGTCTTCAAAGTGGCGCATTTCTTTTTCCTCTCCCTTTGCGCAGCATGGCGCCACGTATTATGTATGTATGAAGTACTCCATATTTTTGTGTGTATGTCTGCTGTATGGGATGAAGTGGTTACTGTGCCACAGCAGTCAGCCTCCCATTCTCAAACGTTCCTGCAGATCGCATGCTGCAGATCCGTGCGCTCCCTCACCTCGGGTAAAAGTCTGATGTTCGCGCTTACAGTAATGTGACTTTGATAATCGCCAAGTATGAACTTGTACCACCGAAACAAGTGGCCAGGTACTTAACCATCAATTTCCCAGCAGACGAATCTTTCTCTTTGCCATTAGACCCCTTGTTGTCTATTCAGTCCTAACAAGGCTGATTCCGGGAGTGCGCGCGGGCGTTAAGTTAATCATGGGAATGACGAAGTACTGAAATGCGGACAGGCCAAGGCCTCGTGTAGGAACCAAAACGGACTATATTTTGGCCGCTGAGCCAGAAGAGCACGTCCTCCAAAGCCGCAAATGCCACAAACTATACCCGCAAGTTTCACTCGACAACTAGTTAGTGAGCTTCAGCGGCACCATCTAGCCAACCACCAAGTCTCAGGTTCACAATACGTCCCAGGTCCGTGGACCCATCCTCTTGCACACCGGTTTCCTCAAAGTCCCGGAGTATTCTATCAATATATTCACCCGCCCCTGACAAGTGAAGGATATGAGCAATGGCCCGGTGTAGGGCAAGGAGCTTGAGCAACGGAGCATCTATCACCCTTCCTTCGCTGAGAAGGAGTTTGCGAGTAACAGGGAGTCCCAGACTCGCTGCAAAGACGGGAGGGAGGAAACTGTCAATGCGGTAAGTATGCTCTTGGTTGGCAATAGGTTCAAAGTATATGTCGAAGTTGCCAAAGCATTTGTGGAAATCAATAGTCAGGCTGATAGCATTGCGTGGGCTATCAATGTGAGTACCCTCAATGAGATGAATCACATCACAGTCAAGCATGTTAAGAATCATAAGCGTCATCTTTTTGGTATCACTCTGTGTCCGTCATTTAACCATGGGAAAGCTTATTGTGGATGGGTGACCTACCAGCTCGGAATTCTCATTTCCTTGTACTAGGGAATGGGGAACTATGTGAGCCACTTCCAGGAACCTTAATATTTCATCGTTTTCAAACAGTTTCCCATCATCATCTCGAGCATTTGAACCATGCTGCATCATTCGTGTTAGCGCCTGTTGCGAGTCAAAAGCTCGCGAGATCACACAACGATGGTGGTCACGAATGAGGCAAAGAGCCCGAAGGTATGATACTCGCTCTGAGGTGCCAACAATCTCATGTGGTGATTGTACACTTTGGATTGCTGAAAGATGTGCAGGAGAGGGCTGTGGAGTAATTTTCCCACCTGCTTTTACTGTAAACAGATTAGTGAATTGAAAATGATAGGGTGGCGAATATGGCACAAACATGGGAAGAAGAACTGCTCGAGAAGTATGTCTGCAAAATCAATGAATTTTGAAGGCATCTGATCATCATCCATGTTGATATCTTCATCACTGCTGATATCTAGCCCCATAACATTGAAGAAAACTCGCAAGAATGTATCCTTGGACAGCTCAGGCTGCGAATAGTCATAGGTATGACGGACAAGTAAATGGCGACTATATCCACCCTTGGTACCACTGTGATTGGCAAGATGATTGATAATTGTCCAATGCCCCTTGGGCGCGAGAGCGTTCATCCACAGTCAAGGGCGCCAGTGAGGAATAGTTGATAAGGTCCTCAAAGAATGCTTGATGGCAGTGGTGAGACTGCAATGGAACATGAGAGCGACCGGGTAGATCAAGAACACCCTCATAGGATGACTGGCGATGCTGGGACGCCATGCTGCGGTGGGTGAGGGGGACTGTAAAGCAGAAGCGAAGACGGTGGGCTTGCGTGTGTTAAAGACTGCGGAAGCATGAGAATTGAAGAAAGATTCTGAGAGAATCAAGCGTGCTTGGGGAGCAATATATCACCAACCCGACCTGCAACATGCCCCATGAAGCCCCCCAAGCGGTTAGGAGAAGAGCTATACAAAGGACCAAGGTTTACCAATTTTTATGATGCGCTGGAGTGCATGCGTAGGCTGCGGCCGGTACTGACTCCAGCCCAGTCGTTGAATTGGAGTCAAGTCAGCAGTACCAATCTAGGTCAGAGTCAGGAAGGGTGTCAGTCAGACCATGCCAGAATAAAACCCCAGATTGGCATCAAGCCAGAATGAGAGAAATCTGCTTTATATAACTAATACAACAGCTAACTAACTACATGACGATAGAGGCTCGTCGTTAGCCACCCGGCAATTCCAAGGCCTCTTCTATCTCTTGAAAGCTGTAAAACGCAACGCTTCCCGGAGCTGGAGTCCCAATTCATCCCAGTCGTTTCCTACTTTCTCAAGACCACCGCCGCACTTATCCATAACTCTGACAATGAATGACCAACCCAGACGCAGAGCTTAACTTTTGAAGAATCATCCTCGAGTACCGACGGGTTTCCAAACAGTCAACTTCCACCAAATTTTGCCAATAGACGCATTCTACCCAGTACGCAGCAAACATTAGAAACTCTCTCATCTGTAGCTAGTTTACCTAGGATCTCTTTACATTGCAGCACCCTGTACATAATCAATGGACTTTTTAGTGACGGCGCGGCCTTGGGGATCTGGTTCAGATGTACGCCATACTTGATTTGCTTTTCGAAGTAAAATACTCGCTTTCATACGGAGTGCACACTCTTCTTGGTAACCTATGTACAGATTTGAGCTTCAAAGCTGAAGTTCGATTATTCGGGATAGTTAAACCTTATGAAAAAATGGAAAAAAAAAATAAATAAAAATAAAAAATGGGGCCGGCGAGTTGCCGTAGTACAGGCGGAGCCGCCAGAATCATCAAAAATATCAAATTTCGTTAAACGTCGTCATCATCATGGAAACAATAAGGGGGCAAGGAAGCCGGTGGGTGATCACCGCCGATGAAACATTATGAAAGTACAGAAACATCTCGTTTCAGGTGAGGGGAAAAAAAAAAAAAAAAAAAAAAAAAAAAAAGAAAGAAAAAGAAAAGAAAAGAAAAAAGCTCGACAAAGTAAGAATACACAAATCTCGGGTCAGAACTGGTTAATGAAAGCCGTAACCGTCAGTCGCAAGTGTCGGTATTATGAGAGCGGAAATTGGTCTGTTTCGCAATGACTTCTTGTATCAGGGGAGCATCCTTGAAAGGTTCTCCCGAAGGAGATCGCGTGTTAATCTCGGAATCCTGTTCCGCGGCACACGGGCACATCAGCGACGCGGGCCCGTCCCTAATGGCCAGTCCAATCGCCAGCGCAATCGCGAGCGAGAATTTCGCCCACAGGTGGAAGGGGGGCGCAGGCCGGGTGACGGACGTGTCAGCAACCTCATCACAATTTGGGTTGGAAGAATCGGTATTCGATCGCTTCTTCGATTCTTGGACAGACAGTCTTGTCCTCGCGGGACTTTGAGTGGTCACGTTTGTACCAGCGCGGGTATGATCAACACGTCCTAGGGGGTTCGTTTCTGCTGAACTACTATCCACCGGCGTCCAAGCAGCGTGCGCAAGCACAGAGCGTTTAAACCATCCATCTCTCCTTTGCACACCCAGAATTAACCCGAGAACCCACCAGGGAAGTCTTCCTATTTTTTTCCAATTCGAGTGCCATGAATTGAAAAGGATACGCTTCGCCAGCACGATCGAGCCTGAAATAATGTCACGGAACCAATGAGAATGGCCGATGGCGCTGTTGATAGCAAGATCCAGATCCGCACTAGGTTTGCGGGCACTGAAATGCCTCGCTATGAGTGGCGTAACCTCGGGACCGGGCGAGTACTCTCGGTTCCGGAGGCGTCTCTTCTTGCGGGAAGATCCGCCGTGGGCGGTCATGCTCGCGGGAGAGTGTGCACTATGGGCAAATGGCTTTTTTGAAGGGTCGAGGTCGGAGTGAGGGTGGCGAATGGGCGTGTGGAAAAGCCCTGGTGGATGTAAGTGTCCGTTGGGGAAACAATCTGCGTCAGGTCCATCACCAAAAACGTCATCCTCGTACGGGACATCGGAAACGTCGGACAACGCGTGGCCGGAAATGGCCTCCTCAAAGGATTGATACTGATGGGTATTTCCTTCGAGAGCATCTAGCGTGTCTTCATGGACCTGAACAAAGTTTGAAGGACTATGCCATTCATTGGCTGAATAGGTACGTAGGTGAGTCGCGGAATGTTCGACACTGTCATAATGACAGCTTGGACTTGTTGGTGACAACAAAGAAGAAGTGGCAGGCAGTATCAGCGGCTTCAATGTACAAGATCCCGAGGGAAATCGTCGCATCCTTCGATGCCGGCGTGGAAGGTCGAGAGGTAAGGGGAAAGAGGTTCCGCACATTGAGGAACCGGACGAGTGAGAGATTGTCGACGATCTCTGAGAGCCGTATGGTCGAGTGGACACTACTGAACACGAATCTCCCAAGCCAGAATCTAGAGATCCCAGTTCGGAGACTGGCCTTTCCTCTGCCACTGCCTCTGTATAGCTGACGTCGAGCTCGGGAACTTCGTCGTGGCGGACTACACCACCATCAGCATCGTTGGACTCCGATTCGGGGACCACCAATGGTTGGAAGAGCTGTCGCCGGACAGGCGACAGAGGTATTCTGGAAAACATCGACCTGGGTCTAGGTGTCCGCCGAACCGGTTCGTCGTCTGGGGGGATGGACCCGAGTCCGATGTTTGTCCTAGCATCCTGTTCTGACTTTGATGGCGACTGCGCAAGCAGCTCCGTCAACACGTCAACCCTTCTCTCAAGGCTTCGATTGGTTGAATTAACAGCTTCTAGGCTTCGCAGCCGCTGATGGTCCATCTCCGCCTCCCATTCGAGTTCCCGGATCTTGTTATCCTTAGTCTCCAGCTCCCTCTCCAAAGCACGTACTTTTGAACGCAACTGGGACTCTCGATCCACCATCACGCCGATTTCCTCTTTTATTCGGGCTTCGAATCGTTCCTCCCACTCTGCAAGCTCCTGCTTCAATAATCTATGTTCAGAACTCAAGGACTTGTACTTTGATGCATAGCTATTCAATGCCGACGGATCGTCGGAATCGGTACGGCTCAGCGAGGCCGCCAGCTGGGCCTCCAGATGCTCGATGTATCGGGTTGTTCCGCGACTGACAACCCGGGAAGAGGCAGTTTGCCGCTTTTGTCGGCCATCAAATCTTAGGGAGGCGATGTTGGGGCTATTAGAGGACGGTCGGGGGCTTGGTTTCATGGCTTCGTCCGGGGAGAATGGCTCCAGCAGGGGTGTCTTTGGCCGAGGGTTATCGAAGGGAGCGCGGGGCACGGACTCGGAGACGATCAGATTCTCCTTCTCCAATTCATCAAAGAGCGTAGAGAGGAGGGGACGCGGAGAATGCGACGCTCGCCGTTGGGTAGAATTTCCAATCTCCTGTAGGATACTGTTTCTTCTCTTCTGTGAAGCACTAGACTGGACGTCATCACTCCATCGGCGTCGACTTCCGAAGTCCACAACACTGCTGTCCTCTTGGCTACCGTGGCGCTCTGAGCTCCCGGAAAAGCTTCTCCAGGTGGCGAGTTGAGGGCTTACCGGTCGAAAGGTAGGAAGGAGGACGCCGCCGCGAAAACCAGCATTGCGTAGCTGTAGGCGCCGATTCTGTCGATTGAAGGGGCACTCGCGCGGGCGCGGGCTGGGAGGCGTGCGCGGCGAGCGGTCGAGGGCGAGAACGGAGCTGCGTCGCTGGGAGGAGGATGGTCTCTGTTGTTGGTGCTGGTTGTCACGGAGGGTTGCGGCGGAGGCAGAAGAAGATAAAGGGGTATCGGGATCGGGAAGGACGCTGCTGTCCATAGCTTGGGAAATGAGGTTGCAATAATTTTAGACAACCCGGCTCTCGTCTCCATACCGCGACTCTAACGGCGACTCGAAGGGGGGCTCCAACGCGGCGCCCGATTGGTCATCTGGCACGGACGGTCCGATCCTTTGGGCTCGAAAATGTGGTCGTGGAAGGGATTGCGTGAGCCGAGGAATCAGACGATAGCAGGGTGTAAAAAGTGGGTTGAAAATTTGCCCTTGTGAAAATCCAGAGCAAGGCGGCGAGTCTGTTACAGAAGAACGGAACTGGATCACGGCGTGTCCAGAAACTTAACTACTTACTGTTGCAGGGACGCACCTCATCAACACGCAGCTTGTAGATTCTGCTTCCTGGGTTATGACAACAGGCGCTTGAGTATTACCGGCAGACGAGCATTTCGGGTCTTCTATCTTTGCTTCCTGTTCACGCTCGTTCGCCCTCGCGGTGGTGCAGCTCGACGGCGTGCGAAAACAAATCCATCCATCCATCCCTTTTGTTTGTTTTGGCATGTGGTTCCTGCCAAGACACGCCGCCGCGGTTGCTGCTCCACCGTTTAATTTACGATTCTCGCGGATGTCATGCAGCAGGAGTGCTGCAGATAGACGTCTGGGGGAGTTTTCTGGGGTCGTCATATGAAAAGAAAGTTGCGGAGTAAAGTCTAGAGATACTCTCACCATGCTCTCTACGGAGTACTCTCTCTCTATACTCTCTCTATATACTCCGTATATACTCCGAGTCTCCTCCATGTGAATCTGGCCAATCAAGACAAAAAAAACACAGATCAAACACAGATCAAACACAGCGAGCAAACAGCGCAAACAGTGCAAACACCAGCAGTCAGGGGACTGGCCAATCGGAGCGCGCGTTCATGCGAGCAAACACACCCACGTGACCCAAGCGGCGAATCAAAGCAATGCGACTGCCGTGTGAGGAAATAAATCCTTCCTTTCACCTTTCTGGCTGGTACTGCGCGTTTGATTATTTGTTTTCTTCTCTTTTCAGGCAGCAGCAATGGCGCAGGGAGCGATCAAGAAGGCGAAACCGGCCGCGTCCTCCACCGCCAAAAGGTGTGTTTTCCTGCCCGATCGGGACATTGTCAACTCGAACTGACCCGCAGCGAACGTTTCAGGCCGGCGGCTCTCGGACCCAAAAAGGGCGCCCGGGCAATTGCGCCGAAGAAGGCGGCTCTCGTCAAGCAGAAGAAACTGAGCAAGGTGCGTGGCGTGCGACACACTCTTCCCGCTTCCTTTCGTCGCCGTCGATGTCTCTCTTTTGCCCATATATTCTCTTGAAAAAAATGTTTTCTACACTGGGAAAGCAGAAAAGCTGACCGCATGAACTCTCATCTAGAAACTCTCCGCCGGTCTAACCGCAAAAATGGAACAGAACCTTGCTGAGAAAGCCGGCCATCTGGAGTTGCTCCGTGGAGGCAAGAAGAGTGCCAAATCCGACAAACGGGCTGAGAAAGGAGCAGGAAACAAGAAATGAATCTAGTACGACAGAAGATATCATCGTTGAAGGAGAGGGGGAGGGGGAGGGGGGAGGAATGTGGCTAGAAGCACCGGGAGAAATGAAAATGGTGAGACAAGCAGGCCGGGGGAAGAGAGAAAAAATCTCCTCTTTCTCTCGCGGACTTCACGCAAATAGCTGGTTGCATACTCGTCTGGATCGAAATACGTGTCACGGCCATGGATTACAACGCTACGGTGGGATAGAGAAAAGTTGTGGTATGGGATGGAAGTACAGTCTCCTTCGGGACATGGCTTGCCGGGTGCAAACCACGCATGTCCGGTCGAAAAGAAGGGAGGAGCTATTGCAGATGGATGGGCATGGAGACGCTTGCAAAACAGAGAGGAGATGTTGTCAGCATGCGGGTAAAGCGCTCTTCCTACAGGTTGCAGACCTTCTGCCTGACATCAAAAGCACCCCATCATAGGTGGGCAGTTCGAGATACCCTTCCCTATGTTCATAAGTGTGTTTTTACCATGAGGAAAGTGTGGGAAAGTTAAGCTACGAATGAACGGTCTTTTGACCCGGGAATTTGCTAGCTAAGCGTGACAAGCCGAGAAAGTATAACGTTACACTTTAATCCGCCCTATAGGCATAGAAATATATGCACGTGTTAAAACAAGGCGCGATACTGTCTATTGCTGAAATGTCCCTTCGAATTCCCATCTGGGACATGAATTATCTATCCAGATTATATCGCCAAAAGCAAGTCGCTTCAGCCCATGATCCAGTTCCGGGACGCTTTGCCACACGGTATTCCTCACTGGGCTCGTTTTCCTATCAACCCCAGAACGAATTTCAAGCCCTTAATGAGCTGATAAGGGAGCCTTTCCCAGTGCCCTCATATACTCGGAATACTATTCCGTACCCCAGCCTCTTTGATGAGCTCCTTTCCTCTCGCCATCCATGCCTCATACCCCTCGGCGGTGGCCATCGAGGGGAAATCATCCCACACTTTATTGGCATCCGCATACGTAGACCAAACGCCATCCAGTTGATCCGGTGCCATCCACGAGGGCAGCTTGAGTTTGACAGATGTGTAATAAAAGTACAAGACTTTGCACAGATTTCGCACCCGGTCTTCATATCGTTTCTTGTTAATATCCGGCTTCAGCCCACCGTCGCCGAGCAGCTCCCACCACGACACCCTCCAGCGAAGAGTGACGAGTATGCGCCCTAGCTGGAGGACGAATTTGAGAAAGGAGTCGTACGGGGTGTCGTCCCATTTGTTCTTGTTGAGAATGCACTGCAGAGCTCTGTAGCCGTCCACTTCGAGTTTACGGCAGAATATCCTAGATAATTGCGCCGCCAAAAGGATCTCTATTTGGTCGTTGGGGTCTTCGATGTTCATCAGGCAATCGGGAATATTGTCCGAGTGAAAGGCGAAGTAGTAACTTGCTCGACTTGGCATGTTGTTCCATTGGGACAGGAGGGACTGAATCCCGCGGACTAGGTTAGCTTTCACCTTAGAATTTTCACTTGAGGGAAAAAGGGATTGGCGGGAAATCACTCACGAGCACGTCTTGTATGGGGTTACACTCTTTGACACATCTCTGCCAGTTGTTAAACTTCAAGATATGGTTATCGATGAAGTCTCGCAAATCGTACAGCCCACCTTTTTGCTTTCCTTGAGAGGTCTTTAGATAAATATGAACCTCCCTTAGGTCCAAGACGAAGAGGGTTCTCCAAGCCTGTTGAACACGGATGTTGAATTCCCCTTGCCGCTTCTCGAGCTGGGAAACAAAATGATCCATATCAAAAGCGGATGGTAGCTCCATGCGGCGCCTCGATGAACCATCGAGAGTGAGGTGGTTCACCGCTCGTTGTGCTTGTGAAATGGTTAAGACTTGGAAATAGAAATGTAAGGCATATCAATCGATACTCACAGATATAATTGCATGTCCCGGACTCTACAATCTGGAAAAAGTCCGCACGCACGCACGGCTGCTCGACGATTACGGACTTTGCTTGCTCAAGGCATGCCGTGCAAGGGTTTTCACCAGAACACTTGAGAGGCAGGCACCTATTAGTCCGCTGTGATGCTATCACTGTTTAGAAGATGTACCTTTTTCTTGGACAAGCGACACCAAATGCACACACTTTTATCCTTTCTCCTCAGCGCCGCATCGCGTCTTCCGTCGGCGGATAACGGCCCTTGTCGACGAGCCCTGGCAATTGGAAATATTTGTGACGCACACGAAAGTGAGCCTCCTTTCCCATCTTCCTGGACTATTTGAAAAGGGAGTCGATGCTTTGGTCCACTTCTTATGCTGGTTCCATCACCTCTCCTTTCCTCTCTCTCGGAGACTTTCGGTCGCATGCTGGACGTCCTATGTTGCACAGCGGCGATAAGTGATTTCCGTTTGCCGGAATGTGATGACCCCTTCAACACAGTTACTCCCGTTGTCCGCCCACAAGAAATTTGACGCACTTGTAGAGCTGGCTTCGCCTGGGTAGTCCATAATCCACCTGAAACACATATCTGTCGTTGGTCATTTGACAAATCACCCAATGAACCAATTGGGCTACATGATTCAAACTCGGAGGGTTGGAGGCCAGAATCCAACCTTATATCCATTGTATCAGGGGTTTCAGTGCCCGGAACAGGAGGGTTGACCCTTAAACTCTGTGTATTCTCGGCCGTAACTTTGCTTGCTGTTGATCCTCGATGAAAAAGGCCATCTATTGATATGGATGAGAAGGACTGGGTGGTCGCGTGATCCTCTACTCTATCGATTGCAAGTTCGAATCCGGGCGTATACTGCGTATTTAAAGATACACGCAGATTTGCCATATCTGTGCTCAAAGGCCACGGGGTCTGGGGATGCTGAGGAGTATCGCCTTTGAGCTTAAGTGGTAGTTTGGAGCTTTCAAGGCAATGAATATCAGATATATGCAATTGATCCTGTAATAGAGAATCAGTGTCTGAGAAGGGGGTCATGGACTCGAAGCAATAGGGTGCCGTTGGCTGAAATCGCGCAGAGTGGAACGGTGGCTCAGTATGGCTCGTATCAGACTCCCATTGGGATACGCACGATGGTTGCCCGTAGTTCTGGAATTCAGTGCACGAGTACTCGGGGAGTTTTGGTATAGGTTGTTCGAAGGCTGGATAGCCGACCGGTCTGGAGGCGCTGCCAAACACTCTCTCAGAATTTCGATGTTCCAATTCAACGATATAGGGATGGCATACCCGTGATTTAGGGAGTGTGGCCAATTGTCTATGACCACTGGAGGATCTTCCAAACAGGCCGCAGCTTTCAAAGGTTGTATCACTAGGTCTGCCTTTCGCACTTCGAAGTTGCTATTTTGATCCTGTTTAAAGTCGGGAAATGTCCCCGCTCTCGATTGGTTCCATTGATCCATTAGATCTGGATCCCGCATCTGCGTATCTTTCACAACCGTCATCCTGAAAACTGGTGGCCCCAGCGGTCTTCCCCCCCCTTAATTTCAACAACTTTTAAGGGCAATCTGACAGCATGCGGAGTATCGCTGGTCCTTAGGTCGGAGATGCTGGACGACAGGTACCAGGAAAGCTCTCGACGTCCTTGGATCAGCTCGCAAGCAGGTCCCTCTGAAAAACAACAGGGGGTCACTCCGTTCCACCAGACCAATTTCGAATATGTAACCAGACTTGTAGCCACAACAAAAAAGAGATTTTCCCAAAATCAGTGGAAGGCGCTCACCTGCGATTTGCGCTAATGCAAGTGAGGGGCGGAACGCAGACGGATCACGAAGCTATCACGACGTAATAGGTTCGAGGCAGGGCGCCCAACTGTGAACATGTGCCAGCCTGCTGAACGTGCAGAGGCTTGTATACACGACGAGGTACAGGACCAGCTGGGATAGAAAGGAAAAAGAAAGGTGAAAGGTGAAATCAGCAACATGGGAAAAAATAAAAATAAAAAAAATAAAAAAAAAGTAAATCAGGAAATAAAAATCTATTGCTTGATCAACCTCTGGTTCAACTCGCCAGAGCTACGAGGCCAATACCCTGGAATACCCCTGCCCCGATAGCGGAGAAGGACAATGACGCGCTCCACAATATAAAAGCATGGACGATGATAAGCCATTTCGAGGTCAATTCCATCGTCGGCGAGGCGGGAAAAGAGCGCAACGACGCAAAAATGCATTAGAAGGACCGCTTGAAGTCGCTTTCACGACACTGGCAGAGACCAGGAAGATAATGACACAGAGCCAGAAGCATCGCAAATCTTGGGCTTGTCCAGGGGTTGAAGCCCGGGGAGAAAGCTGATATTGTTGGAGGGAAAATGCCGCACGATCGGTGCGTTTCAAGACCAACAATGCACAGCCTTGGGTAGGCAAAGTTATGTAAGCACGCGATGTCGACAGAAGGCCAGGATCGCTCAGAAGTCCGATGTCCATGAAAAGTTCTCAATCAGAGGATTGGGATGAAATTAAGTATATGTAGCTACCTAATACCCAGCATCATAAGACATGGAGCAAAAGGAATGGGAAAAACTATAGTCACAAGAGAAGACTCAAGTGTAAGAGACAACCCCCGCTTGGTTCGGTAAGGAAAACGCCAGAATCACTTCCGAAGCTCATCTGGTAGGAGGACACAAAGAGCGTGGTGCCGGATATCAGATAGCCCTTGCTGCTTCACCTGCTCCGCTCTCTACGACGGTGGCCTGCTCGACTTTCATCTTGCCCTTGCCGACCCCGCCTTCACCCACGCCCATTCTACGGGCGACATAACGTTGTGCAATAACACCAACTCCCAGAGTAAGCGCATCCTCGACCCACTCTGCCACCCACTCGCGGGGGTCGACTCCGCCGCTCTCGATAATTTCTGCAATAGCTTCGGGAACAAAGAACTGGGCGGCCTCCGAAGAATCGTCAGTGTCCGTTTCCGGCGCGGAGGCATCAAGCCACTCAATCCATCTCTGTGGGATGGACTGCGAGATGGTATGGAATGCAATTCCGTGCACCGGGTCATGGAGATACACGGCGAACGAGATTTCTTCCTCGATATCAGCCTTTGGCTCCACTACCTCAGATGTGGGTTCGGATTCGCCGCTAGGCCCTGCCTGGAATAGTTCAGAGGATACAGGTTGACTTAGAGCTTGGATAGAAAGGAAGATATCACTGTTGCGAACAGGATTGGACTCTGACAAGATTTCGGATGCCTGTCTTGCAGCCTCTTCCACACCGCCACGAGCGGCGTAGAACTCATTTGCATACGCCTCTGCGCTGGCCCGGGCAAGTTTTGTAGCCACCACCGCACCCTTTATGGCAGATATAGAACGAGGCTGTTTGGGAGACACGTAGCGCCACCATGGTCCATCATTCCAGCCAGCAGTGGGTTTTAGGGATGCACCAGATTCCGGACCTCGCCTTGGTCCTGATTCTTGACCACGCTGAACAACAAGGAGATCACCACCTTCAACTTGTGCCATTACTCTCGCAAACACATTGTAAATCAGAGAGTCGAGGGAAGGGTATCCGCGGAGATCGTGGGTGATGTGAATCTGAAGTCGTTCGTGGGACGAAATCGGGGGCGCCAACGTGTGGATAAAGGAGGTAAATGTGGGTAATGCGAGGGTTTTCAATTCTCCGCCTACATTTAGAAAAAAAGAAAATTGACGCGTAAGAAGCTTGGAAACGAGCTGAATGGGGCCGATGGACCATACCTAAGCCTTTAAGCATACCAACATTCCCCCGAACATGCTCTGCCCATTTCTGAGCTTCTTCATTCTTCTGAATCTCCTTCACAGCAGCCTCCGCCTGCTTCATTGCTGCACTGGCGGTTGCGAAAAAGCCACCCCACCATCCTCCTCCGCTTCCTTTAGCTTGAGGATCTGGGGTAATGGGAGTGGACCCAGCTTCGGACGAAGTTGTGTCTGCCGGTGTCATACTCATATGATATGGTCTTGTACTGTCGCCTGACTTTCTGGATGAGGTTTTCTCGTCGCTCGTTCTATCGGCTGGCGGAGTGTTGGTTGACGTACGCTTTGACTGTGGCGTAGACGGTCGGCTGGCTGGTCTCTGAGATGCTAGATTTTGAAGCTCGGCCAGGACATCCTGCTCTGGAGCTCCTTGCGGCTCCGTAGATGAGCTACTGTCCACAGTCCCTTCGCCGACATTTAAGTCGTCAAACTGGGCAAGCAGCTCCGCGTCAGTTGGGACAGACTTTTTTGACATGGCGGAGGAATGTTCTGTGCTATGATAATTAGATGAAATTCATCGAAACAGCATCAGCAATAGGGATCCCGTATCATGTATCGCATTCACTTCGGATTTTGCAGCTACCAGAGCTGGCTTTTGTGGATGGCAGTCGAAGCGATGTTGTTCTCAAAGCGACCTTCCAGCTCGTGACGCTGCCTTGGAGCTGCCAAGCCCCTTGCCGGCTCGGCCCAGAGCAAGCCCTTCTTTAGTTAGTTAGCGGCTTGGCGGCAGTCTGCTTCGCTCTCGTCGCCCTTCCATTTCCACAGACAATACTGTAGCAACAGGCGATGACGGTCAAAAGGCCGAGGTGGCTAATAATCTGTCCTCTGTGTGTCAATATGGATTGGTTTCCAGCAGTGCAAAACTGAAATATAGTTGAATGGGGAGCAGGACAAAACTGCCCAGAGAAGTTCCGGCCCCGACGACGCTTCTCAGAAACCGTGGTGAGCCTGGATGAGGTCCCTCTTGAAAGCATAGTACCTCCGTACCTACAGTGTCACGGTCATACCTCCTATTTCCTGGCTAACTATTGCAATATGCTAATGCTGATGAGTCAACCATCGGTAGCAGCCAGGTAACCGTTCCCCCCTCGACCGGCGAAAATAATAACGTGCACCCCCGGACATGAGGGCTTGCTTGAGTACTCCGTAAATAGCTCCTTTCCTACTAATTAAAAATGTTTGCATAGGCTCCGTCGGACCATCGTTTCCTGAAAGTGGGAGTTGCGTGCACTAGGCTCTTACAAAAAGAACGCAGCGAAGACACAGGAGCAGAAGCCGTTATGACATAGATGTCTAGGTTGATCACAGATTCGCTCTATATTCCGGCACAGGACACAATTAGGCCAGGCCTCTGGCCCGGGTGTACCCTGGCATAACTTCTATGGCTTATGATGGGGAAGCGCTGGAGCTTCAAGCATGCACCGGAGATTATGATTCGTGCCCTCGAAGTCTCTGCAAAAGATTTGAGAGATTATATTCGGGACCGAAAGACCGACGCTAAGGCCAGAGCGTGTCCTGGGCTCCTCTGCTCTGCTCGGCTCGCGTAGGTTCAAAAAGACTGAATCCCAACTTGACACTGGAGCGTGTCAGTATAGTGCTTCGTTGGATAGCCCGTATGCAAGGTAGAAGAAGCGCATGTTGAGCTATTCGACAAGAATTGTTTAGCTGAGATTTAACCATCTTAAAATTCCGCTCATAAAATAAACGCCGGACCGTGGGTCAAAACTTGCATGCCGATGCACGGGAAAATTGCCGAGCATTTCCGCTGTGTAGGGAGTATGCGGGACACGTTCCGGCGCGGGGTTCCGGTCCTCGCGGAGGCCTGAACAGGGGACAGACAGTATATTATCTTCTTTGGTTTCTACCTATCTCTATATCTATTTACTCGAAAATAGCTCATAGATTCAATCTACATTCAAATCCTAATTGAAGGCACGGTCAACTCCTCTACTCGTTCAAAAAAAGTCTATTTTGCACCCAAGCTCAAACCCGCCGAAGATACCGCAATCCCACCCACCCTTCTCCCCAAGAACCATGAAGATCCCATACGCACCAAACCCCCCTCAAACATCCAACGACGAGGAAAAAGCCATCCTCCAACGAGTCCTTGATCGGCGAGGTGAAGCCGGCCTACTCCCTCTCGACCTTGCTCTTCTCCATTCGTTCCCTGTCGCCGATGGCTGGAACACCTTCCTCGGCGCGATCCGAACCCGAACCTCGCTACCAGTCGACATCCGCGAGATAGCCATCTGCCGAGTCGCAACGCTCAACGAAGCATGGTTTGAATGGAAGCATCACGCGCCGTTCTTGGCGGAAGTGGGCTTTACCGAAGGGATGATGGAGATGATCAAGGACGCGAAGACGCCTACGGATGCCGAACTCGGGGCTTTGTTTAGTCGGAAACAAGCGGCGGTGTTTAGATACACGGAGGCCATGACGAGGACGGTGAAGGTGCCGGATGCAATTTTCGCGGAGATGAAAGGCTTGTTCAGCGAGAAGGAGATTGTGGAGATCACAGCTACTGCTGCTGCGTACAATTGCGTGAGCCGCGTGCTGGTTGCATTGGATGTCGGGGAGATGAACAAATGAATAGTTAAAAAAAGGCAGAAGAAGCGCCGTGGCTCAGACTGATCGGCTGGCGGAGAGTGGACCAATGACTTTTGTGGTTACACCCGTTTTTTTTGCAACATTTTATTTATGCCCACATATACATATGTTCGAGGATCGTGAAACCCCGTTGATTGACCGTCGACAGATTATGTCAATGGCTGGCACTGTTGGCAATGTTTCCCGGTTGAATATGTAGAAGCCCGACAAGTAGTTAGCTGTCTGCCGACAATATTCTTTGATCCTCTGAGAGAGATTTGGTGCGCAACCCCGGCTGGGCGCCACTTGGGAAAACTGGTCGCATCGTACTGTACATAATGTCCCAGCATTTGCGACTACCGGATGTCGCGTGGACTGCAGATCGCGGGAAGGACAATGACGCTGCCTATCTCGAGTCTAGCGGATTAATTCGATGATCAGCTTGACGTTCTCTCGATACGGAAGCCCCTGAGTACAGTGCACACAACGCCTCAATCGAAAAGCTGCCATTGAGAAGCAAAATACACTTCGGCATTAGGTTATGGATGCCGTCATCCAGGTATCCGGCTCTCGTCATTGGCTAAGCTCGGTGACCAAACTCCGGGCGTTCTACGGAGTACGGTTGCCGCTGGTTCCTGTAGACGAACATCCAGCGCTGTCACTCAAAGATGACGGACGGGTCGAGAACGGCCGTTTGACTGCGTTGAGTTCTGATGATGGATATTCAGGAATGGGATGACTAGTACTAACCAGTGAGGTACACAATAAGATGTTATGTAACTAAGTAACTCCCCACGTTAAGAAGCGGGTGATTTGGCAAGCTCGGGTTTAGGATTATGCCCACAGACCTGGTTTCAGGTCAATCGCATCGTGTCGCACGGAGCAGTCGTAGGGAGCCATCGCAGGGAGCACTTGCGGCTATCGACCTGGGGAGCGGGTGGAAAATGGCACACCGTCGCTCGCTCGCTCGCCGCCCAGCGCATGCAGCCTCGTTTGACTACAACTAAACTCTGCAACTCCTGCATCAACGACGCTTTTCGACTGGACCACAACTGCGCCGGGGCCAATCACGTCGCGTGGTGGGTGGATGGGAGAGGAAAAATCCAGCTGGCCAATCGCCATGCCGGAGCTGCGTAGTTGACTTGGCGGATTGGAGACAACAATCAGATTATCTAGTAAATTGAGACTTTCGAACACAGGCATCATCTTGCTTGCAATAATGACACTACAACACCGCCCATTTCGCTCAAAGAATTAATTGAGGACAATGGTCTCAGATGTGTTATTAGCTCTCTCTTCCTCTGCCTTTCTGCCATCGCTTCTCTGACTCTTTCCACCTACCAAACTCTCTTTTTCCCTTCTCTCTCCCCTACAACCACCTTGTTCTTGCCACCACCCAACTCTAGATCTGCCAAAACTTTGATCATCCGGGTATACTCCAGCATACGTCTCCATACTTAGTTACATCTGTTTTTCACAACCACCTCTTTTTTTTTTTTTTTTTTTTTTGTTCTTCTCTCCTTACTTCATCCATCGTCCCTCTCAGTCTTATATAGCTGAGCATACTCTCTTGTGAAGTATAACCGGTCACTCTTCGGCTCCGTCCACCTTGTCGGCCGATCCAGGCTGCCCAACTTTTTGTCTGGGAAGTTTGCGGAAAGTCTTACATCCTTACAACAATTTTCTTCTGCCCAGGAACTATACTACATCCACAACGGGAACGGCAGACCTAACCTACTCTGAAGTGGGAGTTTAATTTGTAAGAATCTGCCTTCTTATTGCCTGACAAATTATACAACCCTCTATCCTCTTTGAATCTCTTTGTTCTGGTCGTAAAACTCCGTTTCTTATGCTTTTTCTCGCTTCACATTGGGTCTTACGCTCTTGGCCAAATTTTACTTCCTCGATCCTGGGGTAAACGGGCTTCTGTTGATGGAACAAGCAACCAAAATACTGACCTTGCCATGCTGCTTGATGATTTCTCCTGTATCATTCCCACTCTTTGTTGTTTGTCTTTCATATAGATTGCTTCCCGGTGCCCACCTACTTTCTAACGGAACTGAGTCGCCTTGGCGCAGGCTCATGCAAAGATTGACTGCTAACTTCTCCCCCAGACAACATTGATGATATAAGCTCTCACCATGTCGCATCAGGGGCAGGAAGACGGTGAAGCGGGTGCCAGCAGCGTTGATATCCCGACGTCGCCCATCTTCCACGGGCGACAGCTGGACTACGATGAGTCCTCTCGACCTCCGTCTTCTTCCACGCAATTTAGTACTGTTGATACGCACCCAACAGTAAAGTGCCTGTGGTGCCCCGAGGAGTTCAGAGCTAATCCAGACGATCCCGCTAAGGCACTTAAGTTGCACATGCAGAGTGCCCATCCAGATGTTACAAGTCACTCTGAACATATCGCCAGCGAAGACACTTCTGTGGCCGAAAATATGCTCCAGGAGTCTGATCAAACACGGCAACCAAGGCAGCTCAGTAACTCCCAAGGTGCTATGGGCGTTGATGAACGCATGCTGTTTGGCTGGAAGATCCACGACGTGCGAAGCTTTACCAAGGACTATCATGGAGAGAAAGATGACCTCGAGCCGATGTGGAAGAAATCTTTCGACGGCTTCGATAGACCCAAACCTTATGAAACCGAGCAAGCCGCTCCGGGCAATTTCTTACCCATCACAGATCCCGATATATACGTCGATCTCCTGAAAGACCCCAACTCGCATTCTACTGAGGAACTATATGCCATCACCGCGAATGCCGCGAAAGCCCTCGAAGTTTGGCAAGACGAGTACCTGGCCGTTGACGAGTTATCCAAATGGGCTACCAGGCGGGTACTCAAGAAGACAGCTGATCCGAGAAAGACCGAAGAGTTTGAGGTCTTTGAGGACAAGAAAGAGGCCAAGTTATACGGGTACAAGCATGACTCTCGGCCGAGCAAAGTTGGCCTTCAAAACCCTTTTCTTCAAGGTGGATTTAAACCCACCGCAGATCAGATGAAAAGGATGGCAGCCGCAGCTACCGATCCGTATAACGTTGATGGCTGGGAGATGGTTGTAAAGGATGGCGTGGAATACGTGCCAAGAATACGGCCACTCCCTCCGCCGGAACCCAAGCGCAAGAACAACAGTAATGGCAAGACAGAAAATGGACGAAACGGCCAGAAAAGGGTCACGCGGTATGGCGGCTCTAGACATCCTGCTACACGCGAGCCCTCTCAGGCTTTAACTGAGAGATCCAGCCCAACTCCTTCCACCCGCACGCAGTCACCCGAAGCATCAGCAACACCATCTTCATACACCGTCCGGTCAAGACGGAAGACTCGATCCAGCGCCCGCACAAGAACATCGGGCACGCAGGGTCAATCTGGAGGGAAGACAACGCGCTCTCAGGTGGCGAAGCCATCTGCTCTTGGACCTAATCGTGCCAGAGCTGCACCTACCAGTGCTCCGCCAACCGCCATTGGGACAACTGCGACAACCCCTACCTCTAGGTCAACGCCAGCGCCTGCGACGGTATACGATGATCCTCTCCTCGACCCAAAGAACCAGGAGAAAATCAAAATGTCAAAGCACCCAAAGAGAACGGAAGCAATGATTCGCCACTGGGCCAAATTCAACTCTGAAGGCCGAACCCGAAACCCGAAGAGGACAAAGGCCCAGATCGAAGCTGATAAGGCAGCGGCAGCGGCTGAAGCTGCGCAGCGAGCTCCATCGGGAAGGAAACGGAAGACAGAGACAGAAGGCGAGGAAGCTACCACAGGAGCATCGACGCCGATTCCAAAGAAGACCAGACGACCAGCTGCAAAATTGAAAGCAGCCTCAGAGAGTCGTTCTCCGGCTCCAATTCCCGCCATGCAGCCTATGGGTGTTATGGCACCGCCATCGGGATTGCCAGAGGTCAAGAGGGCTGACGATTCCCCGTTCTCGACACCTATGCATAATGGACAATAGTTCTTACTTCGTTGTACCTGTTTTACTTCATATCCTTTCTTTTTCTTTTTCTTTTTCCCTTGCCCTTGACGTCTCTTTCGATGCAACGGGTCTACACCGGTGTTTGGGCTCAAGAGATGGAATGGGTGTTTACCGGTCAAGTTACAGGCTTCTTCTTTATTGCTGGCTATTCTGCTTTAGCGGGTGCATGGGGATATTTATATTGCACTGTATATGCTGTTTGTTCCATTACGGCTAGGTAGGATGCATGCGGGAAGATGAGACTTTTTTGTGGGGGGGAGGGGGGCCCGTGTACTGATAATTACGTTTGGAGAAAGGCGATTTCGAGTCAAGATAGATGCATCCGATTATCTGAGATATGTGTGTACAATATTCAATGACATTTTTCTTTCTTCTTTGTTTTGCTGTTGGATGACGTGAGATTTCTGCTCACAATTTAACTAGCTCTTCTGACTCTTTTTTCTTTCTGCTGCGAGGAGATTTTGAGGCGAGCCTCATAATCACGTGAGCGACCCTTATCAAACTTGCCCAGTCGCCTGCCTGGCCAACGCTCATCACGGACAACGCACTGAACACAGTATAGACAGCCACTGACCAAAGCTGCTGCTCTAATTTCTATCATACCTGCTTGCTGTGTTATTTGGAAAAGCCCCTCTCATCATGGGAAAGAAGAAGCGCGGTCACCCAGATCTCGAGGAACTCCTCGCTCGCCCTTGGTGTTACTATTGCGAACGCGACTTTGATGATCTCAAAATCCTCATTTCTCATCAGAAAGCAAAACATTTCAAATGCGATAGATGCGGGAGGAGACTGAACACTGCCGGAGGTGAGTATCCTTTTCTCTCTTATATTCCCCACCCATCGTATGCGTGCCGAGAGAGGCTATCCAGTCGCGCCAAAAAAAAAAAAAAGAGAGAGAGACGAAATGTATTCTAATCGATCCCTCTCCATCTTTCAACAGGTTTATCCGTGCATATGAGTCAAGTTCACAAGGAGCAACTATCCGCAGTTGACAATGCGCTTCCCAACCGCTCGAGTTTGGATATTGAGATTTTCGGGATGGAGGGTGTCCCGGAAGATGTTTTACAGGCTCACAACCAACGCGTCATAACCCAGTACCATCAGGCTGAGGCGGAGCGGCGTGCTGCGACTGGGAATCCCGCACCGGGAACCTCGACTGGCATCCAGTCCAAGAGACCCAAACTAGAAAGCCCGGCGGAATTGAAGAAGCGACTGGCGGAGCATAAAGCGAAGCTGGCAGAGAAAGCTGCAGGCACAAGTAGTGGAGGTGCCACGCCTGTAAGTACCGATCAGGGATTGCAGACTGGAAGTTCATTTGTAAGTCTACGATTGAATGTCTTTTCTTTTTCCCCTTCTATTGCCTCATAAAGTTCGATTTCTCACGTCTTTTTTTCTTTTTTCTTGCCTTATCTTGACAGGCAACCCCGCAGTATCCACCGAATGGCTCTGCTCAACAGTACCCTTACCCACAGCAATCTGGCCAACCCGCCCAAGCTACGGCTTATCAACAACCGTCCCAGACGCTCCAGAAACCACCGGAATTCCCTTCACCTGGGTATCAGCAACCCCCAGTTGTTGGACAGCAATATCCTAGCCAATATTCACCCTCCGCTATGTCACCCTCACAATATCAACCCGCAGTGGCTGGACAAAGCCCTGTCGTCTCTACCACTCCCCCTGTGCCGTTCCAGCAGCAGCCGGCACACATGAGGACCCACACCCCGCCACAACAGGCAGCATCAATACCCCCTCGACCACCAAGCCTACCGGCAGCTCCTGGCCTCCCCCAGAGGCCTAGCTTTTCTGCACCACAAGTTAACTCATGGCAGATGCAGCAAATGCACCATGGACAAATGCCTGTTCAGCCGCCCACGCCTCATATCCCTGGCGCCGAGCCTGGCGCTGAAACAGCAGCGGTAGTCGACCGCTTAATATCTGAAGAGTCTAAGCGGGCTGAGGAGTTGGCCCAGAAATCTACCCCTACTGCCGCGCCGGAAGAAGCGGCTGAAGGAAAGCCTGCGAAGAAGGAAAAAGCAAAATCTGTGAGATTGGTTTATTCTGATAGTGGAATCAGCCCGGAGGAAAAGATGGCGAGATTGCCTAGGTACGCATATGTTCCTGAACGCAAAGAAGAGACAGTGCTTCGAGATGCAACTACTGGCGCAGTCGCGAGACCCGTTGACGCCTCGGATGAAATTGTAAACCCTCCGGAATAGGGGAAATGCGTCACATTAACGATATCTGAGCCGCCTAAGTCCATTTCCTCCGACAGTTCCTCGTCCATATCGACCTACATAGGAGAAAGTTTTCGGGGGAAGATTAATCACAGCGTGCCAGCTAAGTCCTTCGACTTAAAATTCTATATTCTCTCTTTCTAAAAACCAAGATTGATCAGCAAATTTGTGGTGCGCAGGTGCATACACGACCAGATTTCTCTGCCACTCACTTCTGACGCTTTTTCTCTCTACACAAAAACCACCTGGTTACTGTATTCGACTTCAGCAAAAATTTAACGGCAACCGCGGCACCTAGCGGGATGCCGATTATCGGCCGTCTACCAAGGAGGCGAAATCATTGCTCTTTTTTTTTGTGGGTACATGTGCAGTCCGGTTTTGTTTGTTTTGTCGCCATGGCATTTGCAGTCGAAAAAAAAAAAAGGGCTCGCTGACTCGGCGGATTGACTAGAAAGCAATCAAAGCAAGCCTATACTGACAAAGATGAGCGTGGTAGACTTTAATGTATACCTCATGTAAGTTTCCTGGTTCTCGACGTAGAAAGGGGGATATTCGATTGCAGAAAAGGAGAGAAGCCATGGTCAGTTCTTCTCCAATTTCAATTTATATCTAGACCCTGCTATTTTCAGCGTGGCTGTGTTTATTTTGGTGAATATGATTGCCCCAAGCCGGTGTACTGCGTATATATGAGGAACAGAGGTTCAGTTCAACGAGGGATATTTTAACTTGGAATGAACTCTTGTCATGTTTTTCAGTGCTTGATCAAAGTTGGTTTTTACTCTGGACTCCGTACTCCGGAGTTCGTACTGGGAGAGGGTTCGATCCCCAAATCACTACGGAATACTTTCTCCGAGTAAGCCTTGATGCTTCATCAGGTAGCACATTTTCTTAAGAATTTTTGGCTAGGCGGGCCCTATGGTAACGCTTGTTCAAATTGTGGTAACTCATTTGCAATCATTGCGATGTGTAGGTATGGAAGTACCGGACATCGTTTGACTTCGTGAACAAAGCCATTAAAGCCTCTACGTCGCGTTGATATTTCACTCCCAACCTAAGCATGCGCTAACTAAACATGTCTTGATGGCCAATCAGTTGATGAAGAAGAAAGCCCAAGCGAATTTTGGAATGATAATTGTCCCGCCTGTGGTGATAGAATTCCGTGTCTGGAGGTACTCCGTTGACCTGGCCGGAATTCGTGTTAAGCTTGTGGAGAACCACCGAAGCGCCGCAAAAGTCAACTCTCCGCTCGTATTCTGGGGATGACTAAGTTAACCAGACCCGTTTGCATGCTGACGCCACGGCGTCCGCACGGCGACGAGCTTATCGCCTTCTTTACATCGGGCTTTAAGATACTCTCAAAAACGCCCATGGCTCCTTCAAGCCTGGTTTAATCGGTGAGATGGAGGAGAAAGCAGACGGCACAATGCCACTCTCCGAGAGAACCCCGCTCCTGATCGTTCGGGTGTCCCGGCCACCTCCACGATATCCCCATTCACGCCTTCGTCGGACATGTACCTGTTGCCTTGGTTCGATCCTCGTCGTCGGGGTCATCTTGTTCCTTCTCCCATTCGCCCTTCTCCCACGTGAACACGGCTCGCTTTGGGATTATGTACCCGGGGCTCATCCACTCCCGCATAAAGACTGGCCACAAAGCGAGGGGATTTCATACAAAGCGCTGCAGGAGATACTGCAAACGGTTCCCACCGAGAAGAAGATTAGAGAATGGAGCCAATACTATACCTCCGGGCCGCACTTGGCCGGGAAGAATTTCAGCCAAGCCCTGTGGACGAAAGAGCAGTGGGATGGATTTGGGCTTCCGAAGACAAGCCTTGTTTCGTACGATGTCTATATCAATTATCCCGTTGACCATAGACTGGCCTTGATCGAGAAAGATGGAGAACACTCCAAGGTTAAGTTTGAAGCGTCACTGGAGGAAGATGTTTTGGATGACGACTCTACTAGTGGCCTGAATAACCGCATTCCTACCTTTCACGGCTACTCTGCTAGCGGAAATGTCACGGCCCAATATGTATATGTCAACTATGGTACATTCTGGGATTTCGAGGACCTCGTCAAGGCGAATGTTAGTCTTGAAGGCAAAATCGCATTGGCAAAATATGGAGGCGGTTTTCGGGGCCTCAAGGTCAAGCGTGCCCAGGAGTTGGGTATGGTTGGCGTGGTTATTTACTCTGATCCTCAAGAAGACGGAGAAATTACAGAGGAAAATGGATACAAGCCCTATCCCGATGGTCCTGCTCGAAATCCAAGTGCCGTGCAAAGAGGCAGTGTCAATTTCTTAAGTATGGCATTTCAATTGCCATAGATCTTCCGTTAATTGGGCTGACATACCTTCCTAGGTCAACTCCCCGGCGACCCTACCACTCCAGGTTACCCTTCCAAACCAGGCTGTCATCGTGTGGATCCATATGATTATATCCCCTCGATTCCATCACTGCCCCTCTCGTATGAAGAAGCTATACCCCTGCTAAAGGCCCTCAATGGACATGGACCGGCTGCCAAAGACTTTAATGAACGCTGGCAAGGAGGTGGCCTTTCGCATAAAGGGGTAAAATACAATATCGGTCCGTCTCCAGAGAATCTTGTTCTTAATCTTTATAATGAACAGGATTATGTGACAACGCCTCTGTGGAATGTTATTGGTACTGTCCCTGGCACCATCCCGGATGAAGTTATCATCATGGGCAATCACCGCGATGCATGGATTGCAGGTGGCGCAGGGGATCCAAACAGCGGGTCCGCTGCTCTCAATGAAGTCATCCGCAGTTTAGGAGAAGCTCTGAAAGCCGGCTGGAAACCTTTACGAACAATTGTTTTTGCTAGCTGGGACGGTGAAGAGTATGGGCTCATTGGCTCCACGGAATGGGTAGAAGAGAATCTGTCCTGGCTCTCTAAAGCGAACGTCGTATACCTGAACCTAGATGTTGCAACCACGGGTCCCAATTTCAAAGCCGCCGCTAGCCCACTTTTGCACAAAGCACTGTTTGAAGCCACAGGCCTCGTTTTATCCCCAAATCAAACTGTCAAAGGGCAAACGATTCGGGATGTTTGGGACAAGGACGTGGATCCCATGGGTAGCGGTAGCGACTTTACTGCATTCCAAGATTTTGCCGGCGTTGCCAGCATTGACATGTCATTTGCGGGGGGTAAAAATGACCCCGTTTATCACTATCACTCCAACTACGATAGTTTCGACTGGATGGAACGCTTTGGAGACCCAGGTTGGCATTACCACCTTGCCATGACCAAAGTATGGGCTCTGATGGCCGCCTATCTTTCTGAAAGCCCCGTCCTTGCCCTCAACGCCACCGATTACGCTGTTTCATTACACCACTACCTCGATTCCGTCAAGCAAGTAGCTGCGAAGTCTGCGGTCCCACCATTCAACTTCCAACCCCTTGAAGAAGCTATGGCCAGCTTCCACGATGCCGCAACCGAATTTGATGCCTATACTTCCTCGCTGACCGCCCATCTGAAGGATGACTTTCCATGGTGGCAGTACTGGAAGAAAATCGTCCTGTACTTCAAAATCCGCGCGGCCAACGACAAGTATAAATTAATTGAGCGGAAATTCTTGTACTCTAGGGGCCTGGATGGCAGGAACTGGTTTAAGCACGTCATATTTGCTCCTGGCCGGTGGACTGGATACTCTGGAGCGACGTTTCCGGGTCTAGTGGAGAGTTTCGAGGACGGAGATGTGAATAATGCAGAGGTTTGCCTTCCCTCCACCTTCTCTCTTTCCCTTTCTTTCTTTATTTTTTTTTTTTTGGCTTGATACTTGGTTAGTCTGGGACGAATCGTTGCTAACCCATGGATCTTCTTATGCTACAGAAATGGCGAGATATCATTAAGGAGAAGATCGATGATGCGACAGACTTGTTGAAATGATAACAACAGAGAGGCTTTTTTTTCTTTTTTTTTTTTTTTTTTTTTTTTTTTTGGAAAATATATACTGGGTGATGAGGAAGTCTTGAACATGTTCCTTGAGTGTGATCAGTTCATCACCACCTATCTACTCGAATTCTTCTACAGCCAGGCTCCGATAGAAATATATGCATGCAGTCGGGCATAGACTGCATATTAGCTATAATTTTCGGGTTTATTCTTCAGATACCAAGTAAACACAACGATGCCTATGAGGCATGAATCTAACGCGGTATTTTGATCTATTCAATTGCTTGATCATAAACATCTAATCATGATACATGGGTACGTGTAACCAAATTCCGAAATAACTAAAATCCTAGGTGAAAATGCACATTCCACTAGGAATTGTGGCAGGAAATACACATTAACGGGTAGCGAAAATTGGTCTGGGATGGCCACTTACTGACCCATTCATAAAATCATTTGCATTCTGCTGCTTTGTCGAAGGATAAGGCTGTATCTGCTTCGTCAGTTTAAAATCTCGTATCGTTTTGCATTTGTGCTGTCGTTGATCTGCGAAAGTACCCCCACTAACCGCGCCGATTTAGTTGATTTGCTATGCGGGGGGTATTTTGCTTTCTTTTTTGAACAGGGAGTCAGTCATCGAACACGAATTATGATAATTAGACGCGCTAGTTATTGGGTCGTAATCCCCGTCGTGGATCGTCAATCGACGAGTAATCCTTAATTCTGGTGTTTTCAGTATCATCATGGTCTGACTCCGAATCATTCGCTGCATTTTCACCAATCCGTAACGTCTCTGCATCAGTTGCTTTGCTGTTCACTCGCTCCACAATAAGGCCCTCATTTCCCCCGGAAATATAGCTTGTCGGGGCCTCCTCATATGGCTGTTCATTCTCACTATCGTCGCTACCATCATCGTCATCCAGAGAAGCGCCCGCAAAACCGTCAGTTTCTATGACCCAGAAGACAGGCACAGCACTCAGCAGTCCTATAAGTGCCAGTGTCCACCACGGGAAAATCATGTACCCCATTTTCACACCGATAGAAAAGACGGCACCGATAAACGCGGGGCCAACGGCTCTTCCAATCGCGGCAACACTCGTTGCCACTCCATTCAATGTACCCAGAACCTGGACGCTAGGAGCGGAGTTGGTAAGAAGGATAGTGCAGCATGGGAAAGCGAAAACTACACAGCCGAGTTTTGCACATAAAAGTATGAAAGCAGCAATTTGACGAGTAGCGTCCGTCGGAAATAATGCCGTGAAGGGGATGAGGGCGTAAACAAGAGGGAATCCGAGGGAGGTTATTTTGAGACAGTAAAGGACTCCATAACGATTCGCCGTATAGGGAAAGATGAAGAACTGAACAATCATGCCAATAATTCCGTTTAGAGTGTATAGAATTCCGATGGCTTGTGAGTCTATTGATGCAGAAATAAGAGGTGTTAGCGATCTGTACCAAATACTCCGTAGGAATTATCTTAATCACTAAGCCACGAAAATTAAAATTAAGAGCACGGACCTATCCCAAATCCACGGGCAAACTTGAACGGTAGCTTCATGCCTATGTGCCCACCGGATTCTTCCACGGGATAATTCAAAAAGACGGGGAACACTGAATCAAACGCTAGGGAGTGTAATCCTAGCGCAGCATACTCTAGAAGGATGAGTTGAGATTGAGGTGAGAGAATTTCAGCCCATGTCAGCTTTGCAGGTTTCCCTTCACTTTTTTTCTGGTGTGGTATTTCGCAATGAGAGGTTCTGTCTCCATTTAGAAGCGGTGTTCTTTCGTCATCAACTGGCGAAGCTGTCTTTGGTTTCGTTCGTCGTCCGCAGCAGGCTCCTATCAGCATGTCACCGAGCATAAGACCATAATCACGTTTATATTTCCTGGACTCCAACGTTTCCTGTAAGCTGTGGTAAGAATCCGTGCTGATTGACGAGGGGAAAATAAAAACTTGCCCGCAGAAACAGAAAGCCAGTCACGATACCAATGATAAAGAAGACTGAAGCAGCCATGTTTGGCAAAGCAAAAGGATACTTTTTGAAGAATTCAATGTGGCCAAAAACCTCAGGATGCCTTTTTGCCGGATCCGCCAGAGCTCCGCCAAATGCAGGCCCGAAAATACTGCCGATGGTCCAGACGAGAGGCATCAGGCTAAATGCTCGTGGTTGGAGTTCCTTCTCGGGAACCAGTTCCGCAACAACGGTTCTGATAATACCAACGTTCCCGTTTCCGAGACCTATACAAGCACGCGCCAATATGGCCATCGGCAACGATTTTGAGAGACCGAAGATGATGCTAAATGTCATTGTAACGAAAAGTCCTATGAGGATGATTGGTTTGCGGCCGATTCGATCTGATAAGTTGCCCCATGAGACTGCTGTGAGGCATTGGCATATCGAGAATATGGCGGATGTAAATCCCACCCATTTCGAAACTTCTTTCTTGGGAACGCCAAGGCTGCGAATCATTTCAGGCTAGAAGATGCAAGAATATGAGGTTAGGAACTCGCTAATACTTGATATGTATGGGAAATTCTGTAGATACAGAAACCGAAAGAGGGGCGGGAATAATGCCTACAAGATATGGAAAGACAGATGTGAAGATGACTGAAGACCACGAGAATTCTCAGCATTCTTTACACGATCACGATAAGGGATAGCATAGAAAGGAAAAAAAAAGAGGAAGGATATTGTGGAAAAATACCAGGCTCAGCGAAGCGGCATATTGCTGTAACCAAGTGGTAGAAGTTAGCCAAGGGCGCAATACTAATCTTTTGCAGCTTTCGCGGGTATCGTGAAATAAGATATATACGCAGGTAGGCCCAAAGAGTACTAACACAATATCACAAACTGCTGGACCGGCAGCTTTGGCGTGCCTCGCTTCATCGTGGTAGGGTCAGTGTTGAGCAGAGCTGCGATATCACAGCTTTACTCGGTTGTCGGTTATTCTGATTATGCCGAAGCAAGAGTGTAGACGGCTGCTGGACTCCGTGAACCATTTGAAGCAGAGCGCGCGACAACAGGTCTCGCTGCTAGGTAGCGATGGACAAACAAACAAACAAACACACAACACACTCGACGCCTTCCAGAGCGAGGGAAATTAATGGCAGGAAAGAGAGAAACGGCGGGGGAAGAAAAAAGAAAAAGGAAAGAAACAACTCGAAACTATGTAGGAAGCCGCGAGGATCGAGACGGCCGCGCCCTGCTGACTAAATTTGTGATTAGCGGGGGGGAAAAAACCTTGAAAAATGGGGACTTCCGGGCTGGTGGGGCCTTCCCTCATTTTTTTTGCTTCTTGTTTTGTTTTGCGCCGCGGAAACCAAACCAGCAGGCGGGGGAAGGAGCGCAGGAGATCCAATTATACACTGCAAGTGCTCAATGAAGAAGGCAACCGGTGGCATCAATCCATCGCCCAGCCGTGGGAAGGAGCCACCCAACCCGTCTGGCGGCATCCTGTAGAGCCGCAGCTCATTCGCCGCCGCCTCCGACCGGGCCGGCGAAGATGTGACTCAACGTGAGAACAGAGCTTGTCCAAGCGCAGATTGTGATTGCTCAGTCTCGAACTGGCCTGCATCGCACCCGAATGGTCTTCTCGGAATTCCAACGTTAGCACGCGAAACGGATCTAGATGCCGATTATGTAGGTGCCGCTCCCAGGAGATGACGGCATCCAGGCCCTCAGCCCTGACCCGATCGACGCAGAACTTGGGAGGCGAAGACCGATTCAACGCAATTTTCGGGGAACGTCCTGAGAATCTTGAGATCACGAAAATTTTGCAACAAAACGCAATCAAGCATGTCCTGTCAGAATTAAAATCAACATTCGATAACTGGAGTAAGGTGGTTACGTATTTCTTGTGAACCATGCCAACATCATTAAAAAAAAAAAAAAAAAAAAAAAAAAGGAAGAGAAAAGAAAAGAAAAGAAAAAGCAAAATCCTGAAACATCGCAGAGAGCTCCTCCATTGGACAAATACAGCTCTAAACTAATAGGCTTCACAATAAAATAAAATAATAAATAAATAAAAATACTCCGTACAGTCATCAAATTGAGAGTCATAAAATGGGCTAAAATCATTCAAACCAAATCGGAACTTGGCCCAGCGTTGCCAGGTCATCGTTCCTGATGTCAAGTTGGAATTCGCGCACAACTCGATTCCATTCATCCCAAGATGGCGGCGGAGAGGCGATGGAATGGTTGATGCTGGAAATATCTGCGCCATACAGGTTATCCTGAGGTAAGGACGGCCAGGATAATCCCGATGCGTCTATAGAGCCAATATCATAGCTTTCGGCATTCATGTTGGAACTTGGCTCGGTCTCCATTGGGAGAGCAGCGCTCGTGCTTGGAGGGTGTGGTTGCTGTGACATATACGTGCCTGGTGTCAGGGTCTGCGACACCACACTATCATTGGGCGGCTGTAAACCGTTACAGCAAGGCTCGCCGGTCCCATACTGTGCTGTGAGTTGCTGCAGCTGCATTTCTCGATAGCGCAGAGCGCGAGCCATGAGCTTGCGAATCCCAGGCCAAAGCATGCCCTTTTGCTGGCCTTTCATTTCCGACATCTTATAAGCTGCGTTGACGGCTCGCCAGGCCCGTTCGACGACGGGACACGCCCGCCGTACGCATAGATTAGACAGGACGTACGCAATGGCGTGCCACTGCGTATGTGCGCGGAAGAACCAGCTCCACTTGGATGTATTAGAATTTGTCTCCAGGAGAAGTGAAAACTCAATAATTTCGATCGCGGATAGAAATAACCGATTTTCTGTTTCTACTGCAGGAACAGAACCCTCTGCATCGTCCCTTGTCATCGGATGGTGAATCATAAGCAGCAAACTTGCCACAACCAGGCGCGACAGTGCTCCACAGACCCATTGAATGGGAATGCTGACGTCACAATGCCGTACATATTTTTCTTCAAGGCGTTTGCTGAGATTTTCCACCATTTCCTCGCGCTCTTTCTGAGAAAACGACGCAATGAATTTTTTGCAAGTATTGCTGGGGGGTACGTGGGTAAGCCTCCTTGCAAGCATATTTATATCCCCACGGAACAAAAGAAAGGTCATGTCTGTACATCCAACTCTCTCTTTCGGGAATTCTTTCGAATCCGGAGAGATGTCTTCGTCGTTGATATTTAGCGGTGGAAGAGTGTCATACGAGGCTTCATGTATCACAGGATCACATCCATGATCTTCCGCAGAACAAAAGTCAGCTAGACAGATTTGCAGCCACAGTCGACGGCGTATTTCGGTCTCAAAGGGAGTCAGACCAAACGCAGTTCCATCACGATGGAGACCGATTGCCCGACCTATCTGAATAGCGAGTGACGCCAACGATAGAATGTAGCGAGGATCACCACTTTGACGCACGCAAATCAGAAATAGAACAAGGCTTTGAAGGAGAACCAAGCTGCGCGTGCTTAGCAAATTTGCTCTAGCTAAAGCTTGTTCGACAGCAAATCGAAACCGGTTTAGAGCAGCATCACGATCCTCGCCAAGTTGAGATAGACACTGTTCGGGTGTCATACTTGCTATGGTGGTATAGTATACTGTCAACAGTAGTGCTTCGGTATTCTTATTTACCGAGTCTAGATTAGAGACAGCATTTCGTAGCATAGTCTTCAAGGTTGGACGGTGGAAGATGGGCACGACTGGGGCCACATTCTCAAGATATGTCTCCCACATAATATCGAACCGTTCTGGTGGTAAGTGGAAGCCGCGTAGGCTGTGTGTTACGGACCAAAAGCCGAATATAAATCCATCGTGACGAGTCCATTGTGACGACCCAGATTTAGAATCTCCGGAGGAGGGATCATCTTCTTCTTCCGACGTTGGACAGTCGATCATATCCTTCAATTCCTCAATCTTCATATTGTTAGCCTAAAATTCGAAGGAGAATTTTTGAGAATGAGCCCCAAAGATAAGGGAACCTACCTCATCTCCGAATCTTGTCCAGAAACGATGACTGACATATCGACTCTTGTCATCGTTAATGACAAGCCTTCCCATCTCCTCATCCACAGAATCTAACTCTATATCCTTGGGAGAACGGCTTGTAAAAATATCGACACCCAATTCACTGTTGACGTTTGCATCTTTCTTCGCTTCAGTGGAACTCGCCTCCTCCGCCGTCGATTTCCCAATATTTCTGACAATAGACTCGAGAGTCTTGAGTCGCGCAAGCAAGTCAGCTTCCGTCGCCTTCTTCGACTTTCTCGGAGCCCTACCAGGCTTGGGAAAGACACATTCGACCTTGGCCTTTGTGCAGTTCGAGCAAGGCTGAAGTTTATTGCATCGTATCTTCCGGCGGCGGCAGGTCACACAACTTCGAGGATTCTGTCGAGGTTCTGAGGGAGTTACGTTGCCGATATCCCGAGGCGAAGAATCCTTGGATGCGTCGTTAGTGGTAGAGGAATGAGCGGGGTCTGAGTCGTTTGGTGAGGTCTGCGTCGGTCCGGAACCAACAGTAGGATTATAAAGGACGGAGTTGAGGTTGAACTCCATTTCGTTGAGTTCTCCGATCAGGCCTTGATCCGTCGAATGACCCAAATTAGTTATGGATGGATTGAATGATGACATCGATAGACGGGACTCCTGTCCATTTGGAGAAGTGTCAAGGAAGCTCGAGGAAGAAAGTTTGAAGATTATGCACGTCTCCCTCATGCCACGCTCACTACTCCGTAGTTAGTTAACTTACTAACTCAGTAACTAACTAACCCCGGAGAACTGCCAGTGAGTTTGAGTTATATAACTAATAGGTTAGTTAGTTAGTGGAAACCCTGTACTCGGCATGTCGAGCGTCGTACTTTTGGCATTTGTCGAAAACTGCTTCGAGCCTCTCTGGCTTGCATATCTCACATCTACTGGACAACTAGTATTCGATCACAGCAGACTTATTTTTGGATTTTAATTTTAATTAATATGAGATCGTGGATCTCGGCAGAGTCTCTTGGCATCAATCAATTTGCGCGGATCGACTTGGCACTGACTCAGGAAAGCAGGAAGCAATACTATATTGACAGGACGTCCGTGCTGTCTGCAAAACGTTTTGATTCCATACCATTAGGTACACTATGACATAGGGGGGATGTCTTGGGTGGTGATCTACACAGTGCACTCCCGTTGAGCCCGGCTATCGTCGCGTGGCACCCATCTGAAATACATTCAAACCACAAAGGAATGAAGGCCATCACAGAGACATCAATCACCGGCGCCACCGCTATTGAGAATCCGACCGTTTAACATGTTGTTTTATGTCACCGGCGCCAGGTGAGGCATCCCGCTCCTGTCGGAGGAGACCACTGGGATGCTAGCTTGTTAGCGACTCCGTGCTCGATCTCTCATGTTGGAAGAAACTTGCAACTTTGGGTGTCAGTCACAGAGAGATGTAGTCTTGTCCGGGATGCTGCGGAATGGGGACATCGTTTGCCGTCTAAAGCAGATCTTTTTAGATTTTTTTTTTTTTTTTTTTCCGGAAGCGCCGTCGAGCGGAAGGCTGGAACCGATGCGGATAACTAACCAGTCAGAGCCCCATCCCACCAGCCACGGATACGATGCCACGCAGGCGCCTCGAGTGAGGCTGGAGTCTCGAGCATGGTAAGGATGAGGCCTTCAAAAGCTGAGGTCCCCGCACTGGCTGCCAGGAGATTGGCCTGCTCCGTGTATGTATGTTGTCATTTCAATCGGCAGGGATGTCAAGATACTTTTGTTCCTTCGTGATGATGAAGGACTGCGGAAAAGCCCCCAGAAATACGGATTGCATGTTGATCAAATCCCCCATCCCCGTCCTTGCCGGAGATCCAAACACGTCACTAACGAGTATGAGGAGTACCTTGGGCCGGCGGTTTCAAGAACCCATCCAAGCTGCTTCCCTGTGCATCAGTAACAAAGTGATCAAGGACCCAAAAACCATGCTGACGACCTGAAGGGCTAAAACATCCATGATTTCCAGCAACCAGGCTCGGAGATCCTGCCAGGCCAGGCGAGCAGGCTAGAGCCGCTGGGGCTTGAACAAGGGCTGCGGCCAACAGCTCTCCGGAGCAGCGAGCCCTCTGTAGGTGCTGCTGGGCCCTCGGCCGACGGGACACCGTGACGCGTCGACGAGGATTTGACCTGGGCGGTAAGACCGGAAGGTCTTCAAGTGCTGGGATGGCTCGCCAATTGAACAAGCCACACAGCACGCGAGGTGGAGCCCAAAGCGGAAGTGCCAAGGCTGGCCCCGTTGAGGCGCCATTCCGCTTGCAGACTAGCGGTCTCAAGTCTCCACACCGTTGCGCCAGAACAGCACCAAACAACCTTCAAACAAGGCAGGCTGAAGGGAGAATCGATGGGTGTGAAAGGTTACCGTAGCCGCTGGCCCAGCGGCCCCCCCGGCGCGATGGAGTTTGCTCTTGTCCTCGAACTCTCCTGGAAGCTTTAGCCTTTTGTAATAACATAAGTATGTATCGCCTGGAGCAGACCCCTGGACGCTCCGTTAGTTCCGTGTTTCCATTCACATATATATCCTCCCCCTGTCCGTTTCCACCTCGCACATATTGCTCCCAAGTTCCTGTTTCCTTACGTTGGTCGCTTGCTCTCTTTCCTTTCGATTTCCCCGCCCATCGTACAAGATTGTTCCACGACGGCGAATCGATCGAGGCGTTGGATCAAAATATAAACTGACCTTGATAGCATGCGTCTCGTTGTGCTGTCATTGTCAGGTTGAAGGTCTTCTTTTGTATCCTTGGAGATGGTAGCAGCCTTCCTGCTTGCGATATGGCTTCTCATCGTTCCGCCAGCCGTTTGCGATGCCGATTTCATGAGCGTCAGAACATCGATGAACACGGATTACAGCGGCAAAAAGGGCGACCCTGCTGAGAAGTACTTTCGTAAGTGATCTTCCTTTTCACCTGTCAATTCTTGAATTTTTTTTTTTTTTTCCCCCGCTGGGCACAACACTTTCAAGCTGTCACTTCTCGTGGCTGACATCACTTGCAGACGAATCAACGTATGTCCTGCTAGCCCTAACGCCTGTGCAACCCTCTTGAACCTTACTTGAGCACTCCGTATATGTACTAACACCGGATCCATTTGCCTAGCTTCCACTATCATTATGACGGCCGGTATGTTTAACGGGAATTGCCACAGTCCGAATTTTTTGTTGACCCCGATAATAGATTTGCGTCCCAGCCTCTCGAAGACTCTCTACGAGTTCCACATTTGACTGCCATGGTAAAATCCTACCTTTCCACGATGAGTGATATCGGGGCAGAAACTTGGATAATGCACGGGACGCTGCTGGGATGGTGGTGGAATCAGAAAGTCGGCTGGCCTTGCTCCCAATAGCTCTATCCTTGCTGACTCTCGCCATAATACAGATCATGCCATGGGACACAGATATCGACGTCCAGGTTTCCGAAACGACGATGTACTTTCTAGCGCAGTACTATAACATGACTGAACATCATTTCAACGTTCCTGGTACCTCAGCCGGTCGCAAGTTCCTTCTCGAGATCAACCCAAATTTCGTGATCCGATCGCCAGAAGATACGCTCAACGTGATTGACGCACGATGGATCGACACATCGTCCGGGCTGTTCATCGATATAACCTGTGTACGGAAGGATTATGACGCACGCAAAAAAGGCCAAAAGGGTGCCCTTATGACCAAGGACCGGCACAAGTACAATGTATGATCCTAATAACAGGTTAAACTGGGGCAAATTAAAGAGACCAACCTTTGAATAGGAGCAGGATATATTCCCGTTACGTGACAGCTACTTCGAGGGTGTCACTGCGAAAATTCCATACGCCTATACCACACTCCTGGAACGAGAATACGGCAAGGACTGTCTCACGAAGACTTTTTACAATAAGTGAGTGAGTTCCTTTTTGCCTCCTATCCAGGTTCTTGCTAACACGACCAATAGGCACCAGTTTAATGAAACAAGCAAGTTATGGGAACCGGCCCCGTTAGTCTCCATGCCCCACACAACCCGCTAGTTATAATTAACCAGTTTACAAGGGAAAACCCGGACGATCCTGCCAAAATGATGGGGTGATCATTGAAAGCGCCCTCGCCGAGCAAGAATGTCCGTTAAGGCCCGGTTCGAGGCTATTCACTTGACTATCAAGAAGCAGTGGCCATCAAATCTGCGCAGGGTATAATGGTAAAATGTTCAAAAATAGAGGCGTATGTCAGCGCTTCTTTTGCATCTGATATGGTGTTATTGGGAATCTAGCATTGAATGGCATTTGTGGAGTTATCGCAGTGTTGCATCTTCATTTCATTTCCGCTATACAATTTGCAAATCAGCTTGGATACAGGATAAATTTGCATTTACCTCTCTGAGTTCTAGGTGGTAAGGAGGAATAGATCACTGATTTGCTCCAGACTATGAGGATGTATTTTCGCGAACATTTATCAAAGTGAATTAGAAGGCTTGGAGATAGGACACACAAAATTGCACCATGTTAGTCAAGCAAGGTCACCCTATGCACACATTCTGATATTGGATTGCCAACAGATGATGATGATTGAGCCACATCCCAGAGAAGCCTTCAGAGACCAAGGAACTGAATGAGTTGGTGTTCCACATAAGCTCAACGGCATAGCCACTCGGATAGATAATTTGCCGAGTTCGAATCCCTGATCTATGTATCCGCACATTGCTATCAACTAGCACTCAGAAGAGTGTGCCTCGCCGTCTTTATCTGGAAATTCTTCGGAGAAACTAACAATATTCTCCTTGACCGCACACTGCAAAGAGTTAACTCTTCAAGCCCCAACAAAGTTTTGTCCTCGCTCTACGGAGGAGATCGTATCCAATAGCAATTTTGTATCTATCTCGGGGCCACCACTCTAACGCGACCAGGGCGTTAGACATCATCACTACGTAGGTATTATCAAGTATCGAGGTTCCAAGGACAACGGTCTTGCAAAACGGTCGTATTTGCCATCTCGATGCTTTTCTTCCAGGTAAGACTTTGACCCCGCCCCATTTCCCTTTACTGTGTGGTTAACGTGTCTGTCGAGCTCATGGCTGCGATCTGGATTTGCCAAAAAGTGTTCTGGACATTAATATTGCAAGGATATCGACTATAAATGGCGTGGTTACAAGGGCGTCAATGACTCAAATATCTGTGCTAGACCGCAGGCTAGAATCGAAGAGTCTCTAAGACCAGGCGCGTTGGTGTATGAGGTCGACCGCTGGCGATACACTTTTTGGCATTCCGCGTGGCGCCAGGAATATAGTTCTGGCTCTGAGTCCTTGGGAGAAAATCGTTGGAAACCGAGATGGCTCAACCTCGTCTTGGAGGCTTGTGCCTGTGGTCGGTTGAGCGGGAAGATTAAGGTTAACCAACCTTTTGGTTTTCTTATGCATTTGTAAGCTATGTGGCTTTCGATCCTTGGGCAATGGGCTGACTGCTTGGGGTCGATGAGAAACAAGTCCGCCATCAAGGCTGCTATCACTTTCGACTAAGCTTCGTTCGAAGTGCTTTTTTTGAATTGCTTCTAGGTATGGGCATCAAGTTTCAACGAGACATACTCTATTCTAACAACCTAATCTCAGGCCGTGAATCTTGAAAAGTTGGTAGTTGGCATGCAAATAGTCTCAAATCTCGTCCGTTCAGGGTTGTCATCGCACGAAAGTCGACCTTTGAGTACCATTTACCTGCTATCACAAGACGAGCCCGTCTTCATTCGAAGGTCAATCTCGGGGTTCCTCGTCATGGCTGCCAGGAAGCAAAAGTGAAGCATGTTTCTATCAGATCTACAGCGTCAAGCAAGTAAACTCTGGGAGGGATGTTCAGTAACTGCCAACTGGTTTGCCTCCCTTTGACGAATTAAGCTTTCCACAAAGCACATGGGAAAGACCAAGGGCCTTTGGTGATGGCTAAACGAGGACTAATCGAATATGGTAATGCGAGAAAACGCCATGGGACGGCCATCATGGATTAAGGATGTTCAACTACGCCTTTTTCTATTGGTAATGAGCTCATTTCAAGAAATACACGGTTCCAGAGTAGCCCGGACGCCGAGGCCAGCCTAAAGGTCATCTTTATCTTGAGAAAAGAGAGTGTGAAGAGAAACAAAAAACCACAATGCAACAGATGCGGGAAACATCTCTAGACATGGGCTTCCTCGTGGCTGTAAAGATGTCCCTTTGGCCCCAACAATTCGCACCGGCTCGCCGGTCGCTAGTGCCGGCACAAGCCTGGTTCCTTTCCCGTTCAGCAGGATATAAAAGCCCGTATAGTCCCCGAGCCTGAAGCCCAAGAGAACTGCATGCATATCTTCTTCTGATCTAATTCGGGTTTACTTTCTGGTGCAAAAACTTTCGCCATGAAAATCTATCGCATAATCATCATCTCAGCCATAGCAGCTTGTCCCTTTGCCATCGGCTACGAGTATCCGCCACATGATTGCCAATCTTACGGTGATGATTATGGGTACATTCCCCTTGCCTTTTTTCTTCCTTCCTTTTTTTTTTTTTTATTAACATAAGTGCTCTTGACTGATGCAGATGCAGAAATTGTAAAGGAGAGAAGCCTTCTGCCACGCCCAGTCATTATGATGAATATGGATATAAAATGAGGAAACGAGGTGCTAAAGAGCACAGTTATTGCGATACCTATGGGTAAGCCCTCGTAGCCTCGCCTAAAAAGGTTCAACTTGATTAATAAAAGGTAGTTGCGACGGCCCAATGGAGCCAAAACCCCCTAAGCCAACAGATTGTTATGGCGACTGCGAGGATGGGTATGATTACTCCCCTCCACCTCCCAAGAAGTATGGTGACTGTGATGACTATGACGGGTAAGTCTTCAGAATCCATCTCACTCAAAAGGGTTACTTGATTAATATTGGTTCAGGTATTGTGATGGCCCCTCGAAAACCTCAATGAAGCCAGAACCCCCTAAGCCAACAGATTGTTATGGTGACTGCGAGGATGGGTATGATTACTCCCCTCCACCACCTCCCAAGAAGTATGGTGACTGTGATTATGATGATGGGTAGGTCTCCAGAATCCATCTCACTCAAAAGAGTCACTTGATTAATATTGGTTCAGGTATTGTGATGGCCCCTCGAAAACCTCAATGAAGCCAGAACCCCCTAAGCCAACAGATTGTTATGGTGACTGCAAGGATGGGTATGATTACTCCCCTCCACCACCTCCCAAGAAGTATGGTGACTGTGATTATGATGATGGGTAGGTCTTCAGAATCCATCTCACTTGAAAGGGTCACCTGATTAATATTGGTTCAGGTATTGTGATGGCCCCTCGAAAACCTCAATGAAGCCAGAACCCCCTAAGCCAACAGATTGTTATGGTGACTGCAAGGATGGGTATGATTACTCCCCTCCACCACCTCCCAAGAAGTATGGTGACTGTGATTATGATGATGGGTAGGTCTTCAGAATCCATCTCACTCGAAAGGGTCACCTGATTAATATTGGTTCAGGTATTGTGATGGTTCCCCTCCACCTAAGGAAACAAAGAATTATGGCTACCATTATGCCAGAGCCCATGACAAGGCAGCTTCCTCTGGCAGCACAGACCGGCCAGCTTCTACACCAGTTCATACGCCAACTCAGTTTGAGGGAGCTGCAGGAATCTTGCAGCCGCGGGGTATCTCTTTCGTCGCCCTTGCTATCGCAGCTGCATTCTATGTTTGATTTCAGAGAATTTCTTTTCCCCTTTTTGTTGTTTGGCAGTAGATGTCTTCAGCTTTAGAGCGGGAACAAGTTGGGTAGATGGATTTGATTTTGAAAATCCAAGTCTCTCCTTACAAACAGCCAGCAATCCTACTTTCCTTTCTTCGAATACAGCCGCGCAAAATATTAGTCACGGGCTCATTGTCTCCTCAAAATGTTCATTTTCAATAATGTAGAGCCAATGATAGCACTTCTTAAGTCTTATTTCCTTAGCACTTTTGGACAAAGTTGTCCTTGTGGATATTTATCATTCGAGATGACTGTCGAATGGCGCGTATTAAACAGCATCCAGGTCGCCTTCATGCCTTCATTACTTCAACTCACAGCCTTGGCCAACATCTATTAGGAGGAGGGGTTTTGAGTTTTCTACTCAGTTGTCTGACCAAGAAAGGAGAAGAGTCAAAAGTGGCGTTATGTAACTCTTAAATTTGTCGCATTTCAGGTTGTTCTGCAACTTGATATAGACAACCATGGTGACGATCAATGCGCTCCGTTCATAAGGATACTTACGAGGAAGAGAAAGTGGCCGAGAAAGCAGCTTCGTGTATTTCCTCGAGTTCTGCCACCGGATCCAAAGAGACGGATCTGAAAGACACGATTTATCCCCAGAGGGTCGGGAAGGTGAGGTAGCTGGCTGAGAGTTCCCGCAATCCCATGTTGCAGCCACCATTTGCCGCAATGTACTATACAGATCCATATAGGGAGAACAGCTGTGTATGTACTCCGTACAGTGCATACATAACTACAGCCATGCTCTCTTAGATGCTATTCTCAGGGCTTGCAGCTTTGGGTGAGACGGCTTATACACTGACCTGACATTAGCACCAGGCAGCTTTAGTTGCATATGAATCCTCCTAGAAAGTTTTAAGGGTACGGAGTACGGAGTACTCCGTAGTGATATGCATAGATTTAAAGTTTTTGCAACGATGTGTTCTGCAACAATGCCGGCCAGTGAGTTCATTTCGCTGGGTACTCCGTAACTACTTTGTGGCTGCTCCCTGGCGAGCGCCTCGGGCTCACCAACAAGTTAATCCCTACCAGCTTGATCTAATGACATTCAACAGAATTACTCCGTAGACCCGTAGAAAGTTCAATGCAGTTAATATTATATGGCCACAAAATCTAGTTTGTTGGATTTCCATGGATCGAGAGTGACGAACCTCGGGTGGAGGAGCTTCCCCGTGGGGTAGTTATCTCCCCCAGCCTGGTTTTCGGAGCAGCTTTTCAGCTAAGATTTGCTTGTTAGCTAGCTTGGGCACCCACCCCGTCCTTGTTATAACCTGATTGGTCTGTCGAAACAGGAGTCGACGCGAAGGACGCTATCTTGGATGCCACATATAAATCTATGCAATTTTTAACTGTCCCTGTGTTACGATGGGAGCCCAAGCCCTGTCTTCTTAACGTTCGCACTGGGTGGGTGAACACGGTTCTCGTCATTTCGGAGAACCGCCGAGTATGCGAAATCTGAAATATCGAGCGATACAGTGTCGCGAATTCTGGTGTGCTTCCGAGTTTGACCAAGCATCGATGTTCGGAGGCAAGAGATCGATGCGTCGAGGCCGCCCGGGCGATAGGCATTTTATTGTGCAAAGGCCATGTCACGGCATCGATCAAGGATTTTGGTCCTCCGCTTAGAGTAGGCTGTATGGACCTGTGCGAGTATGCGTGAGCTGAGCTTGTATAAGCTTGTATTCCAGACTAGGATGCCGCGATAAGTTTGAAAAATATAACAGTGGCACTCGTGAATCACCACCAACTGGTGGGTGACTCAATCCGATCCAAATATCGTTGGCAACATGACTACGGAAGAGGCGTTCATACAGCTCGCCCATTGGCCGCCGTATCAAGTTGTCTTGCTTCCGTACAACCCCTCCTCCTCTGCCTCCTCCTCTGTCTGCTCCTCCAAGAATATAAGGAAGAATATAAGGAAACAACTAGTCTTTGGTTATCCACATCTTCCACATGATATCCCCCCCTCTCTCTCTTTTTTTTTTTAACTTCTCTGCACGATTTAACATAGTCCCGTTCTCGTTAGCTTTTCCGAAGACTCCAACTTCGTCATTTTCACAATGGGCTCAATCCCAATTCCACATTACGATGTTCTCATTGTCGGAGCTGGGTTTTCCGGAGTGTACATGCTGTATCAACTCCGGAAAATGGGGATGAATTGCAAAGTCTATGAAGCCGAAGCCGCTCTCGGAGGAATTTGGTATTGGAATGCATATCCAGGTAGAGAAGGCCTTGCTTTACCTTGCACATTCCGTATATTCATGCGTGCATCTTGGAGAAATGCTGACGTAGAATCCTTCCGACGCGATTAGGAATCCGAGTGGACTCCGAAGTTCCAGTATATGAGTACTCGGAGCCGGAAGTGTGGAAAGATTGGACATGGACAGAGAAATATCCGGCAGGCGAGGAAATTCTGAAATATTTCGACCACGTTGATAAGGTGTGGGATATTAAAAGGGATGTTGAGTTCAACATGAGGGTGATAGGGGCCCAATTTGATATGACGGAGAAGGTGTGGAAAATCGAAACGGATGACGGCCGAACAACAACATGCCAATTCTTTATTCCAGCGACGGGATTTGCTGCGAAACGCTATGTCCCTCCTTTCAAGGGGATTGAGACTTTCAAAGGAAAGGTCTATCATTCCTCCTGCTGGCCTCATGAGGGAGTGCAAACCAAGGGGAAGCGTGTGGGTATTATAGGGACGGGGGCCACAGGAGTACAGATTGCTCAGGAGTGTGCAAAGGACGCAGCCAGTCTGCTTGTGTTCCAGAGGACTCCAAACCTTGCTCTACCTATGCGCCAGGGAAAACTGACGCCTGAAGAGCAAGAAAGTCGAAAGCCAACGTATCCTGAATTTTACCGAAACCGGCTTCAGACATTTGGCGGTATGAGGTACACCTTTTTGGAAAAGCACACGGCAGATGCGACTCCGAAAGAGCGCGAGGCATTCTTCGAGCAGTTATGGACAAATGGCGGCTTTCAATTCTGGCTGGGCGGGTATGGTGACATGCTCTTCGGACTCGAGGCAAACCGCCATGCTTATGACTTTTGGGCCAAAAAGACCCGCGAGAGAATCAAGGACCCCAGGAAACGAGATATTCTTGCGCCGTTGGAACCCATCCATCCGTTTGGGACAAAGAGACCATCACTAGAGCAAAACTACTATGAGATCTTCAATCAGCCAAACGTAGATGTGGTCGACTTGAGGAAGCACACCATCGAGGAGATCAGGCCCGATGGGATCCTCATCAGTGACGGGTCGTTTTATCCTCTCGACATTATCGCGCTTGCAACGGGATATGATAGCATCACAGGAAGCATGGTGTCCCTGGGCCTGCGTGATGTTCATGGTAGGCCTCTGGAGGAAAAGTGGAAAGATGGCGTCCTCACATATCTTGGAATGTGTCACCATGGCTACCCGAACATGTTCTTTCTTTACGGAGCACATGGGCCGACAGCATTCTCCAACGGACCTTCATGCATAGAAATCCAGGCCCATTGGATTGTCAGCATGATTAGAAAAGTGCGGGAGGAGGGGTTGAAATATATTGAACCAAAGGCTGAGGCGGAGGTGGAGTGGAAAAATAAAATCAACACAATATCAAACAAGAGCGTTCTGCCCCTGGCGGACTCTTGGTATATGGGTGCGAATATCCCGGGCAAGAAGCGTGAGCAGCTCAACTGGGCGGGAGGTTTGCCAGCATATCAAGCTGAGTGCATGCCTGCGCTGAAATCCTGGGAAAGCTTTGTCGTTGCGTGAACTGAGGTCAGTCTCAGATTAGGGTTGCTTAATGTAGTGAGTCGGTCAGTTGCTCTACAGAGTACTCCGTATGGAGTAGCTATGTAGTTATGCTTAATTAGTTATTTATAACTAGTTGGTTAGTTACTGGAACTCGGTTGGATAGTGAGTGTCAAATGCATAGCTCTTGTCCCGCGCGCCCTGGCAGGGTAACTGATTAGTTGTCATTTCTTGGCTGTTGGGGCCAACGCAGGACCTGCGGCAGCATGGGGAGGACAGGGGAGGGTGGGATGTTCTGCTCGAAAATCTTGCTGGTCTGCTCCGCCTCCTTGGTTGCTCCATCCGGCCGCCGGCTGGGCCAGCTGTTTAACTCGTAGGCGGGCTATTGTTGCCATCACGTGCCGGGGCCCCTGGCTCACCTGTTGTTAGTCGGCGCACTAACACTGCCTGCTGGAGCTCCCCTTACTGCTGTACATAACCCCCAACTCCTGCGTATTTTGTGGTGGTCCATCATTGTGTGTCAAAAGGCGTTGGTCGAGGTTCATGGGTTCTTTGCTTGTGGTTTTACTGCATCTTAGTTTTCATTGTTAGGGTTGCGAAGGGCTGTACGGAGTAAGTGAACCCTTGATGTTGAAACTCATTTCATTCCACGGGAACATTTCGTCATGTGTCTAGTAGAACACCCTCACTCACTCACCCTTTTTGTGAACAGGAGGTTCTGCTATCCAGAGTAACGGCCAAATGCCCGAAGCATTCTTTTTGACTTGGAGGAGTTTCCCCGGCTTATTTTCTGTGAAGTGTGGCAACTCGAAGCCCTGAGTCTCTCGTCGAAATCGGTCCGACGTACCCAAAGGCTTATCCTCAGATTATGTGTCGTCCGCCCCGCGTCCGATGCCTCTGGAGAAACAAACGCTTTGAATACTTTGTCTTATGCTATTGAAGACATACAAGCAGTGGTCAGTTACGCCGTGGTATCTCCGCTTGATCTATCATGACTTCCGACGTCACGGGCAGCCATGAGCCGGAGCTGTCGATGCCGACACACCAAAATTCGGTGCTGCCTACTGAAGTAAGCGCCCCGCAACCCGTTGCAGATATATACAATGGTCGAGGTGAGGAGTACAGAGCTCCTGGGGGACCGCCACGCCAGATCCGGAAAAAGGCCCCGGAAAAACCGGACGAAATTCCCCAGAAACCCAGAGTCGAGTTGGATGATTTTGGACTACCTATTCGAAAAGCTAGACCTTCACCTGATAGCAATTCACAGCCAGCCATCGCGACTACCGGAAAGTCAACGGGAAGCACTGATAACCTGCCTCTACGGAGCAAAACTGAGGATAGCTTGGCGCGCCAGAATCTTACACGTTCTGTATCTGCACCAGTTCGTGATATAGATAGATCTAAGAAGAATCCAGAACCGGATACAATAATTAACACGGACCAGCAGACCAAAGAGATCGCCGATCGGACACTGAAAAAATCAGCCGTAGATACCTCCGAACAATCCCAGCCCAATCAGGAGCCTTCCGAGATAGAGAAACTCGGCGGCCAAAGTGACACACTTGCCGCCGCTCCGGCCGTGTCTGAATGGTCACACCAGAGGCTCACAACGAAGGATGAATCCACTGATAGCGAAGATGACGAACGCTGGCAAGCTATGCCAGCGCTCGGTTCTTTTGATGTCTACGATGACTATGGTAGACTCGTGGCGCGTGGCAGCAAAGAAGAAGATGAAGAAGCCGTATATCAAGGCCTAGGGGGCGCTGGGAAGGGGTATACCAGAGTTCAGATTGATGAGGATGCCCAATCGGCTACCAGTTTAGATGAGGAGACGAAATACCTTTTTCCAGAGCCCCAAACCAATGCGCTGGGCATTGAGGATGATATTCGAGACCCCATGTCTCAGTTACAGGCAACGAAGACCTTACTCACCGAGGGACAGAGAATCGCTTACGTCGGTGTAACTCGCCTCATTATATTCCAGATGGTCAAGGACCTGGAGGGTATCCAATCCACAAAATCAGCTCGTAAATATCTAGCGGATGCCGCTGACGCCACAGCAAAATGGGGCCAGCAAATGATGATTCGACTCTATGGCCATATGGAGATCGACGCGGCAGAACAAGTAATGATTGAACAGCTGGCTGAGCATGGAGTTCAACCGGTGGACCTCGTTCCTCCCCTTATGCAAAACTCGCGAGTCAAGAATCCTGCTGCGGATTGTTCGGCTGCAAAGGATGCCTCTGATTCTGCGAGCTCCAAGGCGGATCGTCCTGCCAGTTCTGTTTCAGGGACTTCTGAAACTCCCTCGACTAGTACCTCACCACCTCCCTATTCAGAACATCAAAATGATGACCTGCCTGAAGTGCGAACGCCTTCTCAACTACCATCATCTAAGAAGCTTGATATTGATCTCCGGTGGACGGTGCTGTGCGATCTTTTCTTGGTGCTCATCGCAGACTCAACATATGATGCCAGATCACGTCGTTTGCTTGAGCGGGTAGCAGAGACGATGGACATTTCCTGGATGCAAATATGCCGATTTGAGAAACGGGTTGTTGATGCTTTGGAAATGCAAGAAGAGAGAAACAAAGAAACATGGGATGAGGCTGAGCATATGGAAAAACGCAGGAAGGAAGCACTGAAGCGAAGATACATGATTATGGGGCTCGCGACCGTGGGTGGAGGCTTGGTCATTGGCCTGTCAGCCGGCTTACTGGCCCCTGTCATTGGGGCTGGACTGGCTGCGGGCTTCACGACCATCGGGGTATCCGGCACTGGTGCTTTCCTTGGTGGAGTGGGTGGTACTGCATTGATCACATCCGGTGCCACTCTTACGGGAAGTACAATTGGTATCAGGGCATCAAACAGACGGACTGGAGCCGTTAAAACCTTCGAGTATCGCCCATTGCATAATAACAAGAGACTAAACCTGATTGTTACTGCCGCTGGATGGATGACTGGCAAGGTGGACGATGTTCGGTTGCCATATAGTACAGTTGACCCTGTTATGGGCGACATATACTCCATTTTATGGGAGCCGGAAATGCTTCAGAGCATGGGTGCTACTATCAACATCCTTGCGACAGAGGTACATATTCTGTTTACTCTTCCACTGCCTTTAATTTGCTGACCGTAATTAGGCTTTAACCCAGGGTCTTCAGCAAGTTCTCGGAAGTACAATCTTGACTGCGTTAATGGCTTCGTTACAGCTCCCAATTGTTCTCACAAAGCTCTCTTATTTGATTGACAATCCCTGGAACGTGTCACTTGCCCGGGCCAATGCCTCTGGCCTTATTTTGGCCGATTCGCTTATCGACCGAAATCTCGGAAACCGTCCGGTCACTCTTCTAGGTTTCTCGTTGGGATCAAGGTTGATTTTCTCTTGCTTGAAAGAGCTTGCAAATAAAAGAGCGTATGGCATAGTTCAAAACGTATATCTGTTTGGTTCCCCTGTTGTCGCAAACAAAGACGAGTACCTTAAAGCTCGAAGTGTTGTTTCAGGAAGGTTTGTGAACGGATACGCGTCTAATGATTGGATTTTGGGATACCTTTTCCGAGCCACGAGCGGCGGAATCATGCGTGTGGCAGGCCTGGCACCTGTTGAGGGTATACCTGGGATTGAGAATTTTGATGCCACCAAGTTTGTAAACGGCCATATGGCCTACCGAGCTGCCATGCCCCGACTTCTTCGAGAAGTTGGATGGGAGGTGGAAAGCGACGAATTCACCGAAATAGAAGATCCCGACCCTGATAGCCATCAGGAGAGACAGCGAGAGCTTATACGTGAGATCCAAGAAGCCCGGAAGCAGGCGGAAGAGAAGCCAGATAAGAAGAAATTTGGCTTCTTCAAACGAGGGAAGCTTGCGGAGAAAAAGGGATGGGAGACTTACGATGTTGACCAGGGTGATCGCAGCCCTACCAATTCGTGTGACGGTAACGCTGATCCTGGAGGCACGGTCCTGTTTGATATCGATGCAATCCGAGCAGAACTAGCCAGTGAGCAAATTCAAGTGAAACAACTCGAGTCAACATTGCCGCCGATGAAGTTGCATCTCAATCCACCATCTCCCGTTGCGTCTCCGAGCTTCCACGGACAGAAGAAAGCACCACCGCTGAGCACAGAACTGGAGGAAGCCGCAATTGAGACTCACACAGCTTCTGACTCACCAAGCGAGCCAGCAGATGCAAGACTCCAAGATTTCAAACCCCTACCAGATTTACCTTCCGATGGAAACCCATTCAACGAGTCATGGCGCCAAGAAGAAATCCAAATGACATTCGACACCGCATACCACCAGACACCATCTACGACATCACCCTCTCTGGCAGAGTCAGGAAACCACGAACTGGGCCCCGTGTCATCGAATCTGACTCCTTTACATTCCGTGACTCAATCACCAACAGAGACGCACAACGACCCTCCTCGACTGGCACATTTCGACAAGTCAGGCCTAAATCACAACGCTTGGGCTACTGATGATGATGACTCAAGCATCAAGCTCTCGTTTGCTTAGGAGATCTTGTAACGACGAGCCTTACCCCGTTTCATTCTTGCGAAATATTTATTTCTCTTTCCGTTTATATTTGCCCTTCGATGTCTAAATGCCTTTGATAAATTCACTAGAGTGGAGAGGGAGGTTTGGTTTGTATGGAGTCCCCGTGTATAGCAGCATATGACTGAGAAGGCAGTGGAATGCCGACATGATTGTGTGCATCATCATCGGCGTCGTCTTTTTGGTTTGACTGTTGACGAGTATGAATATACGGTTATATATTATGCTCTCACACATCTTACAAGCTATTTGAAAACACCGATACAATTTTTTCTCTCACACCCACTACCAGACCAATCATAGCTCTGGATCAAATCATGACAGCGACCTGTAGTGATAAAGTTCGGCATTTTGCATCTTGTTTGGTTGTTGCAGTCATACTCTCTTGCAGTCATACCCTCTTGCAGTCATACTCTCTCTATGGCGAACAAGATTATTGTCAGAATATTGGTATTTTGTCGTTTCTTATCACCGAACAAGGTGACTCAACCATTCTTTATATGAATGACAGTGGCCCCGAGGAGTCAGGATCCTTGTGTTTGGTCATATTATGACTGATTGCCTCTTGACGACCTCAAGATCAACTTCTCTGAGTCATTCCCAGGATTGGACTATAAAAGGGGCCTCATCCCCCCGGTTGGATTCATTTTTCTGGCCTTTTTTTTTTTTTTTTTGTCGTCTCTGTCTTTCCAGCATATCTGCAGCAGGAGATGGTGCTCTGACACTAACAACACAATTCCACCACCGCTAATAATACACAACAGCGCTAACTATCTGTCAAGGCAACGTCCGAACATCGGTCTAACACAGCTGTCATTGATTCCTTCGGCCGTTTTCTAATCCCATGACTAGTCTCGATCCTCCGTGTGTTTCTTCAACGTGGTGGTTACGGTAAGCAGACGCGACCCTACCTTTGACATCTGACAAGCCAGTCTTACTTTTATCTAGGAATGGCTTTTATATAGAATCAACTCCATAAATAGATAGCTATATATATATTGGCTACACTAACTACCTAGGTTGAATCAGCACCCCGAACATTGGTATCGACTCCGGCCGTCGTCGGTTCTCTCGAACGATTTCCACTCCCGGCGAACAGCGGCGGTAATAAAAGGACGACCTGGACTCCGACGAACGGCGGTTACGATGGACGACTTCGACTTCAGACGAATTCCACTCCGGCGCACGGTCTCGATTTTGATAAACGGCGGTTGCGACGGATGTACAAGCGGCGGTCACGGCGGACGACTTCGATTCTCGGCGAATACCGGCGGTCATATCAGACGACTTCGACTCCAGTCGAATTCCACTCCGGCGCACGGCCTCGATTCCGATAAACGGCGGTTGCGACGGACGTACGAACGGCGGTCACAGCGGACGACTTCAATTCTCGGCGAACGGCGGGCACGACAGACGGATGAACGGTCTCGACTCCTGGCGAACAGCGGCGGCCACGACGGACGACCTCGATTCTGACGAACGACGGTGTCGACTGCGGACGAACGGCGGCTGCGACTCCCACACACGGCTTGCGATTCCTGCTATTATGCCATTCATGGGCATTCGCTTTCCGGTTTTTGTGTCTTTTGTCGTTATACATCTGTTTTCCCCTGCATAGCCTATTTACTTCTTTTAAATTCTTTTAATTCTACATTCTACCATGCCGTCATACATCTGTTTTCCCTGCATAGCCCATGTATCACTTCTCAATTCTTTAAAGCTGCGTCTTGTCGTTATACATCTTGTTTCCCTTGCACATCCCCTTCCCAGCCCAGTCGCACGGGCCCTGTGTGCGACACCTAAGCATGACTTGCACCTCTACGTGGTGCTTAGGACTAGTAACCTTGATGGTGAAGCCAAGCAAGTCACTTAACCTCTTTTTTTCCTTTGTGGGTGATAAGCAGTTGCATGTCTGTACATAATATCTACGTACCTACATACATACATACAAACTGCTGGATCTACACCAATTCAGTTTAAAGTAGTATAAGTGGCTAGTATGCACACACGGCGCATACCTTGCTTGCCGGATACAGTCAAGGTCTTTTCCTGACTCACGAATAGAATATGTCATATGGAGTGTAGTCACGTATGTCCAGTAGAGTCAATGCTTTGACTCTTAAGGTATGACGAGTGTTTGGAGGTGAATGATGCCAAGACGCCAGTAGTTAAGGAGTAGTTAACCAGCTCGCCTGGCCGGACTCCACCTCAGAAGCTTCCTTTGACACACCACTGACCAGCAGGCCGACGATCCACGGTTCCCTCCCGTTTGTACTGAAGTATTGCCACGAGGTGAGCTGGCTGGGCTGGGCTGGACGCGACTCTTGCGGACCTTGTTCGTTTCTTCACTCATTCTCAACTCCGATGACTCCGAACTATGCTCCCTGAGCTCTCCATCGCATTCTCCGCTTCGAAAAACGCGAGCCATCACCCTGCCACCGGCGCGTTTAAGTGAATTTCCTCCTCGCAAACATGGGATTCCTAACGAAAACAAACTTCCGTGGGAGTCTTTTATTGACTCGGGTTGAAGGTAGGAGTACAAAGAGGCAAGCAAGGTACTCCACAGGCGATGACGACTCGTCAAGCGACCCGTTAAGCATGAGCGACGTTTCGCCCGCAAAGAAGCGGAAGAAAGGGAAGCCAGAGCCCGCTACGGACGATGACCCTATAAGCTCCTCGAATGACAGCGACAGCCCGAGCCTCTCCAACGGAACGCCCAAGCCTCGCCATCGACCTCGCACGGAATTTACGCCGGGGGATCTGGAAGCTGACTTGGCCGCTATTGACGCGGATGCCACGCCAAAACCACGAAAGAAAGCCATATCTACACCAAGGGTCGGCGAGAGACGATCAAAAAGGATATCGAACGTGGGGATAACCGCGCAGGACGCCAATGCCAGTAAGGATGCTAGCAACGAGCACTCTCCGGGAAGTCGTGCCTTTGGAGACTCTTTGGTATTCTTTTCACGTGTCCCTAAGAAGGGGAAGACTTACCAAAGAAATCCGTTTAATAATGTGCGTACCCCTACGAAGACAGAGAAAAAGCATGAATTTATTGTGCCACGCAATGGACCAGATATCCCGGATACCGTGCGTACCCAAATGCCCTCTGATAACCCCGAATTCAAAGTGCCAATGGCGATCCCGAACGATTCTTTTTCAAGTGCATCCTTTCCCACGGATGATTCTTCTCGCGAAGTCCCAGAAACTTTTGTATTCGACGACCATAGCGGGTCGTCATCCCCATTAAGCTCCGTAGCGCCATCTAATATGGATCTCACTGTGGACGAGAAGAGATTTCTCGATGCAGCGTCCGGTGATTTTGTCCGATGCCAGGCATGCCGTGAGCTACTTGATCCCGAATACCTAGCTGAGTTCCAGCTAGAAAAAGGAGTTAGTGTTAGACGACAAATGCAAGCTTGCCAACAGCATAAGCGGTGGACAGCAGAGCGTGACTGGCGCCAACGAGATTATCCCACCATTGACTGGGAGGGACTGGAAGACCGTATCCAAGCGTACTTTGCTGAGCTAGATCAAATATTGACTCGCAAAAAGCCGTCGTTCTTTCGTAACTTTTTGGAGTCTTCAAATACTGGAAATAGTAAAAAGGATAATTTCCGCCTCACAGCGAACAGTCAGTTTGAAATGATGTCCAGTGGATACTACGGCCCACGTGGCGCTAGACTAATGTACGTGTGTACCAACCCATTTGCTGACCAGTTGGTGACCGGTAGCTGACCAGTTGCTCAAGGATGGACGCTATCATCACAAAATTCGCGGCCAAGCTACGACGTCTAGGACCCTCGGATTCCTTAATGCAAGCCGCTGGCGCCTCTGGCTTTGTGCAGGCGGTGTTGGTCCCAGAACTAACGGTGATGCTAGTTAAAGATGATATGGGTGTCGGAGACGAGACTGCGCGACAGATCATGAGAGAGAGTAACATGATTGGCAACCTTCTCAATGATCAGCCTGATGACGATGTCAAAGTTGATGAAGATGGAAATTCCCGGAATTGATTTGTCACAAGTCATGGAATGATTCGGTCGTATGCATGTCCTTGCCCTTATCCGCGACTTTCTTAAGCTAAGGCGTTTGGGTGGGCAAGTTTTTATATTCGATATTAGCATTAAATTGGATCGGGCTTCGGAAGTTGATGTGTGTATACTCGATATATATATTGACATTCATCTCTATACGTATCCTTTTATGATTTTTGAAAGCATTTAAGAGTTATACACCCACGAATTGTTACAAGAATATATGAAATGAGTCGCGATGGTCAAGTGTTATCTCCAGATATTCTCTGAAATAACCATACAAGCTATTATCTAATTTGGAACCCGGAAGGGGGTTTATTCAAGATCTCTTCCCTCTGTAGGCCATCCCAAAAACAAAGAGGCCGTATGTTGCCAACGCACTTAATCCCAACGGCACTGGCTTTCGAGTCTTAATCGCTCTTGGAATTGCGCTCCCGCCCAAAACTGCGGAAGCAACAAGTCCCAGCTCCTCTCCATACGGTTGATTGCCGTTAAGGCGGAGGTAACTGAGGGCGTAGAGGGCGCCAACAGACAGGCCGGCGGCAATGGAGGGCACGGAGCCGGTGCGAGCATAACCGGCAATACCGCCGAGGGAGGTGAGAACGGAGAGAGCGGCAGCGGAGTAGGTAGTGTTCTGAGGAGACTGGACAGCTGATTAGATATGTCACTAAGGGTGAGTGGGTGTGTCAAATTCGTACTACCATTGTGCCTGTGCTTCGCAGAGTAAATTGCGGAAGAGACGGAAGGGGATTGGTGGTAGAGAATGGTAGTTGAGAGGCTCAATTACGCTCAATTGAAGGCAATATAAAACCCTATAATGGGGGGTTCGAATACAAACATGTGTCCGTCCTTGAGGTCAGATATTGATGCTTGACTGCAAATGCAACGTCCATTCACGCCGAAAGCAGCGGAAGGGCGCGCTAGGCTGCGGGAGAGCCGGGCGCGGGCGGATTAGGTCATCATCAGGGAACACGCGAGGCGGAGACGGAGTTAAGGAGCTCGGGCCACCAGGTCTTGGCGTTGACGCGTGCTTAAAGGACGATCTGTTCGTTTCAGAGCTCCACGCAAGCCGGTTGAGGGACGACAAGCGCAGCGAGGCCGGCGTCAATTGCGCAGTTCAATCAAGAACCTCTCCATCGTTTGCCAATCAGTTCCGCTGCCAGTTTACCAAGATGGCTCCGAAACGCCCAGTAAACGGTGCGGCGACACCGCCAGCTTCGAAGCCGAGTTCCAGCTCGGTGACGGCCACGACGACCACCAAGACCGCGACCCCCGTCGCATTCACGACGAAGTCCCCGCCTCAAGACATAATTTTGGGAATATGGCAGCGGTATCTCGTGCAGACAAGCCAGCGAACAAAGATGCTGGATGCATTCATGGCATTTCTCGTCTTAGTCGGCGGGGTCCAGTTCGTCTATTGTGTTTTGGCAGGGAATTACGTACATATCCCCCTTTTCCCCATCATCCACCCGGTCTGGAGCTTGCAGGAAATCATTCAAAGCTGTAGACTAACTAACATCTTTGCCTTTCTTCTCGTTAGCCGTTTAATGCTTTCCTAAGCGGTTTCTCTGCAGCAGTGGGCCAATTTGTTCTCACAGCGAGTCTTAGAATGCAGACCAGCGGCCAGGATGCGAAGGGCACATCGAAAACGAAGTCTAGCTCGTCAAAAGGGTCAGCAACTCCGGCACAGGGAGATCTTGCGTTGGACGCAGTGTCTCCTGAACGGTAAGCCATACTCCTTTATACTATTTACCCCTCAGGATCTAGATCTGACTGTGCACTTCGCAGGGCATTCGCCGATTACGTATTTGGGAGTGTAATACTGCATTTTTTCTGCGTTAACTTTATAAATTGAGATGGTGCCGTATCGTGGATTTATTGCTTTTATCGCCAGCTGCGCCGTGCTATACTACTATCGATTACCCTATTTCGAAATTCCGGATCGTTCACAGACTGCAGGCCCGGGGTGTTCACAAAATGGCATTTTACATTGGATCCCAGTTTATTCGGCGGTTCATCTTGTTCCTTGTACATTATCTTAGAAATGAAAAGGTGAAAGGCAGGGGGTCGAATCTATATAAAACCCATGCTGTATCTATAATAGCAACCTAATGCACGATTTCAGGATGGAATATCGTCTGGAAAAACCAAGGGGTATACTTTGATGCAAGTTTGCATAGATGTTGAAACTAGAATCCTCGCCCAACCCTCTTCGCAGGAGGTCTCCTAACCACGCTCCCGCTCGTCTTCGTTGCTGCTGCCGACGCAGGCCTTCGAACCGCAGACCTTACTCCCACCGTTGCGGAGCCAACAGTGGCCTCTTGACGCCTCTTCAGCTTTTCTTTTTCTGCTTCTTGACTTGCTATCAGGGCGGCTCGTTCTCGATCGGCCGCCATTTGAGCTTCTATTTCCATGCGACGGTTAAACTCATGCTCTGTGACACGGCGCTCGCGGGCAGAATAACCCTTCTCTTTAATAGAGTAGAATACGCCGCCAAGATCAGCAAGCCACTGGAATCTGTAAGTATCATGAAAACGAAGAATGCGAGAAGATGGGGCATATACTTACACGAGGATCAACAGATGTGACACAGGACATGTACTCCTTGCTGGTCAGGATCAATTCATGATATACAACGTAATCAGGTAAGAACCCAAGGCCGTATAAAGCGCTTGTAGGGTGGAGTTGCACTGTGACACTCGTTCGTAGATTTATATATTCGCCAATTCCTTTGACTCTAGCGGCCTGATGATAATATCCGGAACAAATACATTTTCGAATAATATCCCAATCGGTGCCACAGCTCTGAAGTGTCATCTTTTGCATGCACATGATGTCGGAGAGTTGTTCTCGAATCTCTTTGGCCCGTCGCAGCGCCTTGGGGTGAAGGAAGTGTCTCACACACCAACCGTCTGAATATCCGTTGGCTTTCCATTGGGTATAAACGTGAAGGAGGGTAAGGTGATCAGATTCGGGCACGAAAAACTTTTCGCGAGCAGCGTCGGATTCTTCTTGGCGTTCTTTCGGGCGATAGAAGACACTCGGCACCGAGAGCATCGAGACGATGGTAAGCATTTCTTCGCTGCATTCATACTCCTCAGACGCAGTGATGAGCAGTTTTGCTAGAGATGGGTCCATGGGGAAGGCGCTCATACGGCGGCCCATGGGCGTGAGATCACCAAGGTTATCAATGGCACCCAATGCCCAAAGGTCGAATAGGGACGTTGTGATAGTGTCCTGTGGAGGCGGATCCATGAAATCAAAATCCAGCAAATCTTTGACTCCCAGCGATTTGAGTAGGAGAACGGTGTTAGCAAGATTGGTTCGCTGAATCTCTGGAATTGTTTGAATATAGAATTCATTCTTGAAAGCCAGTTCGGTATATAAATGATAGGCTTTCCCTGGACCCGTTCGCCCAGCTCGACCTGCGCGCTGTGATGCATTCGCCTGGGAGATTGGCGTAATCTGTAAAGTGTCCATACCCATGCGTGGATTGTAAACCTTCAATTTGGAGAAACCACAATCGACCACGTACATGATACCATCGACTGTTAGACTGGTTTCGGCGATATTAGTAGCAACAATCACCTTTCTAACTCCAGGAGGCGCTTTATCAAAGATTTTGGCTTGCAGATCCGCAGGCATTTGACTATAGATCGGCAGGACACTGATTTTTGGAGGATCATTTAGAAGAGCAAGCCTCTCATGTATAAGGTCGCAAGTAGCCTCGATATCCTCCTGACCGGTCATGAACACAAGGATATCTCCTGGACCTTGGGAAACGTGAATAGCAAGGACCTGTTTAACAGCGCTGTCGACATAGTCTTCGCAGGGAGACCGGGAATACTGGATGTCAACAGGAAAGGTTCTTCCTGGAATGAAGAATTCCGGTGCACCTCCGTAGAATTTCGAGAACCTCTCAGCATTCATTGTGGCCGATGTCACAATCAGCTTCAGATCCCGCCGACGTGCGAGAACTTTTTTGATTAATCCCATTAAAACATCTGTGTTTAGAGCCCGTTCATGGGCTTCGTCCATGATGATGCATGAATATTTATCAAGGTCAGGCTGCACCAAAGACTCTCTTAGGAGCACGCCGTCGGTCATATCTAGGGCCTCCGGTTAGCTTCTACCTTCAAAATTGAAATAGAAAATGCCTTACATTTTATGACAGTTTCGTTGCTAGTGCAATCTTCAAAACGGATTGCATATCCAACGAGACCACCAAGCTTAACTTCCATCTCTTCACTCACACGTTTCGCTACACTCATCGCCGCAACACGTCGGGGTTGTGTACAGCCGATCATGCCCAGCGCCCCATACCCATCTTCGTACAAGAATTGGGTTAGCTGAGTAGTCTTCCCAGAGCCGGTCTGGCCAACAACTATCACAACCTGATTGTCTCTGACAACTCGTAATAGTTCTTCTCTGACTGCGAATGCCGGTAGAAACTCTCGTTGTTCACGAAGAGTTTTGCTCCTGCTGAATGCGCTAACACCTTCATTCTTCTTCAAGTGCTGCGCAAATTTGCTGCCCCCTTTGTGATCTTCTTCGCCGGGTATAGCCGCTGCACTATCACCTTCATCTTCCTTGATACCCATAAGATTACCCAACGCAGTTCCAGCAACATTCGTAGCATCCTGGGCCTGCTTTTGTCGCTCTTTGAGCTGCCTTCTTTCCCGAACAACCTTACTGCCCTTCCGGCTAAAGACAGCCATGTCGCTTTGTGGATCCCTCACGGCCGGCACAGGTTCCAACTGCTTCGTAAATATCGTCCTCCCATCTAAAAAAGGCGGCCTTAAATCATGAACCAACAAGTGCACCCGAGTCGAATCTTCATCATCTTCAAAATCCGCCTCATAATCTCTCCTCTGCGCCACACCGGACGTCAACATCCGATTCGTTTCCCACGCATCCACATCTTTCTGTTTCTGCACCGCACGCGCATTAAACCGGCGATTATTTTTCTTCTCAGACAATGCAGCTTCTCGCTGCATATCTTTCCATGAGTTATCTGGTCCGCCAAATGGATTGTGTGTTTCGTCACCGAAGGTATGTCCGAATTCGTCGCCAGCGTACCAGTCTCGATCCAATGCCATGGCATCCTCATAATTGACTAGAGGCTCCGGTCCATCAAACTCGTGTTGATGAGGGGTTGAGGAGCCATTGTGACTTCCTCGTGGCGTAGATAGCCCGTTATTATCCCTTCTCTGGCGTTTGAAGACGTGCCTTGGTGCTCGGGGCTGGGGAGAGGAGGACGCGTATCGGTCCGGATCAAGCTTGCGCCGCTTTGGGCTGTCTTCTCGGGCCATTTTACATAGGCAATTCTGAAATGGTGAAATCGATTATAGTCCAATCTATCCGTGGAGCCGTTGCAATCCTCCGAAAAACGATCACGGTTCTTCACGTCAGCGAGCCGTGGCGGAAGATAGTTTATTCAGAATGTTTGTCTTGTTTGCATCCGGGGCATTTTGCACGTTGGAAATCATATGAAGTACTCCGTACGGAGTACGCCGTACAGAGTCGGTGGAGACAACCAGCGCGTGAGTGATTGATCAAGCTGCAAAGGCATTACTGTTTAAGAAGAAATTCTCATATTCTCCAACTAAACTTCCCTCAGGTCCGTTCGCGTCTGGTTCCCTCTTCTCCTCCTTGTATACATATTCATACGCCTCGAAATTAAACACAAAATCACAAGACTAACTATTAAAAAAGAAATCCCGTGTGGCTCTGAGCACTCAAATCTATAGCCCGATGATTTCCGCAATATCCTCTCCCCTTCATGTCTTTACTTCTCTCGCCGTCTCCAGTGCGAGACATATGCTCATGCCTTGTCTTGCGCGGGGAATAGGTAGATGCCATATGCTGGCTTTCTGCTCATGCGCAACCTGCCGTCGTAACCTAGACCCCGGAATTGTCTTCGCCAATGCTAGTAGGTCTCGCCACCGGCACCATTGTGCGTCGCGCCTACCATTGGCGGATATCCGTATGTCGCGTTGTCTTGCTCGTTCGGGTCCAGATTCGTACTCAAAATGTTGTTGGCATTCTCGGGTGGAACTGCGAAGCCGGGTGCGGTCGCCGCTGGCCCACCAATGGCGCCGGCGCCTGCGGCGCCAGTGCCGCCGACGGGTCCACCCTGAGGGTATTCGCTGCTCGCTGGCCGGTTCTGGTTCTCCGCCCTTGAGGATTGGGTCTCAAACCAATCAATTCAATTGTTCAGATAGTTCGTCTTGCCAAGTCGAGACGATAAATGAAACTCAACGGGAATTTCAAAATAGTCATATGGGGTTAATCTAGTATACTTACTTCGCGATACTTTGATAGATAGATCTTCAAAGCCTCCGAGTAGTTCTCGAAACCAAGCGAGGTCATCGCGAACAATATGTCCTCGCCATTGACAGTCTTGCGCTTTTCTCCCTGACACTTCTCCGAAGCTATATATGGCGCCTAAATTTAGAATTTTCTTTCCAGCAGCCGATATATTGGGGAAGTACGAACCTTCGCTGGTGATGAAGGAGATGAATTCGCTTACACATTCCTGCATGCACTCCTTGGCCTCTTTGGCAATCTTCGCATTCTCGGGCAGCGCGGTCTTCATAATCCGGGCAACTATTGGCAAACTCGATAATTAGTACCAAATACTATCACTGGGAAGCAAACTCATTCATGATATAGGGTGGTTGTGAAGCAGTTAGTAGTGCTTTCAATTTAAACCAAATATTTGAAGACCTTAACCAGAAGCAAACAAGCATTCGGAGCAAAGCGAATGACAATCAAGCAAAGTAACCGCGACGATGAGCAAATAAAACATTCCAAATAAGGGTATTTGGTGAACACGGCATGTAAGAACCGTCAAACGATTGCCGACGAAAAGTTAAAATCACGGGGACTTGAAATATTGCGTGTATCCGATCAATTGTAGGTGCGCGAAGGAAAGGCGTCAATAACGAACCATTTGCAATCGGGAGCCATCGATCCTGCTCTTTTACCTCAAATTCGCCTTGAGTTTGCGGTTGCGTATCTTGGTGTTCTCTTTCCATGTGCTCCGGGTCGTCGCCTGACTGTGCTGCTGATTCCACCTCAGGTTCCTTGGGATTCGAAGGAGAGGCCGACGACATGATTTTTACGTCTTTTTGGACACGCGAAACGGGTAGCGACTTCAGCAGGGATCACAGGGTTGCTCTGCTAGCCAGTGTACACGTCACTCCTTGTCGAATCTGAATCGGTCTATTTTCCGATCAGCCCAATGCACGGTTGCGTCAGAGCAAGGGGGCACGGGACTACGTGCTTATTCGCTTCACGGCCGCCTCGGTTGAGCCTAAATGCAAGGTATGTGCGGAAGAACAGCAAGTTCGTTGGCTGCGTGCCTTGATGGGTTCTGCGGATGGGTCAGTTCCTGCACGAGACCAAGGATAACAACGAACCCCATTTCAACGCGCTGTGGAAAGGCGCAGTGCCTGCTTACCTCCTGCAATTGGGTGCGGAAGTAGGGAGGGTAGAGGTCGATGAAGTTGGGCGACGATTGGGTCAATTCTGACCGCAAGTTGGGCAGAGGGGAGGGAGTCGACTGCGGAAAGTCAAAGGACACCTGCGCAACTGAGTTCCGTGATTTGTTAGGTCCTGTGAACCGGTCAAACCATCAAATATAGGGACAGCGAAACACTGAAGCTGAATCGATGACAGTAGAAGCTCCTTACTGGGGTCACAAGTTCAACGTTGTGCAGACGCGGTGGCTTCGCGCAACAACAATCAGCGCGTCGGCTGGCCGCTGGGACAGGGCGCTTGAGATGGAATAACAAAAAGGTAAATGTCGTGCAATGTCCAGTTTGGGCAAAACAGTAGAAAGTGGTGAAGGCAGAACTGTTCTTGGATGCAACAATGGCTGATGTCCCAGGTTGATCTCAGGATAGAGAGCTGAAGATGGTACTGTTGTACTGTGCCTACATATCGATTACACAGATGTTACAGCCATCCTTACGCCATTTCCCCGCTTAGTGCTTATTAATTGTGGAAAATGTTTGTCTGGATACTGGTAATTACTCGTTTTGATAGCTAGAGCCTGGAGCCGCCCGGAGTGAGCTCTGTGAATGCTTCAAGCAATCAAGATAGAAGATCTGGTGAAATTCTCCGGGGTGGAAACAGCACTTTGTGACCCTTCAGAAGTTTGATTGTCGAATAAAAAAATTAAGTGGTATTCTTTGGCTGTCAAATTATCTCCTGCCGCCAAATCTTATTGGGTTTCTCACACTTTCACCCCAGAAAAGAGCCCCATCAATGAAGTAATTGGATAAACGCGCTGCCTCAACAACAAGCAGTGAAACGCATTAAAACGCCGGTTCCCCAAACCAAGAGGGGCACAGCCATGCAGCAGGAATTGATTGTTGGCCAACAGCCCTGCGATTGGGATGCAAGGCAAGCCCAGAACAGCGCCTTAGGCATCCATGAATATAGAGCAGCATACTCCGTATCGGCTTGCATGAATCGAACCATATCAAACACGAGCCTTACTGCACGGCAAAATTTTAGGCCTTTCCTGCCCAGCCTATTCGCTGGTAATATTGGACTGCATTCTCCTGGTACCCAACGAAGCATCAGAGAAAATTATGGAAAAAGAGTTCTCGGAAGGCCAAGGTGCTAAAACAAGCAGCCACCTGGTCACCGAATTATTGGGCATCTACTCCATATTTCTACGTCGCTTGTTTCGGGATGCGAGCTTTCGCCAACTCAGTCGCTGCGGCCTCGCCTGGATGCAAATATCGTCCTTGATGTCACTGATACGCCCTTAGCAGTAGCCGATATATAGTAGCCAGATGTCCCAATTCTTTCAGAATACATATATTCCTTTTATTATTTTTGCAGTTATATCGCCAACATCACACCCACCTTCGGCGGTGGCCAGCTGTCAGGCACGGGTGCAGACAAGAGATTATCTGTTGATACAAAGCCCAATGTGAAATAACCATATCAATTCAGTATTGCAACTCGATCTGTGCTCCGAAGGGCTTCGGATGAAACTATTCCGGGTATCGTTGGAAAGAGTCGATTTATGGAACCCGAGCCGGAACGTGGGGGGACGAAAAACGACCTTGTGATCGCACATACGAGCTGTCCCATGGGACCAGATTATCTTCGTTGGATATCGTGTAAAATCGTAGACGTAACGCTTATTAGGAAGGCTACTTCATCCAGTCTCTCACTGCTGGACAACCTGGATGTTATTCTTCTTCTGCAGACGCGGACATTTGAATCAGCATTCCCGTGTCGACGCCCTGAACCGGCCAAAAGGGAATCTACGGCGACGTAGCTCACCTTCCAACTATCCATCTCATCCTGCTTCGTCTTATACTGCTTTAATAACTCGTCCAGAACCTGCTTTAGCCCATCCGAATTGGTCTTCAGGGCGGGGATCACGTCTTTGACCGTTCGCTCAACCAGAACGCCATTTATCATGCGGAAGCATTTTCGATCTCCAGAAAGAGGTTCTAGAGTCTCGATGACAAGTCTATATATGAATGAAACTGACAGTGAGCTTGAGTCATCCTCACGAGATGCACGGGAGAGCGGTTGGAGGGGCAGAGGGGAGGTGAAACACAAGGCTGGGAATCAACAACCCTGCGGTCACAGGTTGGGCTGTCCGAAAACATGGTCGCTGTCATACTTATGCTCTTCTGTTTCTTGTTCTATGTCTCCAATTTTCTGTGCCAGTTGTTGTAGAGTGTTCTTGAATGTAGAATATTGGAGCTGGAGCTCTGTGATTCGAGAATATCAGCCACCATTGACAGGACTTAGAGGGGACATGCTCTGAATAGGGAAAGAAAGGTAAAGAAAAAGGCTGACCTTGTTGTTTCTTCGGATTGATTTGCTGTGTCGCCATGATTATCGACTCACCTGACAGGTTGAAGAGCTGGGGCTGAGGATTGTTGGGTTTGTGAAATTGACAAGCCGACAAGCCAACCCTATTGGAAACAACCATAAATAACCCATAATTATCAATGAAGAGCCATTTGGGACGCTTAGACTCAGCGAAGTAACTATATGATATATCTTTTTGCATATCCAAATGCTAGATCATATTTCATCATGCTAGAAGGGTATCTATCAATAAATCTAAATTATATGACTATTCCATCGGAACAACGCGAGTGTCGGACATCCAAACTCGTCTGTACGTATATACAATTTACAGATTCCACTTTCAATGATACCAAAACGACTCCCAAAAGATATTGGCAACTGGTAGGTAGAAAGAAGTGCAGCAGCTGATTTTTGATCTGCGATGGATAATTTCCAAAAGTCAGACATGGCAAATGGAGACAAGAATGAGGTCAGAAAATCTGGACATGGGTCAGACTCCTGAAAATAGGAATTAGCAAGAAGAATAGTATTGATGAGTAACAAGCGTGCTGCGTACCATTAAGAGACTAAAATAAGTCTTCCACGTATTAGATGTGGTGTCCGTGCCTTATTTCGTTAACATAAATCCATTCATCACGATAGCTTGCTTTCACCCTGCCTCTACACCATGCTGGCAATATCCAGGATCCTCGAACGGATATCAAGACTTAACGATAATCCATTCAATATAGCTTATTTTTCTGGCCAAAAACCATTCGGTCAAGACAGCAATTGTTGCAGGTATTCCAAAGTCCCTCAAATGGGGATCCATGCAGTATCCTGGAAGTAGTCTGTCATGGCCGGTTCATGCAAATATAGCTCACGCCATTCATCTTCCATGTCAGTTAGATTTTCGGGTATAAAAGGTCCACAAGGCTCGGAGTCGACGATAGAAAACAATTGTCTCCAGTCTCCATGCTCGCCAACCTGGTCAGTCTGTGGGGGACCTTCAGCTGCGGGAGCGGGAGACTGTTTGGCGAAATAGTTGAGTCGCTCATTCAGCTGCGGTTTCTGATACCAAGGCTGCATTGGCCCCTGAGGAGTCGTAACATCGATTTGTGGTGTGGAGTTGTTGGTGGGCTCTTTCACAACAAGTTCTCCGTCTTTTGGTAAACTATTTGGTTGTTTCATTTTCACCATCTCCATATCATGCTTCAAACGCTTGGAGCTCTCAAACAGACGTAAAATAGTTTCGGCGCCAAGCCAATAATCAGAAAGCGCGCGCAAGGAGCACAAAGTGGAATCGAATCGTCGAAGGGCATTTATCGCCAATACGGGGTTGGAGAACCGGAGTTCTACCCTAATCTGAATCATCGCCGTGAATAGAGAGTTCACCGCCGAAACCCAGAGGTATTTTATACGACCCTTCTCCCGCAGTTCTTCGAATATTGAAACGATGACACCGGCAGCTGCACTGCAGATTTCTGCATCATTAGGCCCATAATCGTCAGAATAGGCCGATGCTCGGGGATGAGGGCGGTGAAGAAGGATAAGAAAATTATTGTAAGTAAGATGGAGCAATGCGGGCCATGAATCCACATCAGTGGTGGACATGCGGACGTTGTCAGGCAATTTGAGGGACCAATTCGCAAGTGCTTTGTCGGCATCCAGAAGCGCGGCTTTTCGCCGTTCTGGACTGACTCGCAGGCCAAATCTCTCTCTCATAATGAACGAAATCATACAACAAAGCTCTGTATATTGTATCACGTAGTCTACCTGCACGCGATCACCGCAGCCCTCAAAATCGGATGCAGTCAGAGGCTGGACATCACAATCTTCAAGATTTCTATTGCATCAGGTCAGCAGACTTGTGGGCTTCCAACTTATATCATTTGGCTTCTTACATGGCTTGTGGTCGGCCGTACTGCAAGGATACCAGTACGTCAAACTGGACTAGAATCCACCAAGCCCGGCGCCACATCCGCTTATCATGTGGAACGAGCATACTAGGGCCTGCATTACGGTGCATTCCCAGCCCCGTAGCTATCCTTGCAGCCACTCCAACCCAGAAATGAGCATTTGCAGCGACATCATCGTCCACTGGGTCCGAGTGCCAGGTGAGAAGAAGAGCAGCCTGCACCAGAATGTCCCTGTTTCGTTCCACCCTAGCTTCAAATAGAATTTTGGCACGGCGGAAGAAAGAGGATTTCAACGCATCGCGTGCCGGTCGTGGACGAAGAACATGGGCACCGGCAAGAAGAATAGTTTGGAGGATTAGCAAGGAAGGTGGATCTGCCGGGTCTCGACGTCTGTATTGGGCCATAAACGCTTCTTCGTCGATAATAGGACAACCGGGGTTGACGTGGGCGAAATACGCCGCCACGAGCTCATCTGCAAGCGCTTGCTCCGGCAGCACAAATGCCTCTCTTGGGACATGTTCAAACCCTTGGATATACCTTCTTGAGATTTCGTTTTGTGCAAAGTGGTACACTTCGTCATCTTCGTCTGTATGCTGCTGGCGCAATAAGAAGTTCAAGTTCGACACGTCTTGGCCAACGTATATAACCCTGACCCCCTTTTTTATCGAGCGTTGGCGCAGATCCTCATCAATCAATTTAACCAAATGGCGGTCTGATTCGCGATTATCCTCCTCATCAAGAGAGGCATCGGCGCCTTCGGCCCTTGCATCTGCACGTAACGCTTCTGGAGGGTCCGGTCTGTCCTTCTGGCTACTTATATACGGCGGCGATGTGCTATTGGCCTTAAACGGCGGGGTGGGCAATGGGGGGTGGGCTTGGGTGGCATTTCTGTCTGCGAGTGGTGCACAGCGGATGGGAACCGGATGCTGAAGAGATCGAACAGCAGCCCGCTTCTTCTTCTCATGAATTCGGCAGTCATGTTTCCCGGCAGTTCGGCAATTGGAGCAAGGCAATCCGACAGTTCTGGCATCGCAGCGAACTTTGCGCTGATGACAATGAACACACGCAGCGGGGCCTAGAGCAAAAGAATCAAAACGGTAATTAATATTTTGGGAAAATATGGGGTGTCAGACGGAGGTCTTGATGAAAGAAGCATAACGTGCCGGAGGGGGGTGGGGGTGATTGCGCCAGAAAGTGACCTACGCTTCCGTTTTACTACACCACCGTCAGCAGAAACCCGGGGGTTCTGCTCTGGCGATGACATAATTGTCCGCAATGGTCCGGCTACGTATTCACGCCTGCAGATCCAATAAAAACACAAGAGACATCAGCCATCAGGATGCCAGCGTAAGTTGCAATGGATTAGAATTGGCTGACTGGTTGAGAAAGCGGAGGAGAAGGAAGAAACAATGAGCCACGAGATCCCAGATAAGAGTCCATTTATCAGATGCCCTAAACCACTTTTGGTTTAGTATGAGGAGGTTAGAGGGCTTGGCGCAGGAGTCTGAGCTGCGGGCTGGATGTGCGGATCGTCGCACACAACCTTTGCACATGGCTCCCGGCCGGGTTGGAAGGGTGAAGAGCCCTTGACCCCGGATTGCGCGAGCCGGCGAGCAGCCCATACAACGCTAGGCCATGCAGCCTATTTGTATCTGGGGATCGGGCTTACGGGCGCCAAATCTTCAGAAGAACCCAACCCCAGACACCCTGAGACGCGAAACTAAATTCTTAGTCCCTCCTTGCTAAACTTAAGCCTTCATGTGGAGTTGAGCACGCTGCAAGTGCGCCAGTCTGACGAGGAATGACTGTTGGCTTCGTCCAACCAGGGTTCTCCGTCCTCGACGTGGCATCCACCAGGGTCCCAATTCCGTACGAACTCCGCACCTGAATTCCGCCCTCCAACAGCTGCTCTCACGCGTAGAATGATGGCGATTGGTTGTGTTTGTAATCATCCAACTCCCAAACAAAGTACTCTCTGGGGGTTGAGCCGACGACAGAGGCGGGGTGGGCAGTTAGAACAAATCTAGAATAACAAAAGTCGGTCACCTGACTTGGACAATGTTCGAAAGTATAAAGTATATTTGCGATTTTGAAGAACTTTGATGAAATTTCGCAATTGCAGTTTCATACAGAAGTAGTTTCATCTGATAACTCGGTTTCTGATCCACAAAACCTGGTTCTCCGCATTTTGCTGCATGGGAGGTGCATGGGAGAGCCGAATGCGCATCGTATTCGTTGAGAGCATGTCATAGTTCACCAATTATTGTAGGCCACCCCGTAATGTGAACGCAAATGTCAGCGACCGAGGATTGCCGTTCGTAGCCATTCAGGGCGTGCGTCTAATGCCAATCCTGCATAGCTTGTCCTGCTGATTATTCGAGACCCGGGACTCTTTTCCCAACGAAGAAAATGCCATGGGAATCTCGTGGCAGCAACAAGGTGTCGAAAACGAGTGGCCCTCGTTGCTTGCCATGGCCGCTTCGAACCAACCAGATTTGGGATTCACCGGTCCTTCGGCCTTTTCCAAGGATCCCTGACCGAAATGTCGGGGCAATCCACCAAATATTCGGGGAATAAATCCGTCGTTAGGAAGGACAAAAGCTTTGAGTTTCCGGAGGGCGGACGGCTGATTTTATATCTTCCGTTCATGATTCCCATTCAAGGCCTGTCGAGGGAGGCGGAGTTCTGGAAGTCAGCTCTGTGGACAAGCCCGAAAGCTGAACTCCGGCACCCGAAGCCGTGGGCGAGATTGGTTGGTTTCCTCCGCGGTCGGCGGCTTAACTAAGCCTATCACCCGCCAACGTTGCGGCCCAGAATGAGGAGCAACAGCGAGCCGATCCACTCGTACTCGAATTTTTGGTGCGGCGAGCTAGCTTGCACCACCTGATCATAGGGCGGATTGTCGCATAAATGCCGGCTTGAGGCGCCAGCCCGGGAAAGATTTATATACAACTCGCCTTCCTTCCCTACGACCTCTCTCTTCCACCCCTTCCAACCCAACTTGTCCGGAGCATCCGCCGTGCAAATTTCTTCCTTGCGCGCTTTCTTCCATTCCCAGCATAGCCACTCGCCAATCGCCGAATAACATCATGTCTCCCCACGCCGCGCAAGATGCTGCCGTCCAGGGCGCCGTCGATATAACCAAGGAAACGCCAGAGCCCTTGACTGTGGCCAATGTGCCGGCCCGAAGAGCGAAGACGACTATGCCCACTGGTGTTGCTGCGTCTTGCCATAGCGACATGTTCAAGAGTCTGGTATTTGCTTTCTCAACTCTCTCTGTGTTTTGCATCTGACTATGGGAGTTCCCGATGCGATGAGATGAATACTAACTCTGACTCCGGTCTTTAGGCTTGTGCTACTAAACCCAAGGCTAAACGGTGGGATAGTATGTGTGCCAACATCTCCAGAATTGAATGCACAATTAACCTGGTGAATTTCTTGGGTTGCAGAGTATCTCTCTGTTGAAAGCAAGTCACGGAAGGTATTAGCAGCAGCATATTGGTGTGATGCGCACCCGGCGTGCTAACTTTGACTATAGGCGTCCACCCTAAAGCAAGCTGCGGAATACCTGAAAAATCCTGGTACGTCCAACCACGCTCTCACTCGCTTTCTTATCCTGCGACCCGTTCTGACAAACATTTATGGAATAGGTTTGATCTCCCTTGGAGGAGGCCTTCCGTCCCCTGAATATTTCCCCATCGACGAAATCTCCATCAAGGTTCCAGTTGCGCCCAACTTTTCGGAGGAAGCTACACATGAATCAGGCCAAGTGGTTACCGCAGGAAAATATGACATTCGGGAGGGGAGGAGTGAATATGGTTTGTTTTAAATATGAACGGGAAGCAGTGATAGGGGTAGCTGACAATTTCCCACAGACTTGGAGATCGCTTTGAACTACGGTCAATCAGTAGGAGCCGCCCAACTGTTGCGCTTTGTGACGGAGCATACCGAGGTTGGTAAACTCACTTGCCTAATGCAACCGGGTGTCTAATATTATAACAGATAGTGCATAACCCTCCGTATTCAGATTGGCATTGCTCACTCACCGCTGCTAGCACGGCTTCGTGGGACATGGTGCTACGTCTGTTCTGCAACCGTGGAGATTATATCCTAACGGAAGAGTTCACGTTCTCCAGCGCCATGGAAACAGCATTGCCACAGGGCATTCGCCTCGCTCCAGTTAAGATGGATGAGCAGGGACTTTTGCCTTCGTCCCTTGACGAAGTGTTGACCAACTGGGATGCTTCGGCGCGAGGAGCTCGGAAACCATTCGTGCTCTATACTGTTCCATCCGGACAAAACCCCACTGGTGCTACTCAAGACGTTGAGCGAAGAAAGGAGGTGTACAAGGTCGCGCAGAAACACGACATTATCATCGTCGAGGACGAGCCTTACTACTTCCTCCAAATGCAGCCCTACAAAGGAGCCAATGCCCCACAAGACCCTCCGCCAGCCAACTATAACGAATTTTTGAAGGCTCTCATTCCCTCTTTCCTCAGCATGGATGTGGATGGACGTGTTGTCCGCCTCGAGTCCTTCTCAAAGGTGCTTTCGCCCGGTTCTCGCGTTGGCTGGCTCGTTGCATCCGAGCAGATTGTGGAACGATTCCTACGAAATGCAGAGACCTGCACGCAGAACCCAAGCGGGATGTCTCAAATCATCCTTTTCAAGCTGCTTGACGAGGCTTGGGGACATGAGAAATATTTGCAATGGCTAGTTCATATCCGCATGGCATACACTAACAGGAGAAATGTCATGCTAGAGGCTTGCGAAAAATATCTACCAACAAGCGTTGCGAGCTGGCACCCTCCAGCGGCAGGCATGTTTGTAAGTGGCCTAGTATCGGCCCTCACCTATTGTTATATTAAACTAAACGGTTCATTAGCATTGGATCAAAGTCGACTGGAAGAAGCATCCACTCGCTCTCGCAGGAGTCTCCTATGATTCTATTGAAGAAGCGATCTTCAAAGCGGCGGTGGGTGAGGGCGTTTTAGTCTCACGTGGCAGTTGGTTCTTTGCAGATAAGTCTACTGAGCCCACAGATATGTTTTTCAGAGCTACATTCGCGGCTGCGCCCGCGGATAAGATCCAGCAGGCTATTAAACGTTTTGGAGATACCCTGAGGGCTCAATTCCAACTTCAATGATCGATATATCCTCTACCATATATGTGGTGAGGCGCCTTTTTAACGTCTTACAAGTCCATGTCGGTCCGTCTGTATATACCTTCTGGTTTGAGTAAATTGCACCTAAAGAGTTGGATAGACATGCCTATGTTGTTAGCTGATTATTTAATGCCAAAGCAAGATTTACCTGCTGTGAATTTAGCGGATATTCCAAGCGATAAGGGAATCGCACTAAGCAGATCACTGATCACTGATTTTTCGGCTGCGTTGAGAAATAGCCCGCCGCCGAGACCCGGAGTGGCTGAAAGCTCCCATGGCACGTATACAATGGATACAACGGCGATCTAGGCTTCGTTCCGCCGGCCCAACTATTGTATCACCAAAGTCAGAGCATTCCCCCTCTCCCCTCCTTTTTTTCTTTTTCTTTTTCTTTTTTCTTTTTTTAGACACAATGGCTGGATTTCAAGACATTAGGCTGAGAGTTGACCCTACTTAATGTCCAAGGCGATGAGCTGTGCAAATTTATGTGCATTTCCTAGCAGAGAGATCTGGATACCTCGAACCACCAAGAGAAATATAATAAGCTCCGTCATAGATCAAATAAAGGCTTCTAGCTAGCCCATCGTTTTATATTATCAGCAAAGTGTCCTCCAATGGACACAAGGCTGATCACATATAGCTGCAAGGTCGGCATCTAAGAATGAGTGTGTTGCCAGCATAGGAAAGAGTGAGCACTTCCAACAAGAGTGCGACACTATTTGGGTTTGAAATACCTGAAACGATTATCTCCTATCTGAAGGCCAGGTTCTTATGAGGAGATCATAGTGCATTTTGTAGTGGAATTGATGCCTCCAGCTTCTCTGAAAAGGATATGTATGATTAAACAATTTTTACTTCAACCCCCCAAAACAAAGAAAGGGAACGTGACATGGCCAAACTTATGAACAACAGGGAAATAAACTTTGAGTGATCTGCAGCGGCTAAAAGCCAAGACCAAATAAGCTCTTTCCGTTGCCCTACTCCGTGTATGGCTGGTGTTTGTGGCACAAAGAGGCATGCATCGGTAAAATAAATCTCTGAGCTTGATGCTCATCAAGACTGCTTCTCCTAGGTAGGACCATCTATGAAGGTCATCAGTATCAAGGCCTGCAGAAGTATAATCTTGCGGTGTGCAAGTTTTGGGGAAAAAGGAACTCAAAATCCTTTGTATGAACGATGATCAGTGCCAGGCAGCGAAACACCATATTCCCTTGAAACCATGCCTTGGAATATTAGTCCCCAATCCACCAGATACGAAATTGTCTACGATCGCATTATTAAATTATCCCCTAAATGTAGTTCTCCTAGAAATTCAGGTAAAAGCTGCAAATTCGGAGCCCAAGATTCGTATCATGACTTGAAACGGGGACATTTGCGGCAATGATGTAATAATAGCCGGCAGGATAGACTGAAATTTTGGCATGTTCCTCGGCTGAAGGCCATAACTAGGCCGTAATGCTATGCATCCAGGCACCTTATATATTCCAATGGCGACCCATTGAGGCAGCCCCATAAGTGACCCCTGCGGGAAAAGCAGGATGTAGAATTTCCCACCAGACAGAGCACAACTCCCGAAATTATAAAACGCACGAAGTGGTAGCAACTGATGTTAGCATCTAAATTTATCGAGTGCGAGGTCGATGAAGTCTTTCTACGATCCCATTGTGCCAATCCCGCCTGCTCATTTCCATAAGGAAGCCAAATCAGTGTTGCTTAACATGACCTACCCATTCCCGATTGCAGCCAACCAGCCATTCTTCGTGGCCTTCATCACGTGATAATAGCAAACGGGCTTCTAGAAAATCAGGTGTCATCCGTACAGATGTCGCATGATATTTTGGCCTCTATTCCGTATTCTGATAGAGGACCCTTTCATTGTATTGAAATCGTTTAAAATATGTACAGAATAGATTGCTCATTAATCCGCGCCTTTCTCTGTATGCCTGGTTGGGGCTGGTTTTGAGGTTGTCGGCGAATTAAGTTTTTCCGAGCAGCACCCGAGTTTCGGGTTTCCAAGAAAGGAAATTCGGACGACCGTCCATAGCTATATTTTTAAGATGTGTTGGGTAAACGGTTTATATCTGATGAGTCGTTTCGATATACCATGGAGTGGGCGTCTCGAGGTTGGCCAATAGACCAAATTAGCCCTCATTATCTGATTTTATAATTATTTGGACTTCGTTTTCCCTCTAACGGAGGGGAAATTTGATTCTATCTAAGAGGTAAGGATGTGCTTTCTGCATCATTTGATACCGCGGCCAGATACTAGCTGGGGTTTGATGGATGAAACATTGATGTTGCCTAACAATATCAACTATCCGTAATTTCCATTCACCTCTGACATACTGCAACTCGATATTACTTCCGAGGTCTGCTATGCAAATACCAACCGGTTGTCACTTTGTCTTAGTGTGCCTCCCGCTAGCACGCGTGGTGCATGGCCATTGCTAGAAATTGGCAGGATTTTTCTGCTGTTTGTGATTGCAACATATCAAGCCCCTTTTCGAATAATATTACCTTTGAAAGGTGCCCTAGGACGTGGAGTATCGTCCTGGGGAGGTTTTATCTGCCGCTCACCAGACATATGCATGCCCAGCGATTGAACGCCCCGCTTCATATTTTATATGATGTCTTTGCTAATATCTAATTCATAGGAAATCGATGCTGAGAGTACCGAGCGGCAAAGTCACCCGTGGCGCTGTCCAAGCTAACGGCTCGTACAGGGGGGGGCCTGACTCCCTCTCTGGATCGCATATATTTGGCAGGTCTTCTTCGCTGTCAACAGGCTGCTGAAGTCTGCTAGTCCTGGTGCTCACGTGCTGAACATTTGCTCACATTCCTGGCAGTCCCTTCATTGTTTACCTGAGCCGCGAACCCCCTTTAATATTCACGCTAAGGGCCACACCATTCCGAATTTGTGTGGCACGTGGTTTCTGAGGGATCTCTCCGCAAGGAGAACTCACAACAGCCATATCGCGAGATTATAGAACTGTTTTAAAGCCCTTTCGAAACCTTCTGATCCTGAGCGCCGCCAGCCCGCCTTTCTGTCAAAGAGGGCATTACCATATGGAGCTCTTTTCATAGATTCAGGTGGTATGCAATTCCCATCCTGAAAAGTTCCAATTCTTCTTTCATCTGGACAGCATCGAAGCTCGAGAAAACAGAATCATTCATATCAAGATACTCCCTTCTCTCCATACCCATCGCTCTCCGTCGAATCATCTCCATTTGAGTTTCTTGAGGTGACACGTAAGTGGACAGCTCTCCTCGCTACATTGGTTTTCCCACAATGTCTTTTTCTTCTCTATCCCTTCATTTCTTTTGATTCGGCTTCCTTTTTCCTTTTCCCATTTTGCTTATATCGACGCATCGCTGGCATAGCTCAACAAGCTACTTGCAATAACCTACCTTTTTTTTCTTGTTCCTCGGGTTTTTTGACTTGTTGCCATAATTGCTTCAACCCCTTCCTCAAGTCGCTTTCTCTCTTCCCCCAAAAGCTCACGCATCCCCTGCACTTATTATTAATTGCAATGGAGCATCCAGGAATCTCTCGGCGCAATGCCATTTCTCGGTTTGCTTTACTCATCGCACTGTTCATGAACTGTAACCTAACATTTGACTTCCTTAGAGCCCGAGCCCGTCCGGCCTCGACAAGTGAATCCATTCAACAACGTAGGTATACCCTATAGCGCTTAGTGTATCTTTTGCTTTTATTTTTATTTTTATTTTTATTTTTATTTTTTTTTTTAACGTGTTGTTGAACTAGGCATTGGCGAAGGTCTTTCTCCTTCTCACCCCGAGTATCCGTATGAGGAGTACAATCCTTTCTCTTCGGAGTCAGATATCAAGGATTGTTCTGTTGAGGAAAAAGGTTTCCGCCATTTTCATAGTGCAGCTCAACCAGGTAAGCACATTGATGTAAATTGAACTATCAAGTTAAATTGTTTGTTATGTTAAAGAGTCAGTTTCCTGGCTGACACTTATAATTAATTAGGAGTTTCATTTTCTGTTGATGTGGATAGGATCCCTTTAAGGTATTATTACCAAAACCTGAATTGTTATGCTATTTGCTGATCAGTTTTGCACACCCAGAAGACAAGGGAGTGACAAACCACATATAAGCCTTCCTCAGGCATATCAAAGTTCGAAACGCCAAAGCAGTGTCGGAACACATGATCTTTGTGTTCCAGCTGCAGCAGACAATACACGAGAAACTGTTAAGCTAGCAGAGCGGTGTGCCCAAGAAGTTCTCGCTGCATTCCACGAAGGGCAGGGCCACGCAGAGCCGAGTCGATCTCAATTTTTACAAGGCACTGGAGCCCAATTTGATGGTGACAATAGCCTCCCCTCCCAGCAATTCGATCAGAGCCGTAACCAGTATACACCTTCATTATACTCTGAATCTGAGCTTATTGGCACCGATTGCCTTGCAAATCCAGCCGGGCAGCGAGTTGGCCCCTATCGAAGCGCGTGCGAGTGCTGCCGTATACCCCGTCTTCACGAACAGGATTCGGATTTAGACTTTATCCGACAGCCTCCACGACCCCTTCATTCTCCTGTGATAAGTTTACAGCCACCTAATCTTCAGGTTGAAAAACTTCGCTCTCGGAAAACTAGTTCCCCGAGGATTGGCCCACCAAGCCGACAGCTCGCAAAATTCCCTCATCCACACCAGTTCGACACTTCCAGTAATCGGGCGCAATTTGACCCGCTCAATTTCTTCCCTTCTGCTGCTAATTCTCACGGTAAACTCGAACTTCCAGGTCGAGCTCCTGGGTTACGCCGGGTTACTGAGCCTGCTGGTAAGCCTAAAAACGACATTCCACAGATTGTTGTCGAGCCTTCAGGTTCCCACCGACGGAGCGTTACACAGCCCTGTATTGCTCTCGATAACGCAGTCGTTTTCAACGGACGCGAAGGTATCCTTGTTCTTCCAGCGGAAGTCGACGCGCCAACCTCCTCCCACCCTCAGCACGTACCGACATCCTCTGTAACCTCGAAACATCGAAAGAGGAGCATCCACCGGCTGGCGGAGTCATTCAAGAAGCTCTTTCTGCCTCGAAGTACACCTGAGACTCCCGATATTCGTGTAAAGCATTTGACTTCAAAGTCAGGTCCAGATAGCCAAAAGCCCAGCCTTCCAAACAGGTTCTTTAGACGTAATTCCCAGCATCAACAACAGCTGCTAGGAAACGCGCGTATACCAAGAACAGAACAACCACCTCTTCCAAAAATGGATCGTTCAAGGTTTCTGGATCCATCGTTGGCCATGATGGCACTGACAAAACAGAAATCTGAAGCGATGCGACTTGCTCGAGAACAGGGTGCAGCCGTCACTGAGATGTGTCGACGCGCAAAAACTGAAGTTCCTCCATATACGTTCGAAGAGCTGATTGGAAAAGGGTCATATGGTAGAGTGTATAAAGGGTATATCCCCTTGTGACAGTTTGTTATATTATTAGTTCTTTTCTATACTGACACAATTCATAGGCGTCAGCTGTCATCCCAGAAGTTGGTTGCAATAAAGGTAATGGATATAGACACACTCGA